AGTTCTAGTCAAAACTTGTTAACAAAGCACAGGTGACAAACACTTCAAGGTAACACCGGTTCCAAGTGCTTGAAGACTAGTTTAAATTTCAAATTTGATTCATGCACATACAGTACATCAAAGCTACTTCTACTCTTGCCTTACTAGACCTATCATAATAGTTATATGTAACTGCACAATGCACAATTTAATATCACAAGTTGCTTTATCATCAAGCTGTGTTCTGAAGCCATTACTTACAGTGACTCAAAAAGTGTCCCAATGTTTGTGGATTGTCATGTAATTGCTTCATTGTGAGTCGAGGCGTGGGAATCTGACTAAGCTATAGGGAGGTATCAGAATGCTCTGCCTCTTGGCTTTATCTCCATCCACTGTAGCATGGGAGTCTGATATTATCATGTGAAGATATGGTCATTTTAATTTGAGCCCTCATTGTTGACCAATATAGGTCTCTATAATTCTAGTACTTAGTGTTGCCTCCTCTTGCTCTAATTACTTTCTACCACTCTTATAAACACACTATCTATCAATTCCTAGCATTACCCATTAGTGATATTCCCTCACTGTGCTGTAACTCTCTCCCATAGCTGAAATAGCCCCTATTGATGATCCTGATACACCTCCTGAGTAATTTCCAGAGTTGCTCAATAGGGTTGAGGTCTGAAGACTGTACTAGCCATAATAGAACAGTAATATCATAGTTTTTAAACCATTTGGTAGCTGACTTGAAGCATACTTGAGATCATTATCTTGTCATAAGATAGTGTCTTCTTCATCAATGTTTGATCCCTGCATGCTTTTTAAGCAGACACTCTGCCAAAATTGAGATGCACTGCTCTGCATCTATCCTCCCCTCCACCTCACAGAGAATTCCTCCCCTAGTCCACCTCATACAACCCAGGTGCTGAATAGTATGTTTATCAGTCATTGCATAATAATATCTCACACTTTTGGTGACCTCACCTGCCCTTAAAAGTCACTTTTAAGATACCTTTCAATGCACATGACCCAGCTTGTAAGCCAGTGACATTACAATGGCCTGTTATTTTTTTCCAACATGTCCCTAGCAGCATTTAGTACATGTAAGAATGGCTATATGAGTTGTATGATTAGTGTAGAGACCCCAATTGAAATTATAATGTATTTAACTCTCACCTGGGCTGCTTGATAAATATTTGTCATGAGGCATATTAGTTCAAGCAGGGGTTTCCATCTATGAAGAGGAAGTAGTTTTGATTTGTATTTTTTTTACTTTGTCACAACATCATATATCAGAATGTTGTATCTTGATTGTGTTGATAGCTGTTTGAGTCTTTCTGTGTGATTATACATCTCTGCTTGACATTATATTATCTGTGCTGTGACTCTATATACCCTATAGTTATCTTTGGCCTTGAAAAGATCTCTGATAATAAGTTATAAATTATCCATAAGTATAATTCTGATACAAACTACCATACTTGATGAACTATACAATTGGAAACAACAAGGTGTGGAAATTTCTCTTGAAGTAGACAATGGGCCTTTCTTGATTTACCAGATGTATCTGTGATGTAAGCAATAACAGTGTCCCCTCATTCTGTCTCAATTATGCTGATTACCTCCAATATCTGCTGAAAACTTCTTTGACTATCTAAGAATTCCATGATGTATTACTAGTGAATTTTAACTGTATGTAACTAGTTAATATGATTGACACTGTCAGCTCTCATAGATATATTATTCTGTGTGCTGTCATCAGAAAGCCCAGAAAATGGTGACAATTTTAACCTGTCCAGTTATCACATTGCAAAGTTGTATCGACACTTTAGCATTCCTCTTTAGCAACAGTTTTAAGTGTGTTGAGGGCATGTGATATGACACACTGTATAAGGACTTTTCCAGAAGGTATTTTTGCTCTCAGAAGACAGTGGTCATATAAAACTCTACTTATGATTCTCAACCTATCACAGTGGCAAACTAGTGCTTGCAGTGAATCTTGCAAGGCCAATCTCCTAATCAGCTTGGTCTGAAGCTATCCAAGGTTGGTTACTAAAATCATAAAAAGTTTGTTCTAGCACTATAGAGAAAAGAGCCAGAAATAAGCTGGGAAACAGAGTGGTATAGACCAGACTGATTTAGGACATTGATATTTTACTAGCCAGGATGATGATGAAACTGTAGAGGGAGCTGGCCTCACTGAAAGAGAGTCATGGGTAAGTAAACTAAAGAAGCATGAGAACAGTCTTAGAGATTAGCAGGGTAGGTAGACTTGGGCATGCAAACTTAGACTCTAGAATAGATGAAGCATTGAGAACTGGTGTAGTAAAAATGGTTGATTATATACTAGTATCAGTACTGCTATTGTAGGCCTGAGTATTCTTTCTTGATGAATATTGCTTATAGTATTCCAGTCATACTTTTAAACAAATGTTTTCTGAGTACAATTCACATTTATACAAGTGATATAATAGTGTCATTGGCTAACTGATAAACCAGATATACTAGGAATCATGCTGGTCAATAGTCCATTTTATATTTTCAAGTTAGCAGAAAACAGTGGCTACACAAGGGTTCACATATAAGTGCAGTTCATCTCTCAGTGTATCTCATTGACCTATATAAATTTGCTACTTATTGAGTGTCTGCTCATAGAGCCTTGCACATATAACTTTTGCTTTTTCACTGACCACTGAAGCACTTTCTTTTGTGGCATAACTATGAAGTGGTCCTACCACTATCTCTATTTAGTCTTTGTCAATAAGTAATTCAAGTTAGTCAAAGTATATTACAGCTGTGTGCAAATATAATGGCACTGGCGCAAAGAAAACATATAACAACAATGAGCACTGAAAAAGGACTTAGTGAGATTTAACTTAGTTGTAGGGACTTTGTCGCATTACCGCCATCACACTTTGCCCTTCTCTGGAACATGGGCTGTCAGCAACAGATGTACAAAAGCTCCAAGTTCATTGATGAATCTGATGATGATATACTTGAAATCACGTCCTCTGAAACAGACACCAGCTCCCTATCATTGAGTGGGTCATCAACAGTCTTCGCAGACCATGGAACTCTGTCTCAAGTCCCCATGCGTGACAGCATCGATTGCGAACTTGATGCAATGAGCCCTGTCCCTGAACCTACACCAGTACCTGTACGAGATCCTTCTCCACCTCCAAAGCAGGCTGCTAAGCCTAAGAAGAAAAAAAGTGGTGCATATATGCACCTGTGACTGACTTTATGATGTCACCACTGATGACCTTCTTGTTGGAGCAGTGTCATCCAAACACTCTGAAGCTCCTCCAACAGAACCTAAGCTAATCGATACTGTGGAACCTGCTCGTGAAGTGACATTCAATGTGCTCATCCTGTCATATTCTGAAATCAAGAAGGATGATGTCAAAAAAACGGAGTGGTACCAGCACCATATTGACCCTTCATCTTGACGAACCCTTCGATATATTCAAAGCCCAGATTCTCTGCAAGATAGACAAAGAAACATCTCCTTCTACTCTTTCCTTCGGTGACTACAAAGTCTTTTTTTGATTCTCCGAGTTTCACCAAAGCCAACCTCACTGTCTGATGAAGATGACTATAAGGAACTTGTCAAGCATCTGATGAAGATCAAGGAACCAATTGTAACAATATATGCTCAGGAACTCTCTGACCTCAAAAGGGTATGTGTTGGTGAGGGCGAGGAATGATAGCTGAATGCTAAGGGGGAAGAGTGGGAAGTGGGCTCTCAAGTACTCCTCTGGATACGAGTGAAAAGTCGTCCCAAGGGGATTGCTACTGAGAAAGATTCCTCTAGAAAGATGAGGGGGGTCTATAACTGGCAGTTCTGTTTAGAGACCTGAGTGGGGTGCTGATGCAAATAATGCACCCAAAGGCGCATTCTAATGTCAAAGCACGTTTCGCACAATCTCAACAGAGTGCTCGAGTTGAGGTGGCAATCAAATAGAGAACCAAGAGGAAATATAGACATGGCAATGGGCGCTTAAGGATGTCAAAGTGCCAAATGGAGGGAAAACTCATGGATTTAGATGGCCTCTAGTGCTATACACTTCGATGGTAGTGGAACGGAAGTAAGTAACAGAAAAATGAAGATGCTGATGTGTAAGTATGCTAAGCGAGTTCCCAGGCCTTGGAACTGAGTAGGGAGCACTAAGGTATATGATGAGGTAAGTCAGGGTCCATAACGAAACATAGTAATAAGTACAAGTGCCTGTGTGATGGTATATGAGTTCTAGTGAAAAGAGCACACACCAATGGACATTGGAGGACTAGGACAGGACATGCAGAGGACGGGCGACAGATCCTAGGGAAGTGCAACAAAGTGCAATGTAACACACTCAAATGCGCTGGTACGCGCCAAAGTGCATATGCGCATAACCAGGAAAGCACGAATGAGTGATAGTGAGGGTCCATCAATGCGAGGATGCAAGAAGGCAAAGTGCTATAAAGGCGACTGCATAGGATGTGACAATGCAAAAGGCGAAATGCAACAAACATGACGGAACACGACAAACACGACGAAACACGATGAAAACATGACGGAACATGACAAACACGACAAAATGTGATGAAATGTGATGAAACACGATGGAACATGACAAACATGATGAAATGTGATGGGTCAAACACGACAAACGCGAAACACGCTAAAGCGCATTATTATGGATGCGCGACTGCAGGAATGTGGATGTGTGAAATGTGAAAGCGTGTATGTCGCGTTTGGGGCGCGTTGGCAAAAATAGTGAGTGCATCGTGAAGGGAAAGTGGACTGTACCCATATGCACCTGTAGAGACTCCAGTCTCTACATCAGACTCACGACAAGTTTTTCATGATTCTGACTTTCTGGCAGCATAAAGACTGAGCATCTGACAAGGAGAACAGAAGTAGTGATGAGGATAGCAGTGACAAAGAGAAGAGAAGGAAGAGGAAAAAGAAGAAGGGTCGGAAAACAAAGCCACATTGATTGTTGTGAAAACTGCGAGAATGCTTCATCATCCACCAAATGTTTCAGGCACCGAAGGCATCTGATATTGACGACAAGATGAAACCAGTGAATCGGAATATCACAAAGTTGACTGATTGTTGGGTATGTCACAAGAAGCCAGGTTGTTCCAGCGAATATTGCTTCGTGAATCCTGGAGATGGCAGCTCCCACATCCCACTCTCATTTCCATTGCTTGATTGTTGGGCGTCGGCGATGGTAATTTTCCCATTAGAACAATTGTTGTTGCACTCAACTATTCTTAGGAAAAAGGCCCTGAGTATGCGACACTTGAAATGCCTCCAAATCATTCCCACTTCAATATGGTACCAGCCAAGTTACTTGGTCATCAATCACTATTAGCAGCCTGTCACCAACAACAACAAGCCAATGAGCAAGTAAATAAACTGGCAGAAACACCTGCCCCTGCATCCAGTGGGCCTGTCGTCAATGTCAATTTCCCTCCCAAGCTGTTCCAAGCTATTCGAGGCCTTTCCGAACCTATGGCACCTCAGTTTACAATGCCAAATCTTGCCCCTGCTGTATATTCTGCTCTGTCGTTGCTATCTCCTACACAACTTAGTTCTCCAGGACCTTGAATGGCTCTCATTGACTTCTGCTCAACATATGAGATTTCCGATACACTCCAGAAAAACTCCTTGAACACGGCTTCAATTCTTCACACTCTTTGTGCCATGTGACCATTGATGACTTGCAGAAGGCTGGCCTGCTTTGTGGGGAACTCGCAGAACTGAAAGATGCCATCTCGCAATGGTGTGGGGAGTAACTAAATACTATGCATGTCTCATTATTGTTCAAAGTCGTAATGCTGTCCCTTGTTGTGTATCAATCATGCTGTAACGCTATACTGTAAAACTTGGGCCTAAAAATAATCGGTGTAGAGACTTGTGTTTCTCCAGGCTCATATGGGCCAAATTCACGCTTTTTCACGATGCCCTCGATATCCTTGCAACGCGCCTTCTAAATCTGAAACGCGCCGCGAATGCGACAAACACGCTTTCGCGTTAGCGCGTTTCTACCCATACACACTTTCGCATATCGAGTATCCACATTCCTGCAGTCGCGCATCCATAATAACGCGCTTCTGTCGTGTTCTGTCGCGTTTCGTCTTATTGCCTTGTCGCGTTTCGCATTTCGTCGCATTTCGTCTTATCACCTTGTCGCATTTCGCATTTCGTCGCATTTTGTCTTATCGCCTTGTCGCGTTTTGTGTTTCGTTGTGTTTCGTCTTAGTCACGTTGAGGCAATCTCAACCTGGCTGGGCTGATATGAAATATCTAAAAATGCTCAACCAGTATAAGTGAGTCTTGGCTCTGCCTAGCTGCTATAACACGCAGAATGCAAGAACGTTCGACCCTAAAGGGGACTGCTACTGAACACAGAACCAGATGAAAGAAAGACCCTTGAAGTGCGATGGATGCGCGAAAGCACAAGAAGAAAAGCGAAGTGAGCGCGAAGCGCGAGAGAGCGCACTAAGGTAAGCGCGAGCGTGGGAACGTGAGCGCTAAGGCGTGCGTTGTGCGGAAAATACCGGATAAGGAAACAGATAAGGAAGCGGATGTGCAAAGCGAGTGCAAACGCAGAGCGAGTGTTATAACGAGCGCGGATAAAGGTCTAGTATAGGCGGATAACGATAACCATTGGAAACACAAAGTGCGCCCAAGTGGTGACTACTACTTTAAAGTAAAACCCAATAGCGAGGGAAGTACAGCAAAGGGGAGTAATAATGATGGTGTAGTAAGTCAGCAACTTTATACTATGGAAATCGCATCGGAAGCGGAAGGGATAGGAGCAATAAGCGCTATGAATACGTAATGACATGTATAACGCTGCAATGCTTGTTACAAACCACGAGGCAAGGCATATGACGTACCAATGAGGTGGATGGACATAGAGGGACGTTCCTGGATGATAGGCAATGCAGGGCAATGCAGGGCGCTTAAGTGCAATAAAGCGCGCAAGGTGCGCGTGTGGGAATGCTGCGCGTTGTGCGGGAAAGTACCGCGCCTATGGCGCGTTTCGCGGGAAAGCTGCGCGTTATGTGTAAAACGACTAGGGACATGATAGAAGTCGAATATAGCTGATGGTGCAAGTCGTGCATTGCAGGCCAATTGTCATGAGTTGTGAAAAGGTGCGAAATGTGCCCATATGTGCCTGCAGAAATGCGAGTCTCTACAAACGTTTCGTGTTTCGTCGTGTTCTGTCGTGTTTCGCCTTTGTCGCATTTCATCGCCTTTGTCGCATTTCATCGCCTTTGTCGCGTTTCACGCTGTCGCATTTTTCGCATTGGTACGGTCGCATTTCACCTTTCGCGTTTCACCTCCTATACTGTCGCCTTTATAGCGCCTCGCCTTCTCTCATCCTCGCATTGACGAACCCTCGCTACTGCCTGCTCGCACCTTCCTGATTACACCCATATGCGCTTTGGCGCGTACCAGCGCGTTTGAGCGCATTACATCACACTTCATTGCACTTCCCTAGGATCCGTCGCCCATCCTCCGCATGTCCTGTCCTAGTCCTCCAAGGTCCATCAGTGCGTGCTCTTTTCACTAGAACTCATATGGCGTCACACAGGCACTTGTACTTATCACTATGTTTTATTATGGACCCTGACTTACCTCATCACCTACCTTAGTGCTCCCTACTCAGTTCCGAGGCCTGGGAACTCGCTTAGCATACTTACACATCAGCATGTTCATTTTTCGGTTACTCACTTCCGCTCCACTACCATCGAAGTGTATAGTTGGGGTTTCTATCAGAATACACTGTTTTTTTCCCTCCCATTGGCGCTTTGACACCTTAAGTGTCTATTTCTACATCTATCAAAGCCCTGATTCTCCCATTTGATTGTCACCTCCACTTGAAGCACTCCGTTGTGATCGCACAAAGTGTGCTTTGACATTGAAACGCACTTTTCCGCACTTTCTGCCTTATTAGCGCCTTTAGGCGCCTTTAGCTAGCGCTCTTCGCCTTTGGGCGCATTACTTGCCTCAGCGTCCCATCCAGGCTTCAAGACCAAACCGCTGGTTATAGATCCCCCTCACCTTTCACTAGAGGAATCTTTCTCAGTAGCAATCCCCTTGGGACGACTTTCCACTCGTATCCAGAGGAGCACTTGAGAGCCCACTTCCCACTCTTCCCCCTAGCATGCAGCTATCATTCCTCGCCCTCATCGGAATGACGAATGTAGCCATGAGCATCCTCCACTGTTAAGGTAGACAACATCCAAATTCAACTACTGCTCTCACGTGATCACATGACCATTCCCATGGCCAAATCTCAAAGCTCAACAATTCAAAACCACTATTTGCTGTGAAAATCACTTTGACAACATCAAAACAAAAGATATTTTCAATCAAATCAACTTTTTTCACTCTGATAATACAATCACACTTGTAAATAACCATGCAGCAGATAGCACTTAGAGTATCAAAAGAGTATGGTTACAACTGACTACTGGCTAGTAGTGGTAACTTGAAGCCAGGTATTATGTAAGCTACCATATATGGGTATATTAAATCATGTGATGTGGCCAAATCCACAGGGCAAATATTTTATTTTCCACCTATAGCGTCAGAAATGTATTTGGGGATGAAATAAAATGAATAGAAAAAAGGCGGAAATAAGTCTCTCAAATTTTGGTTTTGAGAAAATTTGAAGACGGATAGCTGCAAGCTTGAGATTGGCAGATATTTTCCTGTTGCCCATGGATGCAAGCTCAAAGTTCGTAGCAGTGTTATGTAAATTTTCACTAAGTTCTTTTTCGGTGCTCGTTGTTGTTATATGTTTTCAATTTGCACCAGTGCCATTATATTTGCACACAGCTGTAAAAGATAAAATTGACTAGTCTTTATTATTCAGGCTACAACTTCTTGAAGTGTGCCTCTAGCTGAACTGGTGAAAACTATATATTTATGTGTTGTGAAACTGTATAAAGATACCTAATCAAAAATCATTGATAATGTGTTGACCAAATATGGTATAGTCTAACACGGTAAGACCAAAGAACTGTTCAAAATCATATTTAGGTAACAATGAACTTCAGTTTTCACATGAATTACAGTCAATAACTATGACTTTGGTTTATTGACTAATAGAACACTGCTTGGACAGCCTTTTCAGTTGGAAAGCTGGAATGTACAACTTTATTGCCCAGGTTCTGGAAGCTATATGGCAATGTGCTTAGTACACATCTTAATGCATCATATGGAAGCTTCCTCTTATCCTAACAAGAGAGCTTATCAAATATAAAAGTAACCATCGAGTCCAGTCACTAGTCTAGTATATTCTGTCCTGTCTGATAGCTGGCTAGGAGGAGTTCTGGCATTTTAAGGTTGTACACTGTTATCAGTTTTGTTTATGTATTATTAATGATAATGGCAGTCCGTCTCTTAATTTTCATCAGCATATTTTAGTTCTGCAGTGAAGCTGTAAAATTTTGAACTAATATCACAAAATGGTCACTTACCTTTATGACCTGTTTCTGAAGGTTACTCTTCTGTACCTTAATTACTGACCTTCTTTTGGAGCCCATTTATTCTATCTTTGTGATTCTTAATGTCTTATCTATCTTCTCTGTAAGCCTATCTATTTTCTTTTGATACTTTTTAAGGTCATTCTGGAATCTCTTTTACTCTGCCCCCTTCTTGCTATTGAGCTTGTACACATTAGTCAAACATATTGACATGAGGAAGTTTACAACTTCATTAATTTTCTTCTGCAGTCTCTACTTCTTTTCTGAGCTTCTCATTTTCTGATTTTTGAACAATATTATGTAAGTCTTGATCCTCATAATGCCTCTTAAGATTGGTGATGTCAAGTCACAATATATTCCAGAATTGTGTGATATTCAATAAAGAGTCCATAGTGACATCTAATGAATCCATAGTGAGGATAAATTGGACAATGTAAATAGTAAATCAGGGGATTTATTAACATTGTCTAATTTATCCTCACCATGGATGCCTCAGATGTTACCACAGACTCTTCAGCAGATTTTGCCTTTTCCTTTCCTGCAGTGTTCAACATCACTGAGCAAGGAGATGTCAGAATCAAAATCTACATCCATGAAATTATCATCTTGATTCCAGGGTACCATGGCTGAAGTTGGGACCTTTCATGAAGTGGAGAAATTAAGCCTTGCAAGACACAAGGATCAAAACATGCATGAATAGAAAGAGGTGAGTAGGTCATCCAAGTTGGAGACATCATCTTGCAGCGGCTCGGAGGCAATGGCCCTCAAAATGCTGTACAACTGCTACTTCCATTTTGTTTACATTAATATTTATGTCGTGACTAATCTTAAACAAACAAATTTCAGCGCTCAACACTCCTTATACCTCCTAAAAGACAGTACAAAAATGGGGAACAGGTTACAGGACCAAGACTCGCTACTGCTTGTATACCAATACACGTCATGATTCATCGATGGAGAACAGACGAAGCTAAACAGATACCCTAATCAAATGCTGCAAGGCCGTGACATCCATGTCCGGATTCCGCGGAGTGATACTGCAAGGGAATGGCATAGGTCGCCTAACAGCCAAAAATCAGTAAGCCATCTCTCCAGAGAAATCCTACTAAACCCCACGTACACGGTAAGCCCTCCATGCCAGTGTGGTTTGATCTCGATTTCTCTACCAGTCCTCGTCTTTGGCCTTGGAAAAAATTGAATACTGAAAGCATACCGACCATGCCAGACCATATAGAAGCTTCGGCGAGGTGGCGACCAGGGCATATCCGTCGTCCAAATCCCCACACGACACTCACAGTGTCATCAGTCAGAGTGCCGTCTGGGTTCAGGAAACGGTCAGGATTGAATTCGGACGCATTTGCGTATTTATCTTCGTTGTGGCACATCGCCCTGAGGAGGATTAAGTTGCAAACCACAGAACAATTGATGTTCGTACCAAACATTCGGGGTAACCGTAGCGCCTGTGCTGCGAATGAACATGGACTCCAGGATGAGAAGCAACTCGCACACCTTTGGGTATGTAATAACCTTCGTAAACGTCATCTTCGACAGCAGCATGCATGATCGCTGTAATGGATCAGTAATCCAGTCCCGTTGTGCTGAGGTTAGCAACGCACCAAGAGGGAAAAACCGGGCGCCACCGCATGCACTCCCGTAAAATAGCGTCAATGTAGGGCAAGGATGGACGATCGTGGAATGTCGGCAGTCTCTTTGAGCCAACCACACTATCAACAAGTGTGTGCGCTTTCTGTTGTACATCTGGGTAGAGAATCATCACCAGCAAGAAATTCATCAACACAGCGGCTGTCTAGTAGTTGTCAGCGTTGGACCGAATCACTGGCTGCTGCTTTCGGCCTACCGTCTCTGTACCAGCTGGTCAAAGACACTCCCATTCAGCCTAACAAGTCTACACTGAAATGCATTTGCTCACCCCCAAAAGCGGTTGCTGCAGAATCCTTTACCGCTTTCTTCATCCAGGCAGAATCACCGTAGCTGTGATCAAGCTCCAGCAAATGGTCAGAGACCATGCAAGAAGAAATGGACCCCGTAGCCTGAAAAGAATTTAAGAATAAAACATCTCACGAAATGTTGCACTTACCAGACCACTCTCCGTGTACGCAAATGGTTTTTTCCAAGCTTTCTGTGGCCAATTCCTTGGCTAAAGGTGAAACTCTCTTGAGGCGCATACCAGGGAGCCAAGAGGGGAGACGGAGAACTACAAATTAGATGGTAAGAAGCTGCCGTATATGATGAACGACCGAGCTTACGGGAAGGAAAAGCACTAAAAATGGCAGCTACCTCCGGTCTCATCTCTTTCAGGATGATATCCAGAGCCATGACTGCACGCTCAATCATGTGGTCATTACGCCGTGCTGCATCATACGAGTACACGGCAGACATGATGACTGAACCTGAATAACTGGAGGACTGTCTCAATACCGAAGTACTGGGAAGATGCGCATAGAAATCCACTCACACTTCAAAAAGTTTCGGGTAGTCCAAAGGATCTTCCAGGAGGTTCAATAAAAATTCATGACTTTTCGTTACTTGCATGGGCTGAAAAAAGGGAACTGCGTCTTCTCGGAAGGACTGGTGAATAATTTTCCGATGAAGCCGCCATCTGCTACCGTAACGCATAAAGGCGGTAGTATAGTCGATACCAAATCTTCATAACTAATTAACAAGAATACTTGAGAATTCGAATAATTCATACAATTCATTGGTTGCGATGTCTGGTCGGTCAGAATAATTCTGTGAGCGATGTTCAAGGAGGTCTCTTGCAACTCGCTCAGAGTTGATGACGATGTTATCCTGACCAAAAAGCCGAGTGTATACGACGTCGCCTAGGAAACATTAGTTACTCATGGTGACCTGCACTCTGTGTAACGACTTGCCGTATTGATCGCCCCAAGCCTTGTAGGTAAGCCAAGGGGCAGTCACATCAACTGCCAGTGCACTGCCTAGGATTGGGAGTAAAGGGGGACCCGGTGGTAATTTACCACTGTGAGGCAGCTTCGGTTTGGCAAGGTAACTTCTGAGTGCCAAACTGACGGCAAAGGTGGCAAGAACTACTTCAAGCCCACCCGTGAGGAGGTCTGACATAGCCAGGGTTGATAATACAGAGCGAGCGCTACTGGACGGGAGTTTAGTAACTGGGGTTTTTATATTGACAAGCGCAAAACAAATTACCTTATAAGCGAGGCTAGAGCCTTGCCAAGAGCGTGATAACTCGGATGACAACAGAGCAAATGTTACTCCGGGTTATTGAAATTACATAAATAGACAGAAGTAGTGGTTATATATGGATGAATTGATGACAAGTACGTCTTCGGTTCCCTGGCTCTTCAAGGTACGAGCAATCAATTAATCAACTGTGTGTACGGACACGTCACACCGTACCTTGGGGTGACACAACTTCTGAGAACTAGATGAGTAGTAGACGGAATACTCCTATAGATAAGTATACATCGAAAGGAATCAATTCATTTGGCCCAAGGTTCGCCTCTAAAAACCGGTCCTAGTACATACCTGGCAAGACCATGTTTCAGGAATTGATCATCAACCATGCACATGACCTGCCCCTCCATTACAGCCTAGTATCACTTCAGGTTATTAAAAGTTCAATCACCGTTCTTCACAGACATGTACGACAGACCGACCAGTTGCCAATCTTATCCTCCTGGCCGATGTGACTCCACGGCAGAATTCGGTTGTGTTCCGAACTCATCTAAAGTATATGATATATGGATTCGCACGATTCGTGAATCAATGATACTCACTAGTCGTTTTGGAGCTCCTTCCAATATCCTGATGGAGTATTCCATTGAAATTCCAGCTGCCTGACGTTCAGGGTATGCCGACACGACCGGGACTAATCCGAGGGGGACGCGAGCCGCTGGATTGGTACCGATCGAGGAAACGCAAAGGTCTGAGCTTGCTGTTCGAGTACAGGAAACTGGAGAGGTGGCACTTGTCGCTCAAGAGTCAAGACTATGACGGACACAAACGGACAAAAATATTGATTTCTTTTGTTTCCCGATATGGAATTTCGATTTCGATTTCGACTTTCGCTTTCGGCTTTCGACGCGTGGCTAGCCAACTGATAACTCGTTCACCGACCGTCACAAGTGCATCTGTACCATGCCCGAGGGCAATTCAATCAACAAATATCTATGATTATTCCATGCAACTCGGCGACAGAGTTCACGTCACCCTCAGGACACAGCTGGGTGATATACGCCGCTTGAATGCTCAGTGCCACCAAAAGGTGGTCTACCTCCAATTCCTCGAAGCTACTGAATAGGTGTAGTTAATTGTGGTACTGTTACGACACGATCTCAGGCTGATGCACGCCACACATCTAAGCATCTAAATATCATACCACCTGCGGAAAGACTTGTAATCGAAGCCAGCGTAGATCGCATGATCCAAGAGCTGGATACTGCGACTACAGTATCATCTAATCCACCGGATGCAAGCCCCATCACCCTGGGAAGTCATGTGAATGCTGGTACAGTCAGAAGACCCAGTGTCGATATCCTTCCATCCGACCCTGCTGTCTTCTCTTCGGGTAGTGTCAAGGAGGCGCATGGCCGAACTATATCATTGTCATCCTCAAACCGTTCGTCGTCTGCTACTTGAATTCAATCTGTTGCCTCCTGGACCCCCCGTCTATGTGGATGAGCAGCAGGCTGATGGTGTCTTTATCTACTGCTATGACTTCGTTTGTTGGTTGTCTTCTTATTTCTGTCGTGTTCGATCTAGCATCGCACTGTTGTCTTGTCACTGCTTCAATCGTCCACTCGCTTGGCCATGATTCGTGCTCGTGCGCTGACCTACAGCACCTCCCAGGCACGCAAGTCAAAAATAAGCCAGGAGTGTGAGCGGAGCGCGCCCAATGGTCCCTGAAAACACATATAAGCACGAGATCCCGCCGGCGATGGCGTCCACCACGTCATGCTGTGTTGTTGCCTTCTGTCTCGGCTCTTTCCGTTTGTTGTTGCGCGTTCATGCTCCGTCTCCTTTTGCAGCTCTTTGCTCAGTACTATAGCGACCTCTGCTTCATTTCACGGCGTTGTTTGTCTTCAAAACGGAAGCAAATATCAGATCGATAAAAAGAATTTCTTGTGCTATGACGGATTCATCGCCACTCCAGAAATCGGAGATATTCGTGTAAATGTATTCACATCTGGCGCTGACACTGTTTTCTGCGGAAGACGGAATCTATCTATTGGATGCGCGGACAACTATCGATCCCATTATTGAGTGCACCAGAACACATACCTGACTACCTTGCAATGTTGACCCATCCCGAAGTATCTGCTCATCGCCTGGATCTCTAACAGAACTGCATTTGCGCTATTCAATGAAACCACTCGGTGGAAAAAGGCTTGGTTAGAAACGCGCGCGTGCGAATAGTTGCTCTGCATCGTCGATTTATTGAAGTCCAACTCATCAATACTTTCGAAAGCCACTGCATTCCCCGCATTAACTTTGCCTTTCATCCAAACCGTTCGTCGTGGACGGTGAATCGAAGACAGTTTCCTTTGCGACTCGCGTATGCAACTACATTTTTAATGGTTGTCAAGGCTTGACGCTGGCACGAACCGTGCTCGACCTTCGAACGGATCCCTTTGCTCACGGTCAGTTGTACGCGACACTATCGAGGGTAAGAACGCGAAGAGACACGATGTGTCTATTCGCAGAGGCGAACGAAGGACAAGATTGTGCTAATATTGTATCTCCTGCGTTGCTACTGTAAAGTATTGTTGTATATAACTGACCGAAGAAGAGTCTTGCTACTGTAAACACAATGTATTATCATGGAGCCGACTGAAGGGGAGTCCTTGTAAAAAATAAGGCAAGGACTTCCATGTACTTTGCTGGGGTCAAATATCCGTTTCGGAGTCGTAACGGACTGTCCCCTAGCCAGACCATGTGGAAGGAACTTGACAGTCGTTCCTTCTTCAAGTTGGTTACTATGCAATGGATGCCTCGAGTGGCCTTGCGCGAACTTACCACAGATCCGGAGATTTTCAAAGGCTAGCCTTCTAGCTATCGTCGGCATAGTTTTCATGCACGCCGCATGCTGAGACCTCGTTAAGTAAGCCAAGCAGTGCACCACCTAGGATTATCTATTTCCAGATCGTCATGCTGCTCGAGATTGAACCTCAACCTCATGCTCGACTCCAGACTTGTCGATATATTCTACAAACCTAGACAAGGAACTCACGATCGACGACTCCTACCCGAAGTACATCCGACCAAACACCTTTCCACCCACCTGATACACTCATCTACTTTCACAAACACTTCCTCGACGACCTTCCTCAAATACTCATCTTCAAACCCTTGCACCCTGCCAATTGTCAATTGCGGCGTCTCCGCACCATAACCCGCATCAAATTCTTCTGGATTTAAGACTATTGTTATCCGAGCTCGCTTCTCGGCATGCTTGCCATCCTGCCCTGTCTGCATTCTGGGTGGTCCCGTGTGTGCTCCAGCTTGTCTAGATTCCGACCGTTGATATCCAAGTGCGTCAGCCAACGCTTTCAGTATCCGTTTCTGTAGTAGCACAAACACGGGGTCATTATGGTTGAGTGTGCGGGCAACAGCCGCGCGAAGCCTGATCTCCTCTTCTTCGGAGAGCACGACACCATCCAGTCGGCGGGCACGAACGACCTCATCCGCGAGATGCACGAGCTTTGTGTCGCCTGAATCTGGCTCTTCTATGATTTCCGCTTTGAGAAGGATCCACAGCCGCTCCATGAAGCTCATCGCGTCGCTCCCTTGCGCACCTTGAGGCACACGGATTAAGGTGCGCAGAGAAGCAGCGATCACGAGTGCTTGTAGATAATTCTGAATTTCGAGCAGCGCGGGCGCAGAGAAGAAAAAAATTGGCGGAAGGGAGTTCTCGATGGACTGTGGCTCTCTGGTCGGTAATTGACAAGATATAGGGGTCGATAATCCTAGCGCCTGTACAAGTCGCATGACCCACTTCAATTGCGACTCAGCGGCGACGCCGTTAACCTGAAAAGACGGTTGATAGTTCTCAAGCCATATCAGCCAGCTAGACTCTATCCGCCAGCTCTTCCAAATATCCAAGATGTTTCTGCGTTCTTTGGTTTTTGCCTGTTTAGATATTGCAGACTGCAGCTGCTGCTCAGTCATGTTTCCCAACACGAATTGGGAGAGTTGTTCTTTCATAACATCTGAGATTCTGAGTATGGATTTCACCGTGTCTACCACTAGCGTGGCTAGTGAGATAGGACGCGATGACCGGGGGGGAGGTTCGTCCAGTAAACGAAGAAGGTCATCAAGCTCTTCGTCCTGGACTGGCGCGCAACGCTTGCGCAGAGACGTTACAACCTCACGCAAATGCATGATAGCTGAATCTAATGGAGAAGACGTCGGAGGTAACGGCGAGGAAAGTGTGGTAATGACAGGATTCTGAGATGGGAGAAGAGGTGTCAGTGCAATGAGGAGGTCTTGGTACAACGAGTTAATGCGTGGTATCTGGCAAGAAGGCTCCGGATTCGAGAGTGATTCTATGGCCTAGAGAGCCCTCAGATGGCAAAATATCCGAAGCACATGGAGCCGCACCTCGTCCCAGAAAGCTTTATGCACGAGATCCTCAACCTTATCACGTAATGTAGGTTTTCCGGCGTCCTTTGCCCTCTTTGGGTGAGCCAGACAGCATTGAAACGAGGGACTTGCCGGGAGGGACAACACGCTTTGGATCTGTGGCAAGCAGGTGATGGAAGTATGTGCGGTTAAGAATTTCTACCAGCTCTAGAGGAAGCAATACCGGATCAGATGTCGGGATGAGGGGAGACGGTGTAGATTCAGAATCCGGATAAATTATTGAGAAAGAACTCTGTAATGCTTCACTCGCTGGACGAGAGGGTGGGGGTATATTTCTGGTGGGTTTACGGTTGGACGGTTGAGTAGTCAAGACACTGCGCAGCGTATGCAAAAGCTTTGTGTTATCTTCGGATATGTCCCATAGCCCTTGATCCTGTAGCCGTTGGAAATCCCGGATGAGACTGTCCCAAGTGACGCGCTGAGTAATTGCTTCGTTGTGGTGTAAATCTGTCAGCAATAAGATGGTATCTCGAAGTAAAGCATTATCTGAAGCAATCTCTGCTTTGGCTTTAAGCTTAGATAGAATGGCCTCCATATTGGAGCTCGACGCCTTGCACGACCTAGAATGTGGTGGTCAATGATCAAGAATTACATCAGTACCTGAAAGGAATCCATTTTAGGACAATCACACGACTTTCATTCGTGTGCGTACGTCACAACTCTTGCTGGAGTCAGCCTACTAGCTGTATACAAAGACCACAATTTTAACGAACTCGAAGAATTCCTACCACGACCGCATTAACGGTGTGTTCGCCTTAATTTGCAGCGCTTGATGTCCCAGTCAGCAGCAACTTCACTGGCGACCTCAGTTCCCACTCTCACCAGTACTATCGCTCAGGCCACAGGAGAGCCATACACCAGCGATCCAGTTCCTGCTCATCATGCCAGTCCCCTGGTAGCGTTCATAATTGGGCTGGCGATCATTTTGCTTGCGTCTATCCTGAATGCTGCTGGTCTAAATATCACCAAGTTGGATCATGTGAGTTTCTACGACGTGCCACGCCTCAACTCTATTTTGATATCCTCAATTTACAGGTGCGGACGAGCACTATTCCAAAGTCAGCCCGCAGGCGAGACTGGCTGCGACCACTATGGATCCTAGGCATGGTTTTATATATTTTATCCCAGCTCATAGGGAGCACGCTTGCCTTGGATTATATGAGGGCAGGCACGTTGACTTACTTCCTCTCAGAGCATCCCTTTCTGACAATTATCCGCTCAGAATATGTTGCCCCACTCGGATCTACATCTCTCATCTTTAATTTCCTATTCGCTAGATTTTTAATTGGTACCCCGGTCACACAAACAGATATCTATGTGAGTTCCTCCTCACCCTATTTGCACGCTTTGCTAATCAGACTCAGGGTACGATGACCGTAGTACTCGGCGTCATCGGTATCGTTGCCTTTGGAGCTGTCAACAGTGGTCTGTCAACGGAAACGGATGTCAACCATCTCACCGCTTTATGGCGGCGTGGTGGTTGGCTCGCATTCTTCTTCTGCATGTCCATCGCCCTCATTCTCGTCCTCATTTTCACAAATTCCCTGGACGATGTTCTCGCTGCACGGTCAGACTTGGACTCGGAACCCTTTGCGGGCATGAGCGCACGGAGGTCGCGCGACTCAAGCACTACTTACCTCGGAAAGGCCAAGGACAGCTGGAATACATGGATATTATGGGTTAAGGAGAAGTTAGAGACCTGGACTGCGCCTCAGGATGATACGCAAGTCGCGTGGGTGCTTGGAATTGGCTGGGCGTGCTGTGGGGGTGGACTTGCTGGAGGGTGTCTGGTTTTCGCCAAAGCCACGTCAGTTCCCTTTGTTTCCTTTCATTTGCGTTTTTCTGACTCGGAATCAGCGTGAAGTTAGCTAACAGGAAGCCTCTCGCATGAGAACCCTGGAAACCAGTTTGGCCATCTAGCTCCTATATTCACAATCATTCTACTCGTGATCACGGCTGTACTTCAGATCATTTGTCTCAACCGTGGGCTTAAGGTCTACGACTCCACTCTCGTTGTCCCAGTTTTCTATGGCGTCTATACTGCAACTGGGTATGTTCATTATTCCTGTTTTCCTGTTTCAATTCCGCCTATTCTTATCTGCGACCTAGTTTTTTGGACTCGTTGGTATTCAACAACGAAGTTGACGCCTACAAGCCATGGATACTCTTCCTTATCTTCGCCTCAATAATGATTCTCATCTCCGGTGTGGTCCTTCTGACACATAAAAAACCTGAACGATCAACTCGTGCGTCTGCTGCCACTGGACTGTCCGGCTTGTCGTCTCATAAAGCTGCTCGGTCCTCTTCAAAAGTCAATCGTATAGATGAAGATGATGAGAACGATGACGAAGAGCAAGCTTTGAGAAAAACAGAAGAAGGTGAGGAGGATCGGGCAGTACTATGGCAAGTGGGGGATATTAGCGAGGACGAGGACGACCAAGTTGGTAATGGACATACGCCAAAAGGCGTGCACGTGGCTGGAAGCACGACGCATGTCACTGGAGAGGGATCTAGGCTGATGCGAGATGAGGAGGAAGTGAACTTCGAACAAAGACACGAACACAGTCACTACTCGATTTCCTCGGACACAACACTGGCTCAGAATCCGCAGGATCCATTCCACGACGATGATGACGAGGAGTTCGGGCAGTGGAAATGACAGATACCGTCCATGCTACAACCCCATACCCGTTGAATCAACGTTGGACTGCACATATATGCAATATTTTCATAATGGCTTCATACATTATACTACCGGAACCCTACATTCACACGCGTCTAATACTTGCTTCGCGAATTTCGTAACATTGGTTCCGTTGATCGGGTGTTTGGTTGACCGAATCATATGTATTTGCTCAATAACTTGGTAGTTAGTTTGTAGTCTCTTGTAGTTAGCTAACACAAATTTGCCAACTTCGTCATCTCCACCATGGTCGAGTTGAATGCAGAACAAGAAAAAGACCTCGACGAGCTTGAAGACGATTATCAGTCAGACAACGACGACCCTAACGTGTTCAAAGTCAGAGATGCATTAACGCCGCCGTCCGCGATGAGCTACTCTGCGCAAGATTTACACAGTGCGTCGGTTAACACACAACTCATGGAATATTCTCTTACATACTGTTGACCTCAGGATACATACACGAAGGCTTTATTGACCTCAACCCCATTTATCAACGAGGCGAGTTAACAGAACCCACACACTTGACGTATATTGAACAATAAGCACGCAGACGTTGTTTGGCCAGAGACTAAGCAAATTGGTCTCATCGACTCTATCTTTCGAAACTTCTACATCCCCCCCGTGATATTTGCTGTGACCAAAGATGATGATGGAGAGCCTATTCGTATTTGCGTGGATGGGAAACAAAGGCTCACTTCCATACAAAAGTTTCTTGACGGCTTGGTGAGTGCTTCATTGTAGTTTTCACGCGGCCTTTATTGGTTTCTTATGCTATACGAGCGTTAACAGATACCTCGTGAGTGTGATATTTGATATCACTTAGTCCTCATGTTGAACAGTGAAATACAAAGATCGAGACGTGCGCACAAAGAAGAGCTATTGGTTCGTTCGTTCCGCGAAGCAGAAGACTACACGCTTAGAAATACCAGAAGAGTGGAAACGACGGTTTGCAGAAACCAGAATTACGTGTGGTTCGTGTTTTGACTGCATCACCCCTCTGAGCCATTCACCTTTGTTTCCCTGTAGTCGAATATCATAATTTGACTCCCGAAATCGAGCGCGAAATCTTCCAGCGGGTGCAGCTTGGTGTACAATTGACTGCTGCAGGTGCGGCACTTCTTTAATAACGCGATTTATACTGACGGATGTGTCCAGAGAAACTTCAAGCGATTTCGTCGCCGTGGGCTGATTGGATCGCGGACCTCGAGCTGCGTCATGTGAATGTAGACAATAAGGGACTGGCCAGTGTCCTCGAGTGGGACACTACACGTGGAAGAGACTTCCAATGCATTGCGCAACTAATATATTGCTGTGATGGCCTCTCAGACCGCCCGCTTCCCACAGCCCAGAAACTAGAAAAATGGATGAAGCGGGTGGATAACCCACCAACAGCGTTCATGACGCTGATCAATAATGTACTGTCGGATTTTTGGCACATCGCAACATCATCTGAACTCAACGCCGCTTTCACCGAAGTTGACAAACGCGTTGCGCCTGTTGAATTTGTATTCGTTGGTATGTGTCGTATCCTTAGAAGTGAATAATTTGCTCAGCATATGCTCTACCTATGTTCCAGGCGTCATCCTTTTCGTTCTTCGGGATCACACAATTGAAGAAAGAGCGAATGCCATCCTACATATGCGTTTACGGATACGAGAACAATTCCGCGACGTTCGGAATAATGGTCTTGTGGGGAAGGCCATGTGGAATTACGTTGATAGTATCACTGGTCCTTCTGGGTTGAGAGTGTTGGACGCTCCAATGATGGCGATTGCGTCCACTTCTACGGGCGCGAAGCGGAAGAGGAAAGGTTCGGATGCCGATGATGACTATCATCCCTCGCCCATCAGGAGTCTAGGTTCGAAGGTTAAAACGCGCTCATCGGCATCAGGCAGGAAATGATTGTCTCGTGGTGTTATGAATTCTACAAGAGAGATTTGGGCTGCACAGTGGCTTACAACAAATACTATGGTCGTGCACATGTCTCCCGTATCATAGTATGTAGATATGCTATTATAAATTTCAGTTGTTATAACTTACTCTCGCAGTGTACCATACTCCCTCAGTATCAGTCAGAGCTCTGGCGTGTTTGAGGAGTAGTTTATCTCTTTCCTTGGAGTTAACGGCAATGTCACGTAAGAAGTGCTCGATTTCCTCATGTTTCCATCGTTGGCGAGTCAGGAATAGCTCAACGAATCTTGCGGCTGGGTCGACCGGCAATGCGGAAGATGGGAAGTAGGTCAATGTCGCTTCCCCTCCGTCTGAGGACAGATTTCGAAGGTAGTCTCCCTACAGATCATGACATTGTAGTTCAGCCAAGGGTTGCAGAACAACGCACCAAAAGAAGGGATAGTTTCACAGAAGGCTCGAAAGTGTCCCCTACTACGTTTTTCCATTTCTTGAGGAATTCGTTCTCAGAAATAGGGTTATGCTAAGTCTGGCATCAGGTATCGGCAAGCAGAGTCAGAAAAGAACAAACAAACCCTATGGTGGCGAAGAATTCCCACTCCAAGGCCTCTGATCACCGCATCAGCGTCCATTTTCCACAGGCCTTCTTTTACATCCCCAAACCAAGAGATGACTTGGTTCGATACTGCGCGGGGTATTTCATGTTCATCAGCAAGTGCAGACACCAGCTCCTCAATCGCAGCAGCTAGGTGTGAGAGGGACAGGGATATCAAGTAGTTTAACAGCAGTTCGAGAATAGTACTGAGATGCGCTGGGGCTATAGGCCGCAGCTGCCCTAAAATGATATCAATATGACGAGTCGAACAGCCATCACACGAGGTTTTGCTCCTACCTTCAAGGACGAGGATACGTCTCTCTTTCAGACCGCGGACAAACTCAGCTTCGCTAGCCTGTATTTCCCTACGAGCCTGCTCATAGCTATATTTTGGCATGGTTGCCTTGTGAACATGGATGAGATTATATGCCCCGTGTATACTGCATGCTGGCCCACCTGCCTGTCCTCATCTCCCTCGTCATATTCCATGTCCCTTAACAGGATAGAAAGCTTGTGCAGCTTCGGTACCACAGGCACCAGCTCCAAGATTTCGTGCAATTGGTCTCGGATGTGCACGGTCCCATCTGGATCCGATCTGGAGGGTGTCACAACCAGCACGGTATTGGACAACACGACAGAACGGACGGCATATGTCTTTTCTGATGTACATAGTACCGCATCCTCAGTCGGGTGCCCTTTGATGCAGAGGCTGGGTGTTATAGTCTCAAATAAGATAGTTGACGGTCGAGAGGAAAATCCACCTAGCAGTTTTCTCAGTAGTAGATTCAATTATTTGGTACAGCTCTGGAGGAAGCTCCATAAGCCTAAAAGAGCCTGTGTCTTGGGCAGTAGCTGCAGACAATCTGAGATCCAGTTCGTTCATTGTGGTATGGGTCTTGAATGGGTGTCGAGAAACCTCGACGCGCTGGTCACACTCGCACGTGTTGCAACGGTCACGCACAAAATAATTTACGAACTACACATTAAAGTGTGTGGAAAACAGAGAAACGAAGAAACGAATAGGTACATCGATGATACGTCCATAAACACAAATCCGATCAACTCCGAGGAGCGTGCGTGTCAACAGGGTGAAATTTCACGCGGACTTCTGAAATCTCCTTCCGCGCCTCCTTCAACGTCTGCGAGATCTTTACTTCTAGTCTTGATGTGGCCAAGACTGACATATTGCTCGGCACATCAGCTGTGAGATCCACATACATCATAGAGCCTGCACGCTTAGCTCGGAGATGTCGAATGGCAAGCAGTTCAGTAGTGTCATGGAAACCGTTGCCGGAGACAGAGGAGGACGAAGATGGTGAGGAAAGAAGAGGGTTTAATGCTTGTATTAGCTTTCGTTGCGAGTTCGCAGAGATGCCAGCATCTGTAAGCTCAGTGAACGCGCCTCCAAAAAGGTCTAAACCTTGCTTGAGGATAACAAACGAAACGAGGAGTCCTGGTGAAGGTAATAAGCAGTATAGAAAAAAGGAACTGGTAAAAATTGCTCACCTCCTATAGGGTCTAAGGGTAATGCAGGGAATAGCCATGATCCTATAATTGCAAAAAGGGCAACGACACTCGAATACGCGTCACTGCGATGATGAATAGCATTTGCATAGAGCACCGGACTATGTTCTTCGTCGGCAACCTTCTTGGTTACTCGATACAACCACTCCTTTGCTACAACGCCGACTGCGGCGAACCAGGCTGCATTAGGGTCGAGGATGCCAGTATGACCATGCGAGTGACCAATGGCAGGAACATTATGAGCAACAGACGTAAATTGCTGGAGGAGGTCATGAAGCGGGGCCGGGTGGGATGGTGGAGACAGTTGTTACCAGTGCTTCCACGAGGAGGTGGTACGAATGGAAGCCGATGCCTAGTGCTCCTCCGATAAGCAACAGTGACACGGTAGTTGTCCCAAGAGTCTCGAATTTGGCGAATCCATACGGGTAGCGTGCTGAAGGTGGCCTCCTTGACAGTTTCCAGCAAAACAGCACAACAAAGTCACCGAGCAGATCTGGAAACAATCGTGTTAGTGCGAAAAGCTGAGTTGTTTGTTGGAGTCACGAACCACTCATGGAGTGGCCAGCATCTGCTAGCAATGAGGCAGAGTGCATATACCAGCCCGCGAATCCTTTGGCGCCAGTCAAAGCCACGTTGGAAAACAGCCCTATAAGCGTTATTCGACTCCCTCTGTCGCCTAATGGATAATTAGCTACGCTTCAACTAACTAGGGATCACAGCTCACCAGCAGTTTGAAGCGCCTGTACTATCTGCCCTGCATCATGTCCATTGCCATGTTCATCATGCGAGTGTGAGTGAAAGATCGAATGCGAATGTTTGCCATGGGCGTCCGAGTCTTTGTGACGATTTACGACGTTCTGCGTAATTTCTTCATTTCGTGGACCTCGCTGAGTCGAGTTTGCTCGTCGGATTGCCATTCCAAGGTAAGATGTAGACGGATACGTAAATGACCTGACGACAAATCAGTACTCGTCAGTTCTGGGACTCTGGATGTACCTAGTTCAGTCTCCACTCACCTGAGACTATTTGAAAACACGAGAGCAGGGATCTTATGATGACGCTGTAGGTCCGAATGATATACTCTACTTCGCAAAGACCCCCTCGGGAAAAAATACCGGGAGACAACAGGCAAAATGAATGGAAATGATGCCAAGGACCCCGTTATCCGAGTCGCGCCTGCAGTGTCAGGAGCAGTCACGGCGGTGTGAACAGCCCTGAACAAGCAGCGCTCAAGGTTCGCAACCGCCTTCATGCCCGGGCTTGTCACAAGTGAGACAGAGATATGGCCTAATGATACACATTTGGCAAGGCCACCAGATGCTGTACTAGTCAGAAACACTACTAGGGCAGTAACCTCTCCGCTTATGGCCGAATCACCCCTCCTATTATTGTACTGATAGGTCCGATGACCTTTCGCAGCACTAATCAAAGATACGGGTCTACCATTATGCCTGCTGACTGCTCTAGACCAATCAATATGTGCCACCAGCAGGTACCGTCATGATGACGGTACTACCCTGCTGCGTCATGCTAGTATTACTACCCCTTAGAGCCTGCCTTCGTGGTCTTCCCATATTTTGTAAACTGGATTCGTGGAAGCGGCCCCTCCACCAACTTGCCAAGTAGTCTTGTCATGTACGTCAATTACGCTCCACTGACGCACCTTTGTATCTATTTCCTTCGAAAGAAATGGACATATTTTCCATGATGTCCGAACCTCTAAAACCAACAGAAAAACCACCAACCTGATCCCAGTTTAATTTCTTCAACTTGTACTTCGGGCCGGCGTTGCAAAAAAAATAGTTGAGTGTGGCTCGTGCATATATTTACATTGGTGGCGTTTATCATACTCGATAACGAGCAGGACTTGAATCAGTAGATGCTCTCCAAAACAATCTTTACCTTTGAAAGCAACTCTTCATCCTCTTGACCAACTGCACGGATCGCGATCTGTTCAATGTCGGCCGTTGGCACGCCATATTGGCTCAACGTCCTCTGCAGCCCGAGCTCTTGTACAAGGCTATGGAAACTGAGAATTCATTCTGGGTGGATGGCAGAAGACACTTGCCTAGTGATCATGGACGACAGTTTCCTGACATCCCCGTCTACAGACCCAGTTGATGGCTCTCTGAGATATAATAAGGCTTCAGCAAGGTACTCCTTGTCCTCTTGGCTTGCTATTTCCGCTTGTAGATTGACGACCGGCGCAAGCGTCAAGCACTAGAAAAAGATCGTGGTTAGGAAACTATGTGCGGGTTCCGGGGTGTACTGACCGAGGTGATGCCGTGCGGTATCCCATAGGTTGCCCCAAGCTTATGACCGAGCGTGTGTGATAATCCTATCGGGCTTCACAAGAAACAAGTTGAATGTAAGCCACCCCCGCGTGAGATAACTTACCGGTGCACTTCAAGCTTTCGCGGCCATAAGCTCATCCACGACGCAACTTGCAGCCTTTGCCTGGCGACGAGATCTTTGCTGTCTTTCTTTGATAACACGAGAAAACGGAAAAGATCGGCGATGGCAGCGTGGCATAGCTTTTTCATAGGTAGGGGCACTCCAGGTCTGTATAGATTCTCTATTTCCAGATATTTAGAAGCATGGGACGTTGTGTATTATCTCCTTACCAACTGCATGGTCCAGCGCACGCACGCCAGAAGAAAGCCTTCGGAAAAAAGTGAGCATATACGGAGGCCATTGAATTGATGATCTACCATAATTGTTCAGGTGTTGAAAGAGTCAGCTCTGCGTCCAATATGATCCCCGCCGGAGGAAGATTTCGATGATTCAGAAGTACCTTGTCGACCCTGTTTATTGGTATAACCTGCACTACTCTAGAATATCTAGATAAGAAAGGGAGTTATGTATATCACTTCAAGATCTCACCGTGTATTCGGCCGCACTCAGGGTTGTTGGTATTGCGATTTGCCGAAAGAACTCCGGCTCTTTGCCAGATATTTCTTGTGCTCTTTGTTGCTGGAGCCTGAAAATAATAGCCTTTGACGCATCGATGGGAGAACCCGCCACCAACGGACACTATAATGTCGGCGTCGACTTCACGAAACTTGGAGACGCCGTTCTCGATACCAGCCTCAGGGGTATGCTCCCCGATTTCCGAGAAAGTGGCACCAAATGCATTGGATTTCTTCAGGATGTTCTCGATTTTTTCCACAATGCCAGTCTATTCGTCCGAGTCAATCATATGATTGACAGGTCTGAAGCGTTTCAAGCATCGAATCACCTTGTCGCGGAGAGACTTTCCTGTTACGATAAGCGCTCGTTTGGCTCCAAGAGTGCCCAAAAGTTCTGGGAGTGCGGTTTCAACGCACTTGGGCCCGTAGTAAACACCCTCGAGTGTGTTAGTATATGCGTAAGACCCAGCTGGCACCGTCTCATAGGCAGTCGACATCGTTGTAGACAAGAGTATTAATAATGATATCGCTCACCTGAGAGGACTATCAAGATTAATATATATCGCAGTATCATATAATCTATCATTGCAATCGTCAGTTATCGTAGTATCCCCACTCTATCCACCAGTACCCACTGAGGCGGCGGCCCGCATGTGAAACTCGTCGTGCGCTTGCTGACACGAATATCGGCAAAAGCGAGAAGTTTCTTGTTCTCGACTTGCACGAGGATCTTTAGTTATTAACTTGAATCTGGCCCAACCGTCTCATGGCGTCAAAGTCTTGACATGACGTGCTCGGCGAAAACCACTACTAGGCCATTAATGTCACGGTTAACATAGTCCAACACCCCAGCACACATCAGCAAACTACCAATTTGGTGACAGAGTGCCACAACAACAACAAATAGATACCGAACTTGACAAGCGTCACAAGCCAACAAGCATTTGCGGTTACAAAGCCGTTACAAATATCTACAGAGCGATACAAGCAGCACAAATAAACAAACTTAACAAAGTATGTAGTGCCCAAAAAAAAATCATAATAGAAGTGCGAAAAAAACATATATATGTACCTCCAAATCAAACAATTTTGTGAGGATTGCCATTCTAGCTCAAAGTTTGGAAGTAGTACTACTGTACTAGTATAAACAAAGTTTTGATGCAGCCAGGATTGTTTATGAAGATGAATGACTTGGACAAGAGGTTGTCTCAATAGTAATGATTCAGTGATAACAAAAAAAACAAATGAACACTTACCACCAAACCTGTGATACTGTTGTGGTGTTCAAACTTGGGCTAGCCTCACAGAAGCCCTTTTTCATATAGAGGTCAAACTATCCAGGAACTACCTTCCACACATCTTTCACCACTTCTCTACCCTTGCCAAATTTGGCCGGAACCTTTGGCCAAGTCATTGGCTGCATGCCCCATGCCATCATCAGCCGACCTGACTGCAGTCTGTCGCATTCCCATGCCCTACATGCTTAAGGATGGTCAGTGATATGCAATAACACTCCCTACCACATTTCCCTTGCATCCACCTCATATCCATTCATGTCCGACATTTTGCACAGCCACATCAGATGTTCCTGCACATCTGGACCATTCCTGCGCATCTGCTTAACCTCCGGCTGAGTTCCTGTGCCTTTGGATTGCTCAAAATCCAATTTAGGAAAGCCCTGTGCCAATTCCATGTCCATCCTAGGGATCTGCACGGGTAAACCCAGGGTACTTGGGCATCAACCCGTACCCATACCCGCACAAACCCCTTACCCGTACACCAGGGTAAGGGTCGGACAGCAGGTACGGAGGGTATTCACGGGTTCCGCGGGTACTTAGCGGGTAGCGATCAAAAAACTGACAATGACATAGCTACAAACATAAAGTAAAGTCCTACACAGTGATATCATCCCACCCATCATCAAGTGCCTTCTCATCACCTACAACCTCAGGTAAAACAACAACTGCCTTGATGTCGTTGTCCTTGACAAGACCCATCAGCGACCAGGCACCCAAACACAAGAGAGCATGCGTGGATTGAGCCAACAGTCGACTACGCACGTGAGACAGTAAGAGACGCCCGCGACTGAATGTCCGTTCAACATCAACAGATGTAGCTGTAGATATTAAGTACTAAACACCAGGTGAAAAAAATAGAACTCACCTGGAATAGTGAGATAGTCCATAGCCATGCAAGACAGGTGGGGATACATTGCACGATGCTCATGCCACCAATGAACGGCATCATCGATGTCCTTGACATTGGCCTGTAAGTACATGTCGAGTTCGTGGTATGTAGTCTTCTCCTTTGACTTGGACAGTGCCGGCAGGCTGTCAAATATATTAGCAGAGTCGTCATCCTAGAATGTATGATCAATATATACCATGAAAACTGCAAAATGAACAGATTACAACATACCTTTTTTTTTTACCAGTCAGCATAGAGACTTGAGGCTCAAGAACGGCGCGGTGTGATTGATATGACTGAAGGTATCACTCACAAACAATGTCCTTGGCTGTTTCAATCCACTCAGGCTTCCATCCAGCACACTTGAAATATTCTAGCTTGTGCTGTTGTCTTCTTAGATAGATGATCTATAGATAAACACCTATAAAACCAAATATCTCCACGGTCAGTGATTCAGACAAATACCAATGACTGATAATGTGGTCGTTTGTGGGTGGCTGATTAGCAATACCTAAGCCACTGTCAGCAGAAGGTGCCTAGTGAGGTCAGTAATGTGAGTGATCAATCCAACAATGCCTGGACAACAGGAAACAACAAAAGAAACAAATATACCTTCTCGTACCAAAAAGATGCCCAATGGCAATCTTACTACAAAGATTCATGCGAAGCTACAATGGTCACTCCCACAATGCAAACAGGTAGGATCACTGGTCAGGACTAGTCAATTGCTCAAAGAACTTTCAGTACTATTGAACCTGCTGTCAAGGAACTCACTTCAAGTATTAAACAGAAAACAGGAACGGACGTCCTTGGTGTTCGGCACCAAGTCCCCTTTCAATAGCTAAAGCTGTATGGCAATGAAACCCTAGCTCAGTACCACTACTCAGATGTGTGTGGTCAAACACACAATTATCAACTTCAAAGCTCCCCCACTAAGCTATGCAAAGTCTTAGGTGGACTAAGGAGACAACACAAAAAGTTGCAGGAAAATAAAAGAAGAACTCGGAAAAACAAACAAATGGAGGCAGTACCAGGCTTGGTGGTTGTGGAGGATAATGAGCTCACACTAATGGTGTCTCACAGAAGGGTACCTTCACCAATCTTCAACAGCTCTTCACTGTTGTTTGGCTACAGTCACACTTCACACTCAAGAACTGGGGGATAAAAACACACACTTTTATTGAGAGAGAAGGGGCTCTTATATAGACAAAATTTAAGGGCTATGCTACCAGTACTTTAAGGTTCCTGTCAAGTCATCTCCAGTTGAACTGAGTCATATAAGCTAGTGTGAGTCATACTGAATCAAGTTGAATCATTGTGAGTCACTTTAGATGGTTGAGTCACTTGGGTATATAAATGAGTCATCTTGACTTGTTAGTCATGTGATTTCTCATGACAAAGCAGAAAAGGTCTGGACACTGATTATGTAAGGTACCAGTCCATGTGTTATGTTTGTGTTTGTGTATTACATTTTCTGTTAGGGGCTGAACTGGTGCAGTGCTTTGTATTTAGGGTTTCCTGCATGTTCCCACAGGACAACTTGTGTGGGAAATAATTTTCACAGTCACCTGACATGTGAGAAGTTCATGCTGAGTCATTTTTAAGCCAAACGAAATGAAACTGAATCCAAGAATAAATCCCCGAAAATATTCATTCCTGTAAACTGGGTTTGCAGAAGAATGAGGAAAAAGAAGCAAGTCCTTTTCCTGGGCCAGGCTTTGGCTCAGGATGTTGCAATCATGGTCTTCATGATGCCAGGCTTCTTATGAGAATGTTAGTCAGCCATGCACCAGACTAGTTTGGTGCAGGTCACCGTGGGTGAAGAACTGTAAGGAAGTGATAGTTAGTGACAGGTTATTTCTGCAAAGCACAAAAAACTTACCCATTGTGATCCAGTATACTTCTGAGGCATCGGTAAGTGAGTAGTATCGGTTCAGAGTCTTTTTGGCCAGTCCCAAAGCAATGTGTATCGCAGGATGAAGAAGATCTCTGTTGATCATGCCATTTGTGAAGGTGGTGTCAATGTGGTCCATGGCAGGGATGACCATGGAAAGGTTGGGCATTGCCCGTGAGAAATACAGAGTGGCGTGTTTGAGAATCTAGAATGGAAAGTTCCGGGTGAGTCAGGTGACGTGATACTTTGCAAACCCTTGCTGAAGCTGCCGCACACAACGCCCTCAACAAGCTGCCGCACACAACACCCTCAACAAGCTGCCGCACACAACACCCTCAACATCACTCCTCTCTCACTCAGCATTGAGACCATCAATGGTCCAACCGCCATGCTTTCCAGTGACACTTCTGAAAAGACCGTCCCTCCAGCTTCTTGATGTTGTCACTCAGTATGGACAACTCACCTTCAGGACGTCGCGCAACTGCGTCACCATCAACCATTCCTCACCGCTCAACTTGTACTCCCCCAGACCGAGCCTCCTTTTGTCCATCATCATGTCTATGCCAGCTCAGTACTCCAGTACAAAGTTCAGCATGTCGAATGTTGAGTTCCAGTGCATTGAGACTTCGCGGGGCATAATCTTCACTGGCAGCTTCAATTCCTTCAGGTTCTTCTTCCATGCAGGCAGCAGCAGCATTGTTGAGTGCACAAGTTTGAATGCCAGTTTGCGAAGCTGGGCACTCATGTTAGCAACCACCACCACCCAGGTAAGTATTCACATACCTTGACCAGAGTAAGCCTGATTGGTTTGATACTTTCTGCCAGTGTTGCTTGCTCGTCCAGTGTAAGAAGTGCGACCTCATCAACCAAGTCATCCACAGCATCACTCTCCTCACTCTCCTCACTACCCCCAATGGTCATGTCGTCTTCCTGGTCAATTCCAACTGCAAGATCTTGAAGGTCATTGTCGATGGCTTCATTTGTGTGCTCTTTGTGGATGTCAAATTGGCGGATCAAGGATTTGGCTACTAAATTGATGATATGAAGGAAACACTGGGTATGTGTGTTCTTGCCGCCGAAATGAGCTACCATGTCCGGTAATTCATCCACCATAGTATCGTTGTTTGAAGTGTTGTCAGCTGTTATGCTCAATATTTTGTCTGATATTCCGTAATCATGTAGAATCTTTGCAAAGGCTTCAGTGAGATTTGTTCTGCTGTGCGACTGTAGTGCATTAAGCATGGCACCTCATATGTATTTGTATGCACTCACTTTTGGAACCTTGACAATATCAAGAAGCATCACAATGGGTTCGCCATCATGCTCAAAGTGCACAGTGACGGCGACAAAGGCTTGGTGATTCGGTGAGGTCCAAGCATCAGTTGCAAAGTTCAATTCACCATCATGTTCCTGCAACATCCGCGCAATCTGTTCGCGTGTATGGGCAAACACCATTTGGACATCGTGAGAAACTGTAGCTGGTGAAAGTATGTAGTGTTCAGGGCATCCCGTTGAGGCGATCTCAACCTGGCTGGGCTGATATGAAATATCTAAAAAATGCTCAACCAGTATAAGTGAGTCTTGGCTCTGCCTAGCTGCTATACTCGCAGAATGCAAGAACGTTCGACCCTAAAGGGGACTGCTACTGAACACAGAACCAGATGAAAGAAAGACCCTTGAAGTGCGATGGATGCGCGAAAGCGCAAGAAGAAAAGCGAAGTGAGTGTGAAGCGTGAGAGAGCGCACTAAGGTAAGCGCGAGCGTGGGAACGTGAGCGCTAAGGCGCGCGTTGTGCGGAAAATACTGGATAAGGAAACAGATAAGGAAGCGGATGTGCAAAGTGAGTGCAAACGCAGAGCGAGTGTTATAATGAGTGTGGATAAAGGTCTAGTATAGGCGGATAATGATAACCATTGGAAACACAAAGTGCGCCCAAGTGGTGACTACTACTTTAAAGTAAAACCCAATAGCGAGGGAAGTACAGCAAAGGGGAGTAATAATGATGGAGTAGTAAGTCAGCAACTTTATACTATGGAAATCGCATCGGAAGCGGAAGGGATAGGAGCAATAAGCGCTATGAATACGTAATGATATGTAATAACGCTGCAATGCTTGTTACAAACCACGAGGCAAGGCATATGACGTACCAATGAGGTGGGTGGACATAGACGGACGTTCCTGGATGATAGGCGATGCAGGGCGCTTAAGCGCGAGAAAGAGCGCAAGGTGCGCATGTGGGAATGCTGCGCGTTGTGTGGGAAAGTGCCGCACCTATGGCGCGTTCCGCGGGAAAGTGGTGCGCTCTATAGGGAATGACTAGAGGGTGATGGTGCAAGTTGTGCCGTGAAGGCCAGTCATCAGAATTCATAATATGAGCCCATATGAGCCCACAGAAACGCGAGTCTCTACACCATTTTCATAAGGCATTGAAAGCCATGGTCCTTGACAATCTCAAATGGTCGAAGGTTTTCTGACACCCAACACACGATCTCGGCATTACAGAGTCTCCATTAACATTGTTTTAACATTGTAGATTTGTATGTACTCACTGTGTTTCTGTTTTGGTATGCTGATGGTGTGAATAGGTGACTTTTCCCTTGCCTTGACAGTCGAAGGATGTCTGAATGGATCCCGTTTCAAGTATACTTTGGACGACTGTTGCACAAGCCTCTGTTGCATTTTTGTTTCGCATGCAGCCTCAAGTGCATGTTCACCCCAGCAAACCTTGACATGTTTGCAAAGATTTCCTGTGGACTTTGCATCACCAGTGTCTAGGAATCGATGGACACGCTTCTTGCATCCCTTTGTGGCACACTTGAAAGTGTGGCTCTGACGGCCATGGACATATTCAATGTCAGGCTCTGGGTGAAAAAATGCATAAACGGGTGAGGTCCAGTCTCGTTTAAGATGCTCTGACATAGATTTAGCAGATATTTAACTATTGTTGCAAGACTGACATACCAAGCTCGCTCTCGGATGACTCGCCCTCATCATTCTCCGAGTCTTTTTCGGACTCTGTATCAATGACCTGACTGAAGCTGCAGGGCTAGGTTATTTAATACTATTTTGTGCAACTGATTGAGGATCCTTCTCCAAGTCGATGATGGAAACTGCAGGGCTGGAAGTAGGACTGGGAGAGTTGCTCTGGTTCTTGGGCTTGTTCTTTTTGAAGGGATTCTTGATACTGCTACTACTGGCCTTTCGTTTGAGCTTCCTAGTACCATCCACAACTGCTTGAGCTGCCTTCTCCGTGATCTTCAATACTCTTTTACCTAAGTTAGACATGATAGAAGGATGAGAATATATCTAAATTTTAAATTTTAAGATTTGTGGGGTTAGAGTTGCCATATCCTGTACAGTTATTGTAAGTTGCCGAGCATCTTCACAGCCCTTGGAACAGCACAAGGGTAGCCACGGGTCAGGGGTATCCCATGCCCATACCCCTACCCATACCCTCAGGTACCCTACCCCTGACCCGTATGGGTTACCCATACCCCTGCAGATCCCTAATTCTGCTAACAATGTGTGCGAGCAGATATTTTTGCGCACAAGGATCTACCTAGCCTGCAGAGACAGGTGGCTACACTCATTTTAAGTGGACTCCGTATATATATATTTTGTATGTCCTATTGCTAGCTGCTTACCATAACGCAGGACGTGCAACTGGTAAAATGGACATCACCATGAATTATCAGAACTATGATAAGGCTATTGTACTGGTCTATGGTATCAAGCTAGACGGCTGGCCTGTGGGCCTTCCCTTCATCGCACCCTCCCACTTGCACACTGTTGTGGAAGTTCACACACTCCGAGACGCTCTAAAGATTGGCAGTTGTCAGTGGAAGAAACTCACTCAACGGGAGATTGAAGACTTTCAGGAGGAACTCCAGAGGTGTGAAGAAGCAGGAGAGGACATCGGTATGGTTCGTAAGAAGCATGCAGATGCAGGCAAGCCCCGCAAGTGCAAGGCGCCCACAGACGACTCTGCAAATGTGTCTGGAGAGGAGAATCAACTGTCATCCAGGAAGAAGCACAAATCTCGTACTAGCAAGCAGTCCTCCAGTTGAAGAACGTGCAGCCAAGGAGCCATGAGATCATATCGGACAGCGAGGTCGAAGAGGTCATTAGCAGCACGGAGGCTGCCCTTGGCGTGTAGCTCATTAGTTCACTGTATCAAGTTTCATCACACGCACATGGCCTCAATTAGAGTAGCTATAGACACAATATATACATATATTAGTCTATATAAGCAATCATGTTCTCTCTGCAACTTGTCCGAAGCGAAACGGCCAAGGGAACCTTGAAAACGCGAGCTCACTGTGGTAGACAGCGAGCTCGAAGGTTCCCGGCAAGCGCCGAGCGTTGCCGAAGCCAGGAACCACGTCCTTGGCGACGGTACCATTATTAATAGCACGTACGGATGTTCCCGAGGTGCATACTCATCAAACCCCACAAGTCCGAGGGCAGCATTATCCAGCAATTATCCATCCAAGCGCTATATTACTCGATCACCCTCTAATTAGAGGCACACACCCGGTCCACAGGTACCTCTAATTACAGGGCCTACGTGGGAGTCACAGGTGTTTCCTCCCGGATACTGAGATAATATATTCTCCGTTTAGTTCTACCTCTCCTCGCGTGTGCTCACCGGTCATCACGACACTGTCATGTACATCAATTACGCTCCACTGACGCACCTTTCTATTTCCTTCGACAGAAATAGACATGTTTTCCATGATGCTGTCCGAACCTCTAACACCAACAGAAAAACCACCTACCTGATCCCAGTTTAATTTCCTCAACTTGTTCGGGGGTGTTACAAAAAAATTAGTTGATTGTGGCTCATGCATATATTTACATTGGTGGCGTTTATCATACTCGACAACGAACAGTACCCGAATCAGTAGATGCTCTCCAAAACAATCTTTACCTTTGAAAGTAACTCTTCATCCTCTTGACCAACTGCACGGATCGCGATCTGTTCAATGTCGGCCGTTGGCACGCCATATTGGCTCAACGTCCTCTGCAGCCCGAGCTCTTGTACAAGGCTATGGAAACTGAGAATTCATTCTGGGTGGATGGCGGAAGACACTTGCCTAGTGATCATGGACGACAGTTTCCTGACATCTCCGTCTACAGACCCAATTGATGGCTCTCTGAGATATAACAAGGCTTCAGCGAGGTACTCCTTGTCCTCTTGGCTTGCTATTTCCGCTTGTAGGTTGACGACCGGCGCAAGCGTCAAGCACTAGAAAAAGATCGTGGTTAGGAAACTATGTGCGGGTTCCGGGGTGTACTGACCGAGGTGATGCCGTGCGGTATCCCATAGGTTGCCCCAAGCTTATGACCGAGCGTGTGTGATAATCCTAAGGAGCTTCACAAGAAACAATTAGATGTAAGCCACCCTCGCGTGAGATAACTTACCCGTAAATTTTAACTTCCCGCGGCCATAAGCTCATCCACGACGCAACTTGCAGCCTCTGCCTAGCAACGAGATCTTTGCTGTCTTTCTTTGATAACACGAGAAAACGGAAAAGATCGGCGATGGCAGCATGGCATAGCTTTTTCATAGGTAGGGGCACTCCAGGTCTGTATAGATTCTCTATTTCCAGATATTTAGAAGCATGGAACGTCGTGTATTATATCCTTACCAACTGCATGGTCCAGCGCACGTATTCCAGAAGAAAGCCTTCGGAAAAAAGTGAGCATACATGGAGGTCACTGAATTGATGATCTACCATAATTGTTCAGGTGTTGAAAGAGTCAGCTCTGCGTCCAATATGATCCCCGCCGGAGAAAGTTTTCGATGATTGTGAAGTACCTTGTCACCCTGTTTATTGGTATAACCTGCACCACTCTAAAATATCTAGATAAGAAAGGGAGTTATGTATATCACTTCAAGATCTCACCGTGTACTCGGCCGCACTCAGGGCTGTTGGTATTGCGATTTGCCGAAAGAACTCCGGCTCTTTGTTAGATATTTCTTGTGCTCTTTGTTGCTGGAGCCTGAAGATAATAGCCTTTGACGCATCGATGGGAGAACCGCCACCAACGGACACTATAATATCGGCGTCGACTTCACGAAACTTGGAGACGCCGTTCTCGATACCAGCCTCAGGGGTGTGCTCCCCGATTTCCGAGAAAGTGGCACCAAATGCATTGGATTTCTTCAGGATATTCTCTATTTTTTCCACAATGCCAGTCTATTCGTCCGAGTTAAATATATGATTGACAAACCCGAAGCGGTTCAAGCATCAAGTCACCTTGTCGCGGAGAGACTTTCCTGTTACGATAAGCGCTCGTTTGGCTCCAAGAGTGTCCAAAAGTTCTGGGAGTGCGGTTTCAACGCACTTGGGCCCGTAGTAAACACCCTCGAGTGTGTTAGTATATGCGTAAGATCCAGCTGGCACCGTCTCGTTGGCAGTCGACATCGTAGTAAACAAGAGGTATCAATAATGTTGGAATTTGATATCGCTCACCTGAGAGGACTATCAAGATTAATAATCGCAGTATCATATAACCTATCATTGCAATCGTCAGTTATCGTCGTATCCCCACTTTATCCACTAGTACCCACTGAGGCGGCGACCCGCATGTGAAACTCGTCGTGCGATCCGAGTCGCTGACACGAATATCGGCGAAAGCGAGAAGTTCCTTGTTACCGACTTGCACGAGGACATTTAGTTATTAACTTTAATCTGGCCCAACCGTCTCACGGCGTCAAATGACGTGCTCGGCGAAAACCACTCCTAGGCCATTCAACAGGCGTCCGCCGGACCTGTGGACTGTTGCCGCGGACATGCAACTCGGTAACAGTCTATTTTCCTATCAGTCTTCTATCGAGTGGACTTTTCACGAACTGCAACTTATTATATAGTGGCAGCAATTTTTTTTACATAAATAATGCAATCATGAGCCTCCTGCACAAGTGTCATCGACTACCCACATTGGCCCCACGTCTAGTGGCCAGCAGACGTACTCTCTACAACAAAGACGGAACCTCTAGGATCCGGCTTAGGATCAGTCTATTCTCGTCCATGGGCAGAAACGATAACTCTGGTCGGCCGTTCAACTCTGCCGCCTCATTCCGCGTTACCGACCCACCAAACCCCAATTGGCAACTGAGACAAGGCCTCCCAGACGACGTCGAACCTGGAAAGTCGTGGAAAGCCGAAGAAGAGAAAGGCTGGAAGACTTGGGACCTCTCAGATATATCGCCCAGGTACGCGACCTCATGTAGTGCTGTGCAAGTACTGGTAGCAGAAGTTTTTGCTTCTCAAACCTAACCTTATCGCTCGCATATCACTGACTCGGACTGCTGACAGGGAGGTATACCCTTTATTGACTTCATGCATCGTGCCTCGCCCCATTGCGCTCGTGTCCAGCATGTCTTCGGACGGAATACCTAACCTTGCCCCGTTCAGGGGAGTTTTTTCAGTACATTTTTAGCCGACCGGTCTGACCTAACTTCATTGTACAGTTACTTTTCGATGGTGCGTCGGTCATCTTTTTGAACGCCTTGAAATTGACTTGTTTGTGCTGCTGGTGCATGAAAGGTCGCGCACAACCCGCCGTTATTGAGCATTTCCTTCTCTCATGCCGTGCGGACTGGGAAGTCCAAAGACACAAAGGAAAATATACTTGCGACGAAAGAGTTTACCGTAAGCATCATGAGCGAACCATTCATAGAAGCAGCGAATATCACGTGTGTCGACGCCCCTGCTGATATTGACGAGTGGGATATCAGCGGTCTAACCAGATCGACCAGTGTAAGTCCATTCCGGTTTAGCAGCCGCAGCGGTTGCGGGCCATGTGTCATATTCGCGTACGTGTTGACGCAATGCTTACCCTTACATAGATAGACGTGAGGTCACCGTGGGTCAAAGAAAGTGCCATTGGTTTTGAATGCGAGGTAGGCAATGTTTTTTTTTTTTGCCGATGCTCGCTTAGCAATGACATCCGCTTCACAGTTGTTCCATTCATATGAGATTTGTCTGCCCAATTCAAGCGAGGTCACGAATACATTGGTCTTGGGCCTCATCAAGCGGGCACATGTTAGAGAGTCCGTTTTGACTGCAAGCGGTACCGTTGATCCCGCTAAGCTTCGCGCCGTGTCACGCTTAGGCGGTGATATGTACGCGAGGATCGGTGAAGGTTTCGAACTTGCCAGGCCACCTTGGAAAGTGATACGAGATCAAGTCATTTCTGGCGCGCCTGAATCAGAGTAGGAAGGCTGATTGCACTATAATAATGGATACGAGTACGTATTGATAGATGGGTCCGCATGTTCATACCACTGCCAGTTTTGCATTTGGAAGGTTTCAGGTCGAGGGATGCGAACGGCGTTTCGAAGGGGCTTATGAAATGCCAAGACAACGTTCCTATGCGGAAGCATCGACCACAGAAGGTTACGGATATGGAATGCTTGTCGATGGACCTGATCTTTGTAGCCAACTTGGCCCGAACAAACGACGATGTATTTCTCACCACAGTGGAACAAGCTACACTTCCCCATGGTACCAGGTTGAAATGAGGCAAAGTGTAGTCCAGGGGGGGGGACATGCTCACTCAGGCCTTGAGAAATATTGATTAAAAGTTAGAAACACAAGGCATAAACGTGGATGAGTGATGTCACAAATGCACTGCTACAGGCAAGCCATGATGCAGAGCACGATGCGCGTGCCTTACTATCGATGATTGTTTTGACAAAGAATGATCTTCCAGCGCAGATCAATACCGGCCGCGTGCGCACATCAACTGGGAAAAGGATACCAACGAACAGGTGACTATTTGACAGGAACAACATGTGTTAGCTAAAAATACGAATATGGTCCACAATTCACCGCGTTAACATCACTAACTGTTTGAAGAAGCGCAGTTCACAGTCGCCCTGACTCCTCGAGGCAGCCAGTGCTCCGTCATATAGATAGTTGAGACATATGCGACACACTAGGAGCATGCATATGTGTCCTTATATTATTCCACAGCCTTGTCGTGACGGAACCTTTTAGTCACGTGTGTACTAGTACTTCCGCCGCATTCGGTCTCTTGCAGTTTAGAGCCTTTCTCTTCGTTTGTTCTTCCCCAACATTCAGCGCTCAGCGCCTAGCTCAACTACTAGGTGTGTTCTCAGTTCTCTTTTTCGTTAATAATACCCTTGACAAGTTTCAAAGACTGTCGTCTACAACAGATATCTTTGCTATTGAGGCGTACCCTAACCTTCCGGGTCGGATACGGCCAACAAACTACGTGAGTCACTTCTAAAATTGCATGAGCATAAAATTTATCTGCACCGATGGCCTATTCGGCTCTAGCATTCTGCCCGGGCATGGAGAATGATCCAGGGTCGGTCGCTGAACAACGCGCCAATGCGGTCGCGAAGCTCAAACGCGCTGCATCTTTACCACGACTGAAAAACGGGAGGCGGCCCCAGATGCACAACGAAGTTGTTAGCGAAGGCGAGAAAACCCTGCATGACGACGTCCAGGATCCATCGCAGGACACGCTCCCCGAATGCGTCTCTAATATTGACTACAAGCCGGATGTCCAGCCCGAAGAGAACCTAGACACACCTGAACCGTCTAACGTAACTCGCAAACGCCGCTCACGTTCACGTTCACGCTCTAGGGGTTCCAAGGATCTCAGAAAGTTCAAACCTCCCCAGTCTCCTCTGCCAATGTCTGTTACGCCGAGCAATGATTCTTCACCTGACGATTCACCCCCCTCGCGAGCTGAATACCTTCCACACTCAATTCTCGCACCAATACCCTCCCATCTCAATCCGTTACCCACTTCTCCGTTCATCTTACCTGGTTTCTTAACACCAGAGAGCCCTTTTCTACCTTCTGGTAGTTCTTCTCCTGTCCCAAGATTTCCCACATTGGAGGCTTTGGTGTCACAGCAAGGGCTTCAACGATCGAATAGTGCAGGTGCAGCCCGCATGCTAACTCTACAGAGCACATTACAAAAGCTCACGGGTGGCACGGAATTAATCAATTCGACATTTCCATCCCCAGCGGTATCTCCTCCGCCTTCTGGCACTAAACTCGGTCGGAACAATACTGTGTCTGGTGGGGAAAGTAGCGAACGTAGTACCTGCTCGAAGGCTTATGATGGCTCAACTGAACAAGAGGATGATAAAAGAGACGGATATAGAGGAGGAGGAAGATCCTCGACCGTTTAGCCCCTCGAAGCGACGCCAGAGACGACGTTCAAAACGTCAGTCCGCTAATCCTCCTGTGGCATCAACCACAGATGAATCCGATCTTGTTTCGACTACCAATGCCACGCCAAACCGTTCCAACACTCCTCAACTTCCAACCCGAGGAATTAGCCCCAAACATCCAGCGCACATCTTCCACCACTCCCATACCCCCGATACCAACATATCCTCCTATAACCCCGAGCATCAACCTCAATGAAACCATCAACTCCAGCCGTCAATCTACCCCCGTACGAGCTGTGCCACCCTCTCACTTTGATCACGCGGCTAAAAAAAGACGGGAGAGTGTTCTGATAGAGGATCCGGATGACGAGGACCGGATTCCCCCGCAGTCAACGTATTATGGATTACCAGGCGCTCCGAGTCGGCCATCTCCTAGCCTTTCCCCTCGCCTTCCTCATTCATCAGATGCCTCCACGGAGTCAGCACTTCCTGATGTAACGAGTGTGCCAATATTCCTGCCCCCCCATCTTGACAGGACTCCGTCTCGGCAAGCTAGATTCCCATCTAGTCCCTTCGCGAGACCTCATAAGGAGATATCATTATCATCCGACCAGGAGGAGGAGCGGGATCAGGAGGAGGAGGAATTTTTCCCAACAGAAGCTTTTCGACGGTCTCCATATCATGATGGTCTTAACCGAGAAATCAGTTGGGTGGCAGAGCCAGGTGAGTGCTGGCTGTCTTGGTTGATCAGGATGCCTAATTCGTTTTGCCGTAGTGCCGGAAACCCCCATGCCTGTGCACGAAGAGACAGAAGAGGAAGAGGATGACGAACCACTGCAGGATGAGCCGTCCCAACAAGTCACCGAAGATGAAGATGACCATCCACCTCCGGATTCGCCAAGAGAAGGGTTTAATAACCAGATCGAGGAACCGTCATCTCGCGCATCTTCTGACTCAAAGGAACTTTTGGTGGTGGAATTAGAGACATCTCCCGTGCCTACGCCCGCACTCACTTCGCCGACACCCTCCTCATTTGCCAATCTGCCTAACACCGCTTCCATGCTCCGTAACAGTGATGAATCGGATTCCCAACAGTACCCTCAGCGGCTTTCGGTAGCTATTCGCATGCACAGTGATAAATCTCCGGTGGCAACAGAGCCTGAGTCAACTGATCCCCAGACAGTTCGGGCGGAGACTCCTTCCAGGCGCGAAGGTAGCACATGGAGCAAGATCGTCCATACTCTAACGAGGAGCGCTTCAAGTAGCGGACGCCGGTCTCGGACAAACTCAATTGCGACAAGGGAGAGAAGACAGCATACCGACTCCAGTATCAGCCGGGAGAGTCGAACGAGTCTTCCAAGCCCGAAAATTGATAAGAACGACAGCATCAGTTCAGCTACATACCCACTCGGCCAGCCATCCTCAGCATCGACTTCGGTACATTCATTGATCCAAACTGCTCCTCCCAGCAGCGGGGTATCTCCTGTCCCCATGACTCCCTCCACTGATCCTCTGGCGAAGTACACACACGAAAAACTTATGCCTTTCCCCGGGATCAAGAAGCTGCAAGAGCAATGGAACCACCGTCAACCTCTCTTTTCGTCTACTCCTGATATCATTCTGTCGCATCATGTTGAGGCTGATATACCGCTGCCATCGAGTTCTTCTAGTAATACCCCTTCCAATTCTCCTGAGATAAATGGGGATAGGAAGTTATCGCACCAGGCATCAGATACCCATCTGTTGCATATCTACAAGGCTCAAGCACCACAGCTTTCTGCGTCTGCATCCACATCCTCTCATGATCACTACCTGCAAGGCAGTCCCCACTCGCCATCCTCTATCATGCTGAAATCCCTTCCAACCAACCGAGATGGGGTCCGGAGATGGCTTAGCGCCAGGAAATTGTTCCCTCAGCCTTCACAGTCGCCGGTAGGCAACTCACCTCCGACGCCTAGTCCCGAGCAGAAACCCGCAATAGCGTCTAGGAAGCCATCACTCTCTGACCTATTCCGATTGCGGAAGGAGAATGATTTGTCCGCCGAGCTTCATGATGAATGGGTAGATGTCGATCGTGACAAAACACGGGGTTCTGTTGGCAATGGGCAGCTGAAGAAGGCGAATGGTGAATTCTCCCCAACCAGCCCAAACAGCAGCTTTATCCGTGACGAGCTTCAGAAGACGCCACGAGCCAGTAAGATCGCTAGGCCTAATAGCCAGCCATACTCTGCCACAGATATGTCTCTAATACCCGCCACCCCGACAACCCCTTCTCCCCCTGAATGTCCATCGTCTACCACACCCGAGCCCTGGTCTTCACTGTCCGACTACCCCCGTCCCACAACATCCGAATCTTCTTCGTCCAACACTTCTTCGCATTATTCAAATTACCCTGCAAAAGGTGGCATACTGTTGGAGCGCTTGAATGAGATGTTGGGACGAGGTTCGAGAAGCCCGGTATGGCTATCTGCCATTGATGAGCCTCCACGAAGGGTTCTACGATCCTCTCCAGTCTTCCAGGTCGTGAATTCTAATATCTGCAAGGATCGCTTCCTCTTTCTGTTCAACGACATTCTTGTCATTGCTAAACCTCGCCCTGAGGATTCCGATACGTTCCTCGAGGTGACGAAGCCTAATCCTGCTGATCGGAAGTTCACCGTCAAGAATGTGGTATTGCTACGACATATCTGCTTCACTGGCGAGCGTGAGGAGCCGTATTCAAGAGCCATCCCAAGAACTCCTGCGGTACAAGCCTTCGTCGAGCAGTTCTCCATAGACCCGGATAATGCAGTCGCGTTGCTCTTCAGCAGCTCGGATCTTCGTGACGATCCTGCACTTGCGCAACTCCTGTTCAGAACTCCACATATTGACAGGGTGCAGCTCGGTGATTTTTTGTCGCGGCGTACAAGCCGTGTTGTGCTCAAGCATTACCTTGACGCCTTCGGGTTTATTGGAATGAGGGTGGACAAAGCCCTCCGGCTGTTCCTTCAGTCTATTCACATCCCGGAACGGGGCAACCACGGTGTCACTCCTTTCGACGTTCTTCTCGAGTCGTTCGCGAATCGGTGGTATGAGGCTAATGCAGTCCACATTTCTTACGACAAAGATTTGGCCTTACGTTTCACGAGAGCCATCGTGCAGCTGAATGACGTCTTGCATGGTGCTATCTCTCATGAGCCGGGTCAAATGGGACATCCCAAAAGAAACATTACTGCAAGAGACTTCCTTGAAGCCTTCCGACGTCATGACAATCGCTTGTCGGACGAGTTATTGGGGGATGTATATGACTCCATTCGTCGTGAGCGCCTGTGCCAAGCGCGCAACCCAACGTCTGGCGGCCCACCAGAGATCACTGTCACTTTCAAACGCTCACTTCCTCCACGACTCACCTACCGGGTCCAGTCAGAGCCAGTCGTCATCCGTATCCCACAACCAGATCCACAGTTCAGTATTGAGTTGTTTGGGCACGATCTAGTGTTTGACCCACCTGTGCTGTCATTTGCGAAGTCGGCGGAAGCTTCCTTCCGGGTGACGGGGCGCTCTTTTGGACTGAAAACGATGTCTATGCTGCGGTCAAGTCCGAATGCCCTACTATATACTGGCCTAGCCCAGAGTTATACCATAGCGGTGGAGCGTGCTTTCATGCGCAACACCTTTCAGGTGGCATTTTTGGATCACAATGGGGCCAAGCGTAAATATATGTTCAGTGTCACTGACCCTGTTGTTCGTCACGAGTGGGCACTTTCGCTCAAACGGGAAATTGATGCCTCTGTCGCAGCCAGTGATCATCCCTACGGCATAAGCTGGCAGTCCCCGCAGACAGCCCGCTTTTATAAAGCATCGTACAACATGTCATTCAAGGTGTTGCAAGATACCTTACTCAAGCCATCCGCTTTCCTGGGCAATACCAATCCCTTTCCTTCTAAAGTTGACCATGCACTCGCGCGCCTCACCTCATCCGGCCTTCTTACCCGCGACCAATCCAAAACCTCTGTTCGAGTCGGTGTGAACCGTCCTTCGGAACCAGTGCGCTCGAAATCTCGGAGCAAGATGTATTACCATCGCCATGGGCCCGGAAAGATGGAGTCGGAAGGCAACTACCCTCAGCTTCCCTCTCGAGAGCAGCGATGATGGCGGAGATGATCCTGACACGCAACTCAGATCGGATGATCAATACTGGTCAGGAAAAGATTTAGCGATGTTCTGCAAGCAAAATAGTTCTATCGCCCTTTTGCTGGCATACCTACAAGTCAGCACACCACCAGATGCTAACGGCTCACAATGACAGTCCTGTTTCGGTGAGACTTTTGTTTTGTAGTATATGCCGACAACTGAAACTTTGTCCCAGTGTCTCGTGCTTATTCTCGGTCCTCCCTTCTGAAATCTACTCTCTATATCTCACGCATCCCATTCATGTACATTCCATAGTTCTGCTATTCCATTCTACACATCACTATTACTATATCGTCCAATATCATTACCGCATCTTCCCGTCCTTAGGTCACATTTGAATTCATGATACATCCTGGAAGGAAAGCGGCAGACTAAGCTCGAACATTGTATGCAAAAGATCAAATCCTGATGCTACTATTGTTGCATACCAGTACCATTAATATTACCGCCACTCGATCGGGACAACCTTTTCCGGCTTTAAAAACTTCCGCGGCCGGCCAGCCTACCAAGGCGGCTGTCCAGTGTCTACCACTCTGAGTCTTTTAAGTAGTCAACTAGATGCCCCAGTAGGGCACGACGTATCCACTGCCTCGTGTCAAGTCCCAGTTCTTGTCTTTCCCTCGAGGGGCAGGTCATGGCTCGTATCTATGCCGGTGCGAATGCACAACTGGGACGCTCATGGTACGACTATGGTGAGCAAACTATGTTTTACCAGTTCTACCACTGCATGAATTATACAGACAATTTCCGAATTGAGTGGAGTTCTCCCGAACGCTATGAGATCGTCGATCGCGTAGGAGGCGGGAAGTATAGCGAGGTGAGAATTTTGTAGACGTGTTTTACAGATTTTCAGCCAACCACTTTACAGGTGTTCGAAGGGTTGGATACCGCTAACTCTGAGATTTGTATCATCAAAGTACTCAAGCCTGTAGCCCTCAAGAAAATCAACCGTGAAATTAAGATTTTGCGCAACCTCACTGGAGGCCCAAATGTTGTTGCCCTTCTTGACGTCGTTCAAGACCCTTCATCGAGATACCACAGCTTAATCATGGAATATGTGGATAATACGGAGTGGAAATCACTATACCCGATCCTTGGTGAGGTAGACTATCAAGTTCTATACTTTCCAGCTCCTCAAGGTGCGTTCCACGACTTCATAAACCGACATCTGGGCTTCTTTTGATGCTATTTCACTGAGGCTTTGGATTTTGTGCATTCGCGAGGAATTATGCATCGTGATGTGAAACCGGGAAACGTCATGATTGATCACCGACACCGGAAGGTACGCTCCAGATGTGCCCCATCACAGCGAGATCGCTGATTAGTTGAACTACAGTTACGGCTCATCGATTGGGGGCTGGCTGAATTCTATCATCCTGGGACAGCATATCATATTCGTGTCGGTTCACGGTACTACAAAGCGCCCGAATTGCTCGTGGGGTATAAGCTGTACGATTACAGCCTTGATCTGTGGAGCGTGGGATGCATGCTTGCCTCGATGGTGCGTGACATCGTCGCGTTTCGCTTATATCCTTCTAATGATTCGGTAGCTGTTTCGCAAAGAGCATTTCTTCCGTGGTTCGGATAATAATGACCAACTCTTGAAAATCATGAAAGTTCTAGGATCTGACAGTTTCGACGCATACTTGAAGACATATGACATATCATTCGAAACAGACATGGAGGCCCTTTTGCACTCGTCAGTGACATGTGCTATCACGCATTTGAATGCTGATGTCCCGTTCCAGTTATCCGAGACAGTCTTGGGCACGTTTTGTTAGTGCTGAAAACCAGCAGTTTGTAACATCAGAGGCACTGGACCTTCTTGATAAATTACTCCGTTACGATCATCAGAAGAGGCTAACAGCACGGGAGGCTCAAGCCCATCCATATTTCAGTAAGCACGTTTATTTCCGCTCTGCTTCTCTTCTCAAGCTATCTGCAGATTTGGTGAGACTCGAGGCAACATCAATTAAAGGAGACTCGGCGGAGTATGTTAACGACTCTGGATTCTGTTCCATGTAATGTAACTAGGGGGGTTCATGCTGTGTAGGTGTACTGTTGGATCTCACACTTGTAGGAAAATCTGTTGTATCGGGCGAAGTTGTCACTATTAGGGTCAGGACGCTCAAGTTGGAGAATGTGATCAGAATTCAAGCACACATTGTTGCATCAAAACAGGAAAGGCCAATGAAGTGGCAACGTGTTCAGCCCCAGCAAAAGCAACGAGGCAAACACATGTACTTGGACATGTTCAATTACTCCAGGCTTTCTACACGCCCTCGTTCGTGTCTATCGCCAGGTCAAGGAGGTGAACTGGGAAGATATAACGCATCACACTCATCTTTACGTCCTTCCAATCTAACCTGCGTCAAGATACTTACTGAATGATGGTCCCAGACTACACATATCACATCCGTCCCAGAGCAATTAGCAGTCCTCACCATCCTAATTCGCCTTCCCAATTCAGGTGTGCCGAAGTAACTGAGCTACCGGTTTCCCCATCACCAGCATCCCGACTACGCTTTCCACGACATGAAGATCGGACTTGTTCATCTGATTATATCAGTGCTCGTCCTGTCCAATGGAAACGCATAAATCCTCACGCGCTAGCATGCGTCAAGGAGCAGGAGCACTACGTGCATGACAGACATGAAAACCCAACAGAGCAATGGGTGAACGATCAGATCCACTTGGCAAGCCGGCCAAACCATGGGCGCCGCTGGATGAAGCCCTCGGAGACAGAGGAGCTTCATCATAGAATGCGGGACGAATTCCTATACGAACACGAGGTGGAAGCGCATGGGTGGATGACGTACGAAGAGGAGATGAGACGAAGAATGCGGGAGCGCGAAGAAGAGAAGAACCGCCTGATACAAAACGAAGTCAGACGAATCCAAGCCCGCGTTCGCCAGCGGAGGGACAGCGAAAGACATATTATCGCTGAAGAGCGAAGGCGGGAAGCCGAAAGGGCGAAGGAAAAGGTGATGAGGGAACGAGCGAGGCTGGAACGGGCAATAATAGATGCCTGGAACGTGTACGAGTTGCGATGGGTAGCGCTATCCGCTGCGTATGACGGAATCGTTCTAAAATTCCGTGATATCCCATGGCCACTACTTACTCCTCCATTGACTCCAAGTGAAATCACTCCGGAGGGAATCGGAGCATTCATTTTGTCGGCAGCTCATTCCCCAGAGCAGTCCCCGAAGGAAAGGATACGCGCTGCTCTCCTCCGCTGGCACCCAGACCGATTCTGTCGAGTGCTGGGGAGAGTGCGAGAATCGGAGAGGAATGCTGTCGAGGAAGGCGTAGGGATTGTGGTCCGATGCCTCAATGATCTTCTAACGAAGGACAACAAGACCTCTCACGTGGTAAGCGCCGTTCCTCATCAAAACCTAGCTCTGCGGTCTGCTCACAGCTAGTTCACTGCAGGCTAGACGAGGATCGATGTTATGAGTGAACCTATTGCACGACGCTGGCGGAGTCGCAAAGGTCTGCTCCCATACCTTAACGAATTTTCACTACACTGTGTACAAGAGCATTGCAAGGACGTTCAAGTTCTGTTAATAAGGTGTTTATGTCATAACAGACTCCACTATTAATTTGGAGTTTGGGGGGACGAGCTGAGGCCAGATCTGAAGCCAGAAGTGAAAACACGTTGAATCAGATTACAGGCTTGGAAAACCTGCCCGCAGGGCGTGTGAGCTTTTAGAGCACGATAACATTGCATGATCAAGAAAAACACAGTGCTCGATTATCCGCGGAAAGCGTTGCTGCCGAAGAGGGGCGGAGCGATGAAATGACAATAAACAGTGAGCCACGAAGCTGCCAGGTTATAATCTATTGCATATGGTAAATGTCAAAATTTACGTCAAGACTCGTCATGGATGCTGTCTATGTACAAACACAAGAAACAAAATCAGGCAGCCAGACCACCTAACATATCGGGTCCGCAACATGAGTATGGTCGGACGACGTCTTGCTTAACGAAGTCGTGCGAGAGCGCGCGATACGACCAACATTGAAGAACGGAATTGACAAGCCATCTACGTGGATTCGAAATCAGCGACAAGTACATTACTACTCGCCACGATGCTTACGAATGATGATAGAACCAAGGACGACAAAGGACACAATAGGTTGAATAGTTGCGGCGAGGTACTGTGCTTGGTCTGCAGGCGGGTTCTCTGGAGTAGGCAAACGCGTGAGCGCTAGGGCAGACACGAAGACTGCGCTAACTCCCATCTAGGACGCATTGACAAGTGATGAAAAATGGTATTTGACAGACTTACTGGACCTACCCACAGGATTCAGATACTTGAGGTGAAAACGATGTCATAAATACATAATAGGGCTGCTTACCGAAGTGGCCAGAGAATAGAGCTTCCTGCCAGCACTTAATCTCGGGAACAAGTTTGTATACCGCCAGTAAGAATGGAATTCGCCTCAAGACCATAGTAGCAATCACAAGAAGAACAAGCTTCCACGGGGTGATGCCATACTCGGGAGAATCATAGGCGTAAAAAGGTAGCCAAGCGCCGATGTAAATGAAACAGCAACAGTTCAAGACATAATCTATGACAGAGGAGAAAGCGTCATCTTCTGTCTGTTTATGAAAGTGCCCATCCCAGGATATTGCACAGCCTGGTGGGAATGTCAGACCCTAGTGATAGATGAAGCATACAGACTGGATGCAAACCTGCTGCAAATGCTGCAAGAAGATCATCCGCGCCAATGGTGCTCGCAATTCCCATAGTAAAGATGGGGAGTGCCAGGTACTGGGCGATGTAAGATCCGTGATTTATAAAGCCCTGTTTATGGGATACATTCATGAGTTTGGAGAATATAAATCCTGAATCACAAATGCAATGCAATCAGATATACGTATTCAGATGATCAAGCGACATCACTGACCTACAACGGCTCCTAAAACGGTGCCAAGGATGACCTGGTCTGTGGAAAAAAATGTTGAGAACCTTACGAAGCGTTGAAGACCCAATAGCACATACATAGCCATCCCACCAAAAACCACTTGCCAATAGCAGTTCGAACTGACGTCTCCATGGTGAGGTATATAGATATTGAAAGAAAAGGGTAGGCAAGGCCGTCATTGGCTGCGGCCTCGGCCAGCAGGATGTGGCGAATATCCTCGGGAACATGTTTCTTGGCAAAATTGCCATCTGTAAAGCAGCTGTAGATATAAGGGATAGTTCATGATCGGTAGAACTGACGCGTGATGGCAGCACATGTCACCGGGTCCGTAGGGGTCAAACAAGCAGCGATGCAAAGAGCCGAGATGTAATCGAGTTTCGGGAACAACGCGTGAATGACCGCTGACAACGGTGATTAGTGAGTGTGTAATTGCATCTGCGATGACTTACCAGCCACCACAACCCAGCCAAACGCCATGGTGGGCACAACCATTGCGAGTAAGCTCTTGGCATGCTTTTTCATATATGCACATGGTAATTCGACTCCAGCTGCGAACAAGCCGATTACGAGGACAATGCGCATGACCTCTAGTGTTATGGTATTATTCAAGGAACCCCACGAACGAGGTGCGAAAATATTTGTGACGAAAGGACCAATGATAATCCCGAAAACGGTTCCTAGGACGACTTCATTGACATAAAGCTGGTGGAGACATGGGTCATTTGTCAAGGGATTGATGGTAATTGCACACCTTCTCTTTGATTAGGAGGGACACCAACGAGAACTGTGGTCAACAGTCAGCATAGTGCGCTATACAACAATTGTCATGGAGCCAGATAGACGCCAACCGATAACGACCGCTCGTAGTCAGCAAGGCCAGCGACGAGTACATGCATTCGAAAGGAGTCGGAACGAACCAATACTGTAAACCCACCAAGACAGATGTACGATGGCCCTGGCGGCGACACCTGAAAGAAAAATGAGTTGTCGATGACAAAAGACCAGTCACTAATCGCACGGACTTGCAGTAAATCTAAAGCCATGCTGATGGTGCTGTCGCCAAATCTTTCAAAAAAGCCTCACCTAATTCCAGGAGTATTTATCCCAGCAGCCGCAATATTGCTGTAGTCCAACAGGGCCGGAAATTACCCATAGAAATACGTCACTCGGTCCACCTTCATAGACGGTGATACAGTTACAGTAATGAGTTATTCCAGAAATGCTCATCGCGCCAATTACATCATGTACATTGATGGAAGAATCCACTCTTGACACAGGACGACACCTGCCAGCGGCGGTGGGAATAACCCTGCTGGTTTGTGACGTGCAAGCGTCTAATTAGTCTTTCTCAATCGTGAACGTTTGAACCTTGCGCGGGTGAGCAAGGGGTTTGCCTTTCTCAAATTAGGTCAAGCTTTCCAGAGCCACCTCATAGGGCCGACGGATGCTGCAATAGGGTTTAATTGGGCTGCAATGCTGAAGCAGCATGAATAAGGCGCGGTGAAGGTACTTACTAGGTTTGTGGATCTTGACATATGAATTACAGTTGGAAGTAAAGAGTCCCGATTGCGGTAAATATTAAAGTGGGTTGGATGGGTTCTATTGAGCGTCAGAAGGATGCCTTCTGCCGCGTGGGTCCCAACCAGTATCAGATCTGGCGGTAGAGGCATCGCGTATGTCACGGTGACATGAGGACCTCGGGTTACAACTGGCGCCCAACGATCTAACGTTCTGCAACCAAGATCGTTCTGAATAATAAGCCATCGGGGCAGTAAATTGCAGCAACTTTGGGAGAATTCGCTGTATACATGCAGCATGTAAGGTGAACTGCCAGTGGCATATCCGCTACCGAGGCTGTTTCTCGCTATCGAAAAGCAAATGTCAACCTCGTGCGTGCGAGGACACGTAAGAAATGGTCAGTCCGTTGACAAGCGGGTAGGAAATAGGTAAATATGAGGAGGTGGTAGACAGACAGGCAAGTGTGAGAGACCCTCAGGGACCAGAAGAAATGGAGGTAAAGATCCAGATGGCCACAGGCAGGCGGGATGGGGTCCGTGACTGTCAGTGGGCGCTCCAAACGCCCAGGCACCTGTATGCTGGTGGGCGTCTGATATGATTTCCTCCTAAAAGTCCAGGCGCCTGAAATGATTTGCTCCAAACGTCCAGGCACCTAAGCATCAATAAAAGAAAACGTTGGCGCGTATGGCTGGTTACTACCTTGTATGGCTTACAAACCCCAAAACAGAATGTACCGTAGAAGATATATTGCATGAGACTGCAGCATGCAAGTACTAACAGATATGTATGAAATGTAAAGTTTGTACAGGAAGTGCAAGGAACGTGGACATAACCGGAACCTCCCGGATCACGGACTCGGCCGACTGGTCACTACAGGTATATCAATTTTATGACTTTCGTCAAGTCATTGAACTTCAAGTTGCAACGTTGAAGCACTGCTGAAGCTTGGAAGCTTGAGCTTGAAGCATGAAGTTCCGAAGATTCGTCCGGCTCTCTTTAAAGTTCGTCACATAGGTAGCACACCTATTTCAAACCCTGCTATGTCCTAACTTTTGAACGATGTTCATCCGCCCGCCACCGCCCTTGTAAGTCCTTTTCCGACTATCTATTCTTCTTAATATTGATAGTATTACTCAGAACCTCGTCATTTTGCTAGAGGGCTGCACCGAAAGCATTCGTCATCGTGCTTCCTAAGTACTGTCTCCACCCACCAATATTGCGCTGCCTAGCACGCCCTATCGTGACCGCCTACACACTGCAGCTGCTGCCTCTTGCGTTCTGTCACCTCACTGCGCCCTCTCGCCCTCTCTTGCGTCATTTTAGTGGGTTTACCTCTCTTTCTTACCACAGTCAGTTTTTCCTGCCTTCTTCTGCCCACAATATTTACCCGCTAGCATTTCCTCCACCATCTCACATCATCCATGGTATTTTTTCTTCTTCTTCTGTCTCTTCCATTTTATATATCATCCATCGTGCGCCCGCTACTACATTGTGCATGTAAGTTTTATTATTTTCCTTGTCTTCTAAACTTGAGTAGCCTTCTGCATCCTCTCGCATCATCTGAAACTGTACTCCGCCCTCTTGCACAATCTTACATCTTTCTTGGATTCTCTCGTGCCTTCTCGTACCGTCTAGCGTTGTCTCGCATTGCCATTAATTTCACTTTTTCTCTTACTTTATTGTGATAAAATGAGAACACATATAGGTTCATTACCCGTACAAGGGACCACCGGGAAGCATAAATGTTACAGTGGCACGTATTGAACATCACCCAAACAAGAGAGATACAAGTATGATGTCACTCGGTCTAAGGCATCACATCACAATGAAGGGTACCCCTGAAGGTGCTGCATGCCGCACGGTACCGATTCAAGGCGTTTGGTGTAGTCACTCATTCCCGCACCATGGATTGAACGTTCCCTCTCACTGTGAAAACATTTAAATCAGCTAGCCACCACCATTATCGCTGCGGCGGATATCTCCATTGCTAGATGAGCTTGGCATTCCGAATTTCCTCCTTTTTTATATGATTAACTTCTTGACATGTTCGCTATCAACGTTCTTAAGAAAGGTTCAAGCCATTCCTTGGCGGGAGAATAGTCGAGCAATTTGCTGATGCAGGCGAATGAATCAGCAGCGGGTACTAGTAAGTGCATCATTTCCTCAGCGGAAAAAAACTTTCTCTTCATTAACAGTTTGGATTTCTGCGAGCTAACTTATCCTTTGGCTCCCGAAGGCAATGCCGTGCTGCTCTCATTCACTGCTTCCTGCTAGTGGAGTATCGGAGTCTTCAATTGTTTTAGTAGGCTCTGCTTTCTTATCGCAGTACCGGCGCGGTAAGCCGCTTCTTTAAGTTGACGCCAGTTTCAGGAATTAGCAGGATATGCAAACTCAGGCGTGCAGACTCTAAATCAGATAGAGAGCTGGCGTAGTGAGAATGATTGGTTGTATAGCGGTACCGCCAGTACTATGAGCCCGAACACCTTTCGAATTGCAGCGATTTTTTTTTGCATCAGATTGAGTCCTTAATTTCGGGTCAGTGACCCTATTGACAATTGGACATGTTTTTGTCATGCATCTTTCCTTCGTGGGGTGAATATTGTTCTTGGTATGCCGTCCTATGAGGGGCACCGCTGGACAAAATTAAACAAATAGTTGCGCGGTGAAATTCAAAATTTTCGACTGAAAACCAATCGTCAAATCAGAAAAGGTAATTTTGTGCGATCATTATCAACGCATTCCAGATTTTAATTTCCTCAAGATTGCGTCCTCCTGCTGAAATCTTTGTAACCTGCACACCATCTGGACTCCAGCATACTGAGTCGACACCTTCACCGGGTTTCCCCCACCCCACCGTCCCATATGCAAGATAGTCGCTGGCAACAGCACTTGACAATACGTGTTCTAATCTTAGAATACCAGAGCTCTCAGCTTAATGGATTTTCGAAGCGGTGTTCCCTCTAGAGTGTTCGGGTCTTGGAACCCAGCATGAGGCCTCACAACATTGTCATCCTGTATCGAATCAAAGCTGACACCCTTTTAGCACGACGGAAAGCTCCCCCAAGTTATCTCGCTCACCATTTGATAAGAACAAACTCTTCCGGGTTCATTGCTTTCATGTATTTTCACTGGTGGTTTGGTGTGCATTTGACTCACTCTCACAGTCAGCGTATATAAGAGCGACAGGCACCGAGTCTTTCTCGAAATCGACACTGCGGGAGTTGCATAGTGCAATCGGCCAATTTACAGCTGCATGTGATATAGGACGCCATATGTCTATGATTTGGAAGCGTATGCGAAGGAGGGAAGGAGCCTCTGTCGGCAGGAGGAGCCTATGAACACGAGCGATGAACGATGCAGTCGGAGGAGCTGGTGCGAACGAGCCATTGGCATGTTTCATATTACACTTTAGTTCTGATTACAATTTGACGTTGTTTCATCTCCCGTTTGACCGTATAGCCGTTCGTATGACCGTACAGTGACCCGTACCGTACCGTTGAACATTTCGAATACATTGTACGACATACGGTATGGTACGGGTAGAGTCTAAAGGTCACTGGCAGCGCATCAGTTGCTGGTGTACTAGATCTGACAGAGCGCTTGCTTGAACTCCCCTTTGACCTACAGGGCCAGCTAAAGAATGACCAAATGGTCCGGAAGTGACACTTCGTTGACCACGGTGCATGGCCGCATGAGATAAGCGACGATCATTGGTAGACTGCATGGAAGAGGCGTCTGAAGGTCCTTGCCACATTGTAGCAGGCAGCTGCGAGCAGCCCTGTGGTTGTTCATGACGAAGTAGTTGGGACTAGCCTCTGCTGATACGAGGAATGAGAGTATGCACTACTAGGGCATTATATACTTGATGGAGGCAAGCACATTCTCTGGAACAACGCGACTGAAAAAAACTCAAAACAACCCTGAGATCTGAGAGCGGGAAATGACATTAATGTTGGCTAAAACATGAAGTTCGCATTACTGTTAAGTAGGCACAAGTACTAGACCAGCGCCGCCTGCGGCCGAGGCAGAAGTGGTGGTCGGTACTGGGTAGCGTTTCCAGCTTCGTCTGACTCGAGAGTCGCTGACACGATCTACTAGGTTGGGTTGAACCGAACGTTAGCCTGGGTTGGGACGCAAGCAGGTAGAACGACACCTGCTTATGAATTACGACCTCGACGTCGTGGCGGAGAGAAAAACGAACGAATCTAACCGGGATAATCCGGCAGGCTGCACTTGGACATTGCAATTGTGAAGTGAAAAAAAATTAGCTAGAAACGATTGGCCAGTTTTCAGTCGAAATTTTTGATTTTCACCGTGCAACTATTTGTTTAATTTTGTCCAGTGGTGCCCCTCATACCGTCCAGCTGCGCTTGTAAACGAATGTCTTCCGTGTGCAATTCACATTCGCGCAGGGTGTTTCCTTGGCAGCTTTCCACCTTCATGCATTTGATTCTGTATACACTTAATCTGTTGTGATTAGGGTTTGTGAAATTGAATATTTTATTACATAGAACATTGAAAAAAAAAACACATTGATGAAATACTGTAGTGGTCGAGCTCGCTGTTGCTAACAGCAAGCACGAAGACAAAGGGGGTGCGACAATCATCAATGTGCCTGTGACATATGATTCATATTATTAAGTTAGGTTTGCTCTGGCGGTCCGAAAAATGCATGTGGCATGAAGTCACCAAACTCATCAGGGGTTTGAACTTTGCACTTGATTTTTGATGCGCCCTATAGATGCGCCTGAAATGAGTTTTCTGACAAGGTTCAGGCCTAGCCCTCCCTCGCGTTGATCATCACCGTGACAGATCTCTCGCCGTTTTGGCGCAAGAGTCTTGGTATACCCGCGCGTACTTAATTTAAGCTTGATGACTGTCCACCGCATGATGTTGCACAATTTTTTGTATCACCCGATGTATCACTGCGATATTTTTGTCACTGCAACCACTTTCTGTGCGTGGTTACAGCGGACCCTTGCAATTCACGCCTTGGGCTGCCTTATACTCCCGCCGATGCTATCTCTGTCAAGGGTGCCGCATCTGCAGATCTGACGTTCTGGTACGCCCGGGACAAGATAACATCTCAGTGTCACGCGCTCACTTTGAGATGGCATCATACACGCACTGTGTTGTGTTCCTGAGCGCTTTGCCCATCACCCTAGCGCGGTTCCTTTGGACACGCGTCCTCTACTGCAGCCACATTACTAAATGCTGATCCTGCCGGGTTTGATCACATGCCTTCGTGTCATGCGGATTACCCAAGTGCGCTGTCAGCTCCCACTCTCCGCACTGCTACCCAGTGCATTGGCTGCCACCGATCCTCCGCAGGCGTCAAGTGACTGACAACGACAACTGATACAGTGCAGGTAAATAGGGAAAGTGGAATGGGCCGGTCAGATGTAAGAAGATACTACCTGTAACTCAAGGCGATCTCGATGGCTTGCAAATACAAAAGGCGTTGGGCGGACTAAAGCCAACGAGATTCTACACGAACAGGACCGAACGGCTATCATTGACGAGAAGGCCGTTCCCGCGTGTATCTGAAGGAACTTGGGAGAAGCTGTTCTAGGTTGCCGTGAAGGGTGTTGAACATGACTCTGGGAAACACCGGCTGGACACCAGAAACGAGTAGACATATATATCGCACAGATCGTGGAACGTGCCTTCCCGAAGCAATCGAATAAAGGAATTGACTGGTCAAGGCAGTCCGAGTCGGGGACTGGCGGCGAGCCGCCGTTACGATGTTTTAACTCCTGCACGACCTGCCAACGTTCCAATACATAAGCGCTGTTTCACGACTAGGGCAGAGTTTCCGGGAACATGAAATATCTGGCCCTACTAACTTGCATGTACTCTGGCTTGGGGGGCCCCCAGTTCAGTTGGTGGATCGAGTACCATTTATCTGCTCTGTAGTCAGAAGAATGCCAACACCCTGTAACTTATCCTCAAAGTGTTGGGCAATGTGCATATATATTATGCTACGGATGATATCAAGGCATGTGGCTGGCTCTGGATTCTGGAGGGAACTCCGGATGCACAGTCGGTGACTGCGTTGTGGCCATTCCAGTTCGCTGTGTTACATAGTGTTCTATAAGACTGAGCGCTGAGCGAAGCAAGGGGTCGAAGACTTGACAGTCTGAGTTAAAGAGTTTGTATCACTTCTACAGCCCTTTCGCGAAAATTATTGTGTGGTGAATATTTGGTTCGGGATTAGTAAACGGGCAAAACGGGCGCGTCATCATGTGAAGTGACAAATCCAAATTTTTGTAGCATTCTTCTCGGATTTTGGTTTTTGTCTACCCCACTATGCTCCGGACTGTTACACGACTGCCACTGCGCAGATATGTCCATACGAATGCCGGCTCGAGCACGCGTGTATTCAAAAGTCATCCAACCAGGTCTGGACTTGCACTTGGAGCTACCGTCACTTTCGCTGCGTACATGGCTTGGTCGCTGAGCTCAGATAGTCAGCGGATATCACTTGATGCTCAACCCGTGTCCGGTATGTATTCATCGAGATCAACAGTAAGCGCCGTTCTGACACGTTCGTAGCATCCAAGAAGCTTCCAGTCTCCACAACTCCCTCACTTCCGGTCGCAAACTCCCCTCCACTTCCAATACAGGCAGAAGAGACATCCTCTGAGACGTCAGTACCCGTGATAGAGGAGGACGCGGATAAAACACCACATGCCGCGCCAGCAGAAGCACCAAGTGAAGAACAGCCGTCTGGAGGTGCTTATAACCCGGTGACAGGCGAAATCAATTGGGACTGCCCGTGCCTCGGTGGAATGGCCCATGGTCCATGTGGCCCAGAGTTCAGAGAGGCCTTTTCATGTTTCGTATACTCTGAAAAGGAACCAAAAGGTATTGATTGCGTAGAAAAATTCAAGGCCATGCAAACCTGCTTCCGGGAACACCCCGACGTGTATGGGGAGGGTAAGGTTGTTTTCCGATTAGGAAGTATCTTGTGCTTATTCCGTCGCAGAAATTATGGACGATGATGATGAAGAGGGATCCCAGGGTCAAGCTACGCCCTCAGATGCTAAGATTTCCGAGGCGGAATACGCAACTCTAGATAACGTAGCTCAGGAACCTGCCCAGCCCCAGCATCCCTCATCACCCGTTTCCACATCATAAATCTAGAGCATCGTTATCTTACTCGAAGTATCATGGTTTAATTATCTCTCATATATTCACCACTCAATTCGGCAGCCTACATGACCATACATAGCGCACGGAATTCAATACAAAAAATTATGCCAAAAGGGTATATGGAATCTAGCGTCAGTTTGAGAACCGCTTCTCTATGACCTGGTCCTTCAATTTATAGCCGTTGGCAGCAAAAAGCTTTGAGCGTAGGAAGGTTGATGTGTCATAGATATCATGCTCCTTCGCCTACAGAACCAGTGAGTTTATGGCAACTCCTAGTACAAAGGTACCACTCACCCGTTCATCAAGCTCGGACATCTTGACCGTGATAAGCTCAGGTTGCTCGCGTCTCTGTAGTTGGTGGAAACGGGCCTTTTCCTTCACAATCTGACCAAGAAGGAAGGCTAAGAGCTCTTCATAATCACGAGCTTGTGTCAAGTATTTTCGGAAGCCCTGTCCAGACCATCAGTGCCTTTTCTGATTTCGAGTCATGAAGTACTCTACTCTTTCAAGGGTCTTCTTGATTGACATCTTCTGAGTGCTGACGAAACTCCCTACCGCAACGGAGATAGCCATGTCGATATCATCAGCGCGAACGTATTCCCGCAGGGACATTTTTGCACTGGCTTCAGCCATCCGAATCATACTCTCCAAGTGTCGGACAGTGATGGGGTATGAACCCGTTGCCAGTGACTCGCGACGGAGATCAGAAAACAAGCGCGCTAATTTATCCTGATCCATGTCATAGAGCTTCGGGCGTATCTTCTCTCGGGCATACATGATGTATTTGCGGAGGATATCTTGGGGTATAATCTGTCCAGTTTAGGTTTAGGGAGGACCACAGCTTCAGAGACTGAACAGAGACTTACATCAGCATCAAGGGTGGTGCCAACATCCATTTCATCTCTGTCGGCCTCGAACTTGGGATGACTGCGGAGATGACTTCCAACGACGAATCGGGCTAGTAGTTCGTCTTGCACCGGATCTACGTTGTCTTTGACAACACACAGCACGTCAAACCGAGATAGGATGGGTTCTGTCAGCTCGACGTTTTGCTGGAAGGGGATTGTTGGGTTATATCTTCCGCGAATAGGGTTAGCAGCAGCAATTATGGCACATCGAGCTTGCAACGTCGTAACGATGCCGGCTTTTGAGATTGAGATGGATTGTTGTTCCATCGCTTCATGAATAGACGTCCGATCCGCATCATTCATCTTGTCAAACTCGTCAATGAGACATGTTCCTTTGTCAGCAAGGACAAGGGCGCCTCCCTCCAGCGTCCATTCCCGAGTTACGGGATCCTTGCGGACGCTGGCAGTCAGACCAACAGCCGATGCACCCTGACCAGTCGCGAAAACAGACCGGTGAGCGGTCTTCTCCGCGTACTTCAGGAATTGCGACTTCGCCGTTCCAGGGTCACCCAAGAGCAGTACGTTGATGTCACCACGGATGCGGTGTTTACGATTGATGTCCTTCGTAACGCCACCGAACAGGGAGAGTGCGAGGGCCGTTTTGATGTCTTCGTGTCCGTAGATAGAAGGCGCAATAGACTTGACAATACGTTTCCGAATACGTTCGTCTTGTGCGAGGGCGCGCATCTCCTTCTCGTCTTCCTCAGTAAGACGGAACGCTGCAAAAAGATCTTCCTTCTTGTTGATGTGGTTGGCCTCGATGATTGTGGAGAAGACTGGGAACCCGTTCTTTGAATTAAGAGAGGCGTCGAAGTTGTTTCTATATATCCCAGTTACTTCCTACCTGACGTGCTTAGTGTGGGTTATCGAAAGCGCCTATGTACTTACAATTTCCTCTCCAGGCTTTGCCAGGTCAATGAGGTCCCATAGGAGAATAACTTCACGATGCCTTGGTAAACGTCCCGGAGGAACTGACCCAGGGGACTCCTGCAACGTCATTTTCTGGTAATTGCGGTACACGGTCTTTCATGCAGCGTTTAGCAGGTATCGTCATAATTTCGAGATGTGACCAACCTGCTCGGAGTTAACAGGGAACGGGCCTTTACTCTCGCAGTTGGCGCAAAAGCTGACTTTGACCTCCTTTGTTGCATCCTGGTAGAATGGGCCGAGAACAGCACCACATTTTCGGCAGTCAAATTTGACGTATTTCAGCTGCGGGAATACTCCACTCCGTCGAGTTACGACACCAGTAACTCGGACTAGATTGTTCAGGTTGGAACGTCGAAGATCACGGAGTGAGGAGCTCAACGGAAGGTCTGCAATGCGAACATGGACTTCCGAGTGGATCCGTTCGTACGATGGGTAATACACGAGAATAGCATTCAGTGCAACCTCGTCGAAGATTGTAAGCATGGCGGCCGGGGAGTTTGTCAAGAAGTAAGCCAAGATAGGCTTAGACATCGCTAGATGAAGATAAGATACTTCTAGTGACTCGGCATTTGCTGTAACAGACCATCAGTAATCCTGCAAAAGATATAGACTAACGACACGGACTTTCTCCAAGATTACGAATGCGCTGGCCATAGACCGATGCGCCGTTTTCGTCGACGTAGGTCATCAAAAACTGACGGAAATGTTTGACAATTGATCGGCGAACGCGGTCATTGGCAATCCATTCGACAATAGATTTAGCTTTGATGTCACTCAGTTGCTCAAGGGGTATTTCCTAAAGAAAATGAATGAGTACACATCCGACTGGCCGCCAATATTTTCACTAACATCGTCCATACCATCCACATCATCTACATCACGACGTTCGTCATATTGTCGCCTTGTGCGGACGCTTCATTCTGGCAACGCCGAGATCATCGCCAAGAGTATCTTCATCGTCCATGTCATCATCCTCCAGGAACTGAGGTGCACGGCTTCTATTAGCTGCTCGCATTCCTTGCTTTCCTGCACGCTCAAGGCGATCACGGCGATTCATTCTTGCTTCAGCCGCTCGTCGAGCCTGCTGCTGAAATTTCGTCGAAATCTCCTTCATCGTCGATGTCCCGATCGGAGTAGCGATCCAGTAACTCATTTGGCGCATAATCTCTATTTTCAGTGGCGTAAAAGTGATGTACCTAGAAAATGTGGGCTTTGACACGCACTCTTCGATGTTGTCCGCAAACAAATCTTCGCCGTCGCCGTCGCCTTCATCGTCCTCATCTATATCACGCACTCCGTCACGATCATCCAGGCTATCATCTGTATCCGAGAAGGGCGCCGGAGGCGAAGATGGTGGGAGGGACGATTGTGAATCTCTCCGTCTTGGAGTAGGACGTGGAGCTGGCGATGAACTGGGAATGGGAGGCGACCTTGGACGCTTTGCGCCTCTAGGAGTCTGGGACTATGATGTGTAGATTTAATAAACATCAGTTTGATTTATGTGTCCTCCGTGCTCACCATGGTGTAACTTTATCGAGGGATGATGGAGATGGCAAGAACAAAAACACGCGACGCGACGCGTTCAATTGTCGGAATTTAATTTCTAAAGCGCGTTCGGTTCCCACGCAAGGATAGCAGCCTCAGGCTGCCGACCAAAATCATTCCTTCCTTTGTGTTATGGCTAGCGTCGACCTCGAAACCGCGATCAAGCAAGAGGAGGAATACCTGCGCAAGGTTCATCCTACCGTGGACGATGTTCCGGGGTGCATGACCCTGTTTGATGAATTTTTGCAATGTCATAGTATGTTCTAAAAACTCTTAAGAGTGCCAGTACTCATCAAACTTTCAGTTCTAGGGGACTCAAATAAAATCTTTATACAGATACGGCCAAATGTCAGAGTGTGGGGTTAAAAAAGAGGACTTCAAATTTTGTATGAGCTTGAAATTCATGCACCCAGAGCAGAAACGGGACGCTTGGATCCGCCGCCGTGCCGAGTGGTGGGCTCACAGACGACTCGGAAAGAGTAGCGAAAATGTGTGGGATATGAGGAAGTAATGACCACCCTTTGGAATATTTCTTCGCTTACTGAATTTACTTCAAGGAGTCCTCTCCCAGACTGGCCCCCAGCCCTTTCGGACAATGTCCCAGAGAACGTTGAAACTATCTCGTGAACGATCAGAATGACTTATCCTGCAGACTCTTTTTATAGGGAAGTTCGACAGCCCTGTTATATTTCTAATCTACATGTGCATGACGGCGCTTGGTCTGTCTTAGGCGGGACGCAACCTTTAGCCCTCAAACACAATGGCCCTCTCTTTGTGAGGGAATAAGCTGCACTCTGTTGAGTTCATATTGCACTTCATTCCCCCCTCCCGTGAATGATACACTCGACTTATTTGTATAATTGTCCGTTGACAGTTGAAGCTCTCCTGAGCATTGAAGCCAACTCTCTGGATGTTATAAAGACTTGACTGTGACTAGAATATCGCACGTCCTTTGAACTACCCTAGAAAAAGAGCCGCTGCTTTCTGTTCGCTTTTATTTCAGATAAGTACATCAATATGGTTGTGCACGTCGACTTCGGCAGCACAATCACATGCACTTCGTGGGAACGGCCCAGGTAGGATTTGTCACAATTAAAAGAAAAAATCGGGAGGACAGTCAGAAGGACTGAGCCGAGGTGCTCTTCACCCACCATTCGGCAACTCGTCCAAGCGAATACGAGCGAAACTACAGGGTTGTGACGTCTCTGTGAACGCACTCCACTCTTTTTGGTGAGTTTCCCTAACATGGTTTTCCTGTCATATTTTCGTTGCACGCCTGTTTCGCAGGCGGCCTGTCTCTCGTTCTCACGTGTGCGAATCAGAGTCAGTATGGCCCAGTTGTTGCCTACTCTGCTGTTATCTTGCATTCATCTACCCTTTTGTCCACTCAAATTTCTCATATTCAATCGATTGTCTTTTGTTGCTCGCAGTCTGTTGTAGCTCGCGCGTTCTCCCGTCGCTTTCAGTCGGTTTCTGCTAGCTAGCAATGGTAATGCTTCCATTTGTATGATTGCGCCCTTCCATGTCAGTGTATATATACTTAGCTCAAATTTCACAACAGGATCGGCCTAGTTTACCCACATCAACGAATGTTGGGGAAAGAGCTTCTTGATCACCCCAGCTCTCCACCCACGGGCAACACTGTCAGACCATTTTTGCCGACACAAATCTTTGCCAACATGTTAATAAGGAACGACCGTCTTCCTTTGCCTATGGTCTGCCTAGGGAAGACTTGGCCAACATCTACTTGGCCCAATAAAATCCATTTTTCAGTAGGCGCCGATGTGATGCTTGATGTTTTACGGCAAAATTGTGGACAATGACAAAAATTCGTGTCTAGCTCGTGGATGTCTGGATCTAGATGTTGCTTGTCGACACCGCCATTAATACCGATGAGTCAAGGGCTAGTCATGCATATAGTCGTCGCCATCTTTCTTTTTACTCCCACCAACACTTACGATGTACGAATGTGTGTACCAGCCCCTCAAAGGGATCTACCTGTGCTGCCAGTTCATTGGCACGATATTCATCAGGGTGCCCATCTAGTCATTGTGGTACTCACTGCCTTCTAAGCGCCCAAGATCGACTTGGTCCTGGGGGCATGCAATGCTGGTAGGGTTAGTCCGCCACGTTATTCACATCTCATCATTGTGAGTTTCTTTCTTCCGCAAGCCTTGGTGGATTTAAATGCGATTACGGGTTAATGTGGCAGTACCGGTGCTATTTTCCCGCAGCCAGATCATCGCCACTTAGTACCGATCGAAGAAGGTGAAGGTGTCTGGGTCAAGGGAGCGCCTTCTATGCTCGTCAAAGATGAGTTGAAGATATTGGCTTCTGTCTCGGAAGTTGCACCGGAACGCATTCCAGGGTATGATGGGCTCCGCTAAAGCCGACCCAGTCTCCCTAACTAGGAGAAAAAAAATCTTTTAGGGATTCCCCCACGTTTCCGCACACCCACAAGACCTCTGCGAGTATTACGCGAAGCCTTGTAGAAGTCGAGAAGTCAATGCATTCGCTCTAGAATGCCTCCTGTCTTCCACTCATCATTTCCCCAAGCCCTTCCCATTTCTAGTTGGTCTCCTTGATTCTATATCCTTTACGCGCCGGACCCACACTTCCGAATCAAAGGCGCAAGCCGTTCCGGACGTCTTATCGATGCAGAGATATTCTAGTCTTCTCATCCGAGGCATGCGGATGCACCCCTCTACGTCATGATGTCATTTACCTGTGTACTTAGAGTTTACGTTCTTTTATTATTCCACTATGTCATCTTCATACAACGTGCAGGACACGAGCCTCCTATCTTTACTCGTCACCATCACCGCTTTGACACTTCGCTTTTGTCCTTTATTAATTATCGTTCGTTTCTCCCTTCTACCCAGAATATGTGAGTCACCCGCTACGACACTTAAGGAGCGTTGTAACAGTTCGCACGTCATTAAATCAAAAGTATTTCTCCTGTTGTTTCAAAGTCCATCATCTCAGCCCGAAGTTTCATTCGACTCAACGTCTATTTCGATCTTTCATTTCCCTTCAAACTTGCATCTCACGCTAAGTTCTTTTTGTGCGGCCACAACTAAGCTTACATATGAAGCACGTTGTAGATAATGTCGATATCTAATTATAAAGCCAATCCAAACGTTCCGACCTTCGTACGTCTTTGATCGTTGAAGTTAACCTTGATCAACAGAGGGTAAAGAAGAATTCCTGATTGTTATTACCTGGACATCATACATCTTCGGATCAGGATTTTGCAAGTCAAGCACTATCAACAACATTTTCTATTTTCACAGTCCTCCAATTAATATTGGGATTGCAAACCTCCTTGACGTGGTATTGAAGCATGCGGACCTGAGGCCTCCAGACTGATTAGTGGTGCAGGCAACACGCAATAATAGTTCCTGTAGAGTACACAAAACATCCAAAATTTCGACATACCGCAAGCTAAATACTTGCGATACTCGTCCAATACATTATCTTACGATCCGTTCCGTCTGCCTCTCCCTACAACTGTGTACAATGCGATGTTTCATGACACATACACTCCAACCTCTCCCATCGTATACCCACCCGTAGAGGATCGTCTGAGAATGAATTGAGCGCGTTTCGTTCCAGTAGTTTGAGTCGTATCTCCAGGATTCTCCGTCAATCATGCTGCCTGGCATGTATTCATAGATAGTCGTCCAAAGCATGAGAAATGAGGAGTGTCCCAGTGTTCGCCCGCCTATGCGGTCTTTTCTGAGTCACTAGGCGCCGAGGTTTTGCGCTCTATGCGGGCCTCCTCGACATCACGCATGCCATCCGAGTCGGCATGCCAGTCACCAAGATAGAAATACACAGCTGGCAAACCCACGAAGAGAGCTCCGATGATGTTGCCAATCAAAGACGCAATCAACGACCTGAGAAAGTAATTAGCAAACGTTGAGATGTACTGGATAAATGACCCGGTACATACTTGCGAATGTACAGGTCGGTCGTAAGCTAGAAAGTAATTAGAAATATACCAAGTGCAGGTTAACATGTGAAACACGTACCTCAGAGTGAAGCATAATGCTCAGCGAAAGTGAAAACATATTTGCGATAACTAGTAAAAAGTATTGGTGAAAGTTTACATTCGAGTGTTTTGCAACTCACCGTGGTCGAACCCGCAAGCCACGAAGACCTAGAAAATATACATGAGTCAGGATCGGTACCTTTGTCGATTTCACTGACAAAGATGGGGAACCAGACAGAGACAATCTTCGAAAGAGTATCTCTGGCCCCTGCTCCTTGCTAAATAACACCCGTTTGAGTAATTGCTCGGAGCAACACTACGACATACGTACCCAAACGGCTATGCAAACAAGCCAGTTACAACCAATGCCGCGAAGGAAAATCTGATACCAGCCAGGTGTGATAGCTTTCGTACTGGCACGAGGTTGTTGAGACGGTGGGATTTCCAGATAGTATGAAGTGACTCACATAGCGAATGTCCTTACGTATGAGGCATATGGATCATCTACCATGAGTCCGTCGTCTAGATATGATGGACGTGTGAGCCTATGCAATATAGTCCAAGCCAATGAATGCGAACTGACATTTCGCAAGGATTGCTGCAAAGAACAAACTGCCAACAAGATTTCCGAAAAAGACTAATGCGATAGTATACTCAGTATATGAATAAGAGGGCTTCGGCAGTACTTACCGACAATCCAGTTGACGGGTATGCTCCACCAGGGAATCGCTCTTTTCATTACAGCCATGGGAAAGATCTATAAGTAGAGTGAGGGGTGAGAAGTAGTCTACACAAACGCTAAGCTGCTTACCATGAGATTGCTCGTGAGCAGATCAAGACCTTGGAGCACAATCCTATGGAGGGGCATAACGATTAAGCCATAGTTTCACGATACTGAGTCCACCGGCACCTACATAACGAGTCCGACAGGGAATACGAGACCGCCGAGGACCTTGACAATTCCAGGGTTCGAAGCTGTCAGACCTGCAGACCCACCACTAATGATGAGATCAAGGAGTCCACCGAAGGACAACATAACACCGGCAAGAACCTGATAACAAGATTGAGATGTTAAATCGCACATGCGCGCACTTGTTGCTTACCGCCTTGAAGAAGGTCTTGTCCAACCGCGTGTTGTGCTTGGCTACAGCTTGCTCAACCAGAGCAACGGCCACTTCAGCTGGCTTGAGAGTGCTTGGAGTGTACATTGGAGTAGTGGTGGTAGTGTGCGATCCGCTGAAATCCAAAGGGGCTGCGGGAGTCCAACTGCTGGCATGAGCCAGCATTTATATGTTCATAAGGTATGCATGTTCCTGACAGGCGAGATACTAAAATAAGTGGGTTCTCGTGTGTAGTCGGTCCTGGCCGCCGGATTCTGATCAAATGGATCTGCAAGATGTTTTGTAATAAGGGACGTTCATGATCAATCTCTGGCGCGCACACGCCCACCACCCACGCATCTTCCCGCGCACTTTTAATTTCAAATGCTAAACGATCCCGTAGTACATAATCATCGGATTATAGACTAAACGCCTTGCCCAAGCCTAGCTTCAGCAGTCCTTATTAATTGTAATCCTCGTCTACACGTTGCGTACAGCACTTGATGATTTTAATCAAATTTTCAGGTATTTTACAAGGAATCTTGCAATTTTTCAATAATATAGCAACCATATTGCAATGTGCCGTACTCTTGTCCTACCCTTGCAAGACCCTTGCATTGCTATTGCAACCACAATTCTACGGCGGAATTATTTAATCCCATTTCCAAGTGCCATTTTGCCTTTAAACTTTGAAATGCCTTACAAGGCGTTGAAATTTGAATTAGGAATTTCCGACAAAGGTGTGCACGGGCGAAGAGGTGCACGGGCAAAGGGGTCATGGGTGTGAGTAGTGCGCGTGCGCCCAACCACGCCAAGTGAATGATCAGCCTGGGGCTTGCCCATGGGCAGCCCGGGGGTGTCAAATTCATCACGGCAGAAATAGCGGATACTACTAGCCTTAAAAGCCGTAATTGGCCGTAGCTACCGCAACTTCCCTGGAAATATCGGGCGCACTTATCAATTGCTTACCCTTCTTCCCGTAGCTTCCCAGTCGCAACGTTCCTGCAATTGAGCCAAGTCTGGCATTCAATTATGACGGACTTATCGATAATTCAATTGCGCTACTATGGAATGGAGTGGAAGGTATGATGCAAGCTAATCATTAGCTCACATTGTACTAGTATCTATTGTACTTCCATATTAAATATCGAGGTCGAAGTTCGGATTACACGACCATGATACTACAGGAAGTATTATGAAGAAGGTCAGCTCTATGATTACGGTACGACTGGTTCATGAAGCGATGATTCTAATCGGATGTTACTTTGGTAGCGAGGCTGTGAATGATTTCATATATCGCAAAAGATCACAAACCGATTCTCTGCTCCGCCTTAGAGATGGGGCCTCAGGGGCGTGATTACCTTCACTTATTCTGATTGGCGAACAATCAGTGAGATTTGGACTTGGGGATACACATACAGGGCCGAAGTTCGAGCCCCTCATTCAATATTCAATGCCTGTAATCAACGGAGTTGTCTTATTATATTCAGGCAGTACATACTAGTCTCCAGTTGCTGACATAATGCATAATGATGTGTTGATTGGCAGATTGACCGCCGTTTGCTGCCTTGGTCACGATATCTTGTGGTTACGAGCGGGTACAATTTACTTACAAACCCCAAACCGATACCCCGTCTTTCACATGGCGATGGGAGATGCTTCGGAATCATTGACGGGGGCAGTTATTCGTGTGTGTGTAAGTAAATATCAATAATATTATGGTTTGACATTCGTTGGTCCAACTCATCTAGCGCAATATAATCACTTTTTCGGAAGGAAGTTTCTTCGCTACCTTTCCGACGACGGTTAACGAGTCGACAAGCACACTGATCTCACAATCGAAGCCCATCTGCGCCCATCGGAGTCCGTCTGGACACCGGGCGGATATTGGTTCATGGGACGAAGAGTGGCGAAACCAAAATATCCCATCGCATCCAGTAAAACCTTATACACGGGTCCCAGTTGTCATACTTGTCTAGAATGTTTGGGAGGATTTCGTCTATTGATGAGATTCTAGCTCTGTGTGCGTGATGGTCGCCCATCAACACAAACAAATTCAATTGAAGCGATCAATTCACGAGGGTATCTATTAAATGCGCACGTTCCATGTATGCGTATTTTGACGTACAAGCCTATCAATGTGGTTTCACTTCTCTCCAGATTGGCGTAATAGCTTGGGCGACTGTGTTGGCGGCAACCTCAAGGCAGCTACGTTCTACGTCATCCCGAATAGCCGACCACAGCTTACGGGCACGCCATCTATCTGGGTGAAATCGCCGATGACTTCTTTCCACAAAATCTTTGTAATCTTGAGGTCGCATGGAGGTCTTGACAGTTGCAAAAAATCTCTCCACCGCGGACCAGTCGACGTCCTCCACTGTTAGACGGGAAGGATGATGGAGCACAGGCCATGGGATATCAAGAAAAGCGATCGGCTGATCAGGCGTGAACTTCGCAGTGTCAAACTCCTCACTGAGAACTTTGTATCGTTCCAGGGCTCGGTGACTCGTCCACGTACCGGACTCCCAGCGTTGCCGTTGCCGTTGCCTGAAACGCCGCTGTTCTTGTCGTTGCCTTTCCTCTGCATCACGTCGTTCAGCTTCCGCTCGGACCTGGCGTGCCTGACGTTCGGCCTCCTCACGTTGCTGCCTTTGTCTTTCTGCCTCAGCTCTTCTCCGCTGTTCGGCTTTAGCCTGGCGCTCCTGTTCCTCGGCACGTTCATGCGCCTCACGTTTCTTTCGCTGTTCTTCCCAAAGAGGTCTATCCCGGTCAAGTTCTCGCATTTTGCGAATGGACTCTGCGAGCTCGGCTTGTCGCATTGCCTCTTCGTTCGAGTCATCACTCTCACGAGAGTCGGACCGTTCTTGCGAAGCAGCGGGCTGAGGACATGTCGATGGCTCTTTATGATGACTCACTGAAGAAAAAAAATATGAACCATTGAAAGAGCAGATTGGGAACGGCAACATACACAGTTCGTCGATGTTGATTGGGTAATAATCGGCAAACACTTGTTTGAATCCCTTTTGATGGCGTTCGTCCATTGCCCTAACTTTTGCTTGTTTTCGCATTTCCCGTTGGACTTTTGAGTGATAAAGAGCCTGTTTGGCCTGACTTGGTGATGTAGTTCGCTGGCGCTTTCGCACATGGCCATTGGTAGGGGTGTGTTCTTGTGGCAGTTTCGTCGTCCGTGTCAGCGGTAAATCCGTGTTCTGTCATCTCTGTCAGATCGATCTAAAGAATAGAGGTTGCAACAAACTTTTTCGTTTGGCATTCTCTTTTGCTTGAGTCCCAGTATTGCCGTGAGATGCAAATTGTTCTGCATCCATGGACATCGGCTGTCCGTCAGCTTGAGACTCCTGACCATATTTTGCTTGTGCTCTCTTGTTCTTCTGCCAACGCGCGTCTCGCTCCTTTTTTCAATTCTTCCCTCCCGGATCGCACGGCATCCGATGTGGGTTTGGCCCTGCGACGAAGAAGGTCATCAACAACCATTTGTTTCACTTCTTCTTCGTCCTCGTCAGATTCACTGTCACTGCTGTAATCGTCACTAGCTACATGAGCGCACCGAGAACGTGCTTTTTTGCTCGGAAGCGGGGTATCCGCTTCAGGAGTAGGCGTGCGTGCACGCACGCGCTTTGGGCCTGATGGTGAAGGAGCCCTAGACCGCCGAGCCTGGGGATCAACCCTCACAACAGATGAAAATCTGAAGCCAAAGTGAACAGTGCACTGATATTCCGGGTCCAACTTATAAATCTCCCACTGCTCCTGGTAGCAAAACACGTGTTCCCTGAAAGTACAGTATTCCAGCAGCTGGAAGGACATAAATTGACGCTGTCACTCACCCGCATATTTCTACTACTCGTGGCCAAAAGCCTTCATCGCGCACACCTCCATCCAGGCGTGCTTTTGGCACAAATCTCCAAAAGCTCGTGCCTTTGGGTGTTGTTTCGATGACGATACGTTTGGGAGGTGGAAGATCCTCGCCGATAGATAATTTGTGCAAGTCCGGGATATCTTCGCCAGCAAGAGCGGTACGTGGATCGAAGGACGCGAAGGAGAGTCTGGAATCTGGAGCACGCAATAGACGGGAGGATTGGGTCGGGTCAAGGAGACCAGGTTGAGTGCCGCGAATTGTCCGTGGAGCATGGGACGGGCCCGCAGGATGCGTCTGAGCTGGCTGGGATCCCATTCGATGAACCTGGATTGCTTAAGAAGGACTACAGATGTCGGATTAATGATGAAAGAAATGTATGTACCTTAGCATAATAGCATTCGATTTAAGAGTCAAATGGCATAGAGTCCACGGTGGTCAGTGTCACGTGAGAGTACAATAACTTATAGATGGCCACATATAGTAAGTATTCATTCATTCACTGAAGACATCTCCGGCATCTACTCGGGTAGCAAGTACCATAACGTTTCCGGTAGCGCAGAGTTTTACAATACAGCTGCAGGCTAATGCAATCGATCACAATTATAGTCTATAGAAATATAGAGGGTCACACAAAGGCGCACATCTCTCTCAGTTCACCTCTGAGCACTACCGACGTGGTTCCGTATCTGGCTGTGTTGTGGCCGCACAGCAACCTCATGTGGCGAGCGCCTACTCCTTCAACTGCATTCCACAACCATCTAGCGAGCTTTCCACAGCAGAATAGATTGAAACATCCATCCATTCATCCCATCTTCATCCCGCTTCGCACTCTCCATCAATCGACAGCTGGATCATTCCGCGACTTAATCACAACTTACAAGCTTTGATTCAAATCCGCGTACGTCGCCCCTCCAAATAACTATCGTCCAGATTGTTTCTAACCACACCCTCGAACCCAGCTAGTACTTTCAATTAGTTCATTGCATCTCGCATATCACAACCTTCGTCAATGAGTGACGATCAATGTCAGTACTTCCATCTCTTATCTCTCACATGCTCTCTGACCTCTTTGACAGTCCTTGAAGGAGCTTGGACGAAGCTGTCCGATGTCGCTGTCAAGGGTGCTCAATATAACTCCCGTGAACGTCAGCCCCATCCGAAGTGTCTGGAAGGGACCCGGGTGGATCTCCTCAAATACATCCACCAATCACTGGACGAAGAGAAGAGGAATCAACTTATATGGCTGCATGGCACAGCTGGCGTCGGAAAGTCTGCTGTTGCATTCACGGTAGCTGAGAAGATGAGAGGTCTAAAAGTGACCGAAGAGACGAACGTCGAAAAGCGGCTAGCAGGGACGTTCTTTTTCTCGCGCAAGCACACGAAACGTTGCACGGCCGGATTTTTCTTTGTGACACTTGTCTACCAGCTTGCCAACAATTTCCCCAGCATCCGGAAGGATGTGAAGAGAGCTATCCGTGAAAATCCCGCTCTACTAGACCCAGACACACCTCTCTGCGACCAGATGGAAGCTCTCTTTCTCCAACCCCTCCGGAAACTTCGACTCAGGTTGCGCGGATGTTCACCTTTGTCGTTTGTGGTCGATGCCCTTGATGAATGCACATCTGAACCCGAACTTAGCGATCTCATCCTTTCCCTTGCACAGGCACTCCGTGACCCTGATCTGCCTGTGACTCACATTCTGCTCACCAGTCGCTCGGAATCCCATATTAGCATAGTCATGCGGAACGAAAAGGTGCGCTCGTTGGTGCGCGAGATACCCGTGAAAACTTCTGGGGAGGGTGGCATCATTTCGTTAGACGGCGCAGACGTTGACAATGACATCTGTACTTTCTTGCGACATTCCTTCAAAGAGCTGGGATGCCGCCATCCCGATTTCCCGCAGCCATCGGAGGTTGACCTTGCCAAGCTGGCGAGCCGAGCGGGCAGACGTTTCATCGTGGCGTCTACGATGATGAAGTTCATTGTCGACGATGAAGACAGTGATCCCCATGTTCGGTTGCAGCTGATGCTCGAGCTCACGAGCAGGCTGCTAGCAGGAACGGAGGTGTACAAGTTATACGATTGTATCCTATCCACGTGTGCCGACCCCATGCGGGCTTACATGCACTTGTCCATTGTCGCTGCCCTCGCAGACCCTCTTCCCATCTCGCAAATCTCAACACTTCTTGGCCCTGGTTTGGGAAGGGATGTGCAGACAACGCTGATGCAGCTACGGTCTGTCATGGATATCCCTACAGACGGCACTCTCCCCGTGAATATCTACCACTCCTCCATTCGCGACTACGTTTCTGACCCCTCAAACTGCGGCCTCCCTCAAGTACACGATATTGCATCACCTCACTCCCTACTCGCACATTCTTCTTTCCGGTTGATGAACGCGATTCCAGCAAGCACGGCTTTCTTGGATGCACTCTCAGAACTGAAGAAGCAAAACAAAGCTATGGAACCTGAGAATCCCCTTAGGTTAAAAGACTCATTAGCGTTCCTTGTTCGGCCACCAGAGCCACTGTCATCTGTCATCTGTATGCTGTGGCTTCGGGGAGATCGCACTTCAGCTTCAGATTTAGAATCTTGGCTGGGGACTATGGACGGGCATGCCTGGCTGCACACCTGGACAGGACGATTCTGGCTGCCGACCCTGGCAGGACAAGACTGGCTGCAGACCCTGGCAGGACAAGACTGGCTGCAGACACGGGGAGGACAACTCTGGCTGCAGACATGGCGAGGACGAGAGTGGCTGCAGACATTGAGAGGACGAGAGTGGCTGCAGACCCAGGAAGGACGAGAGTGGCTGCAGATCCAGGAAGGACGAGAGTGGTTGCAGATATCGGGAGGACGAGAGTGGTTGCAGACATCGAGTGGACAAGAGTGGCTGCAGACATCGGGAGGACGAGAATGGCTGCAGACATCGGGAGGACGAGAGTGGCTACAGACAAGGGGAGGACGAGAGTGGCTGCAGATCCAGGAAGGACCAGAGTGGCTGCAGACCCAGGGAGAACGAGAGTGTCTACCGCAGACCCAGGAAGGACGAGAGTGGCTGCAGACCGAGGAAGGACAAGAGTGGCTGCAGACCCAGGGAGAACGAGAGTGGCTGCTGCAGACCCAGGGAGAACAAGAGTGGCTGCTACAGACCCAGGGAGGACGACACTGGCTGCGGACCCGGAGAATGAAAGTTTGGCTGCAGACCCAGGGAGGACGAGAGTGGCTGCAGACTCAGGGAGGACGAGAGTGGCTGTGGACCCAGGGAGGACGAGACTGGCTAGTGACCCAAGCAGGACAAGACTGGCTGCAGACACAGGCAGGACGAGACTGGCTGCAGATCAAAGGAGCACGAGAGTGGCTGCAGACCCAGGGAGCACGACACTGGCTGCAGACCGAGGGGGGACGAGACTGGCTACAGATCCAGGGAGGACGAGAGTGGCTGCAGACCGAGGGAGCACGAGAGTGGCTGAAGACCGAGGGAGCACGACACTGGCTGCAGACCCAGGGAGGACGAGAGTGGCTGCAGATCCAGAGAGGAAACGAGTGGCTGCGGACCGAAGAAGGACGACACTGGCTGCAGACCGAGGGAGCGCAACACTGGCTGCAGACCGAGGGAGCGCGACACTGGCTGCAGACCGAGGGAGGACGAGAGTGGCTGCGGACCGAAGAAGGACGACACTGGTTGCAGACCGAGGGAGCGCGACACTGGCTGCAGACCCAGGGAGGACGAGAGTGGCTGCAGATCCAGGGAGAAGAGTGGCTGCAGACCTGGGGAGGACGACACTGGCTGCAGACCGTGGGAGCACGACAATAGCTGCAGACCCAGGGAGGACGACTGTGGCTGCAGACCGAGGGAGGACGACACTGGCTGCAGACTCCCGATGGTCAAGTGTGGCAGTCCACTCCTGCGGCCTCCGCCTGGGTGACAATGGAAGAATTTGTGAGGACATCGGAAGCAATCAACGAGTACATCGTTATCAGTGATGTGCCTTTACTGCCAGCTTTTCAAGTTATCCAGCAATTCAAGAGCTTGCCAGACTTCTTGATGTTTCCAGTGTTCCTGGCATTAAGACACCAGGATCGTTCCACCTCTGCATCACCACAAACTCTTCTTCTACCAGACAGGGAGATCATTCATGCTATGAAGGCCTTTCAGAGGTTCGCAAACGAAGCACAGGAACGAAGTCGATCAGCTTCCGATGCTATCAAGTACGCCTGTCACAACTGGGCCGTGCATCTCTCGCGTGCTCCCCGTCCATGGGATGACACGCTCAATCGTACATTCCAGGCTTTTTGGAATGATCATGTTATCCCCTGGCTGGAAATGGAGTGGTGTTTGAAGGGTCTGCAGTCTTGTCTTGTCATCTTATCTGAAGGGCAGAAAATTGTGGAGGTGTGTATTTCAACGATTCAAGGTAGCCACAACTGATGTCGCCTCATGTTCAGTCTATAACATGACGCCTTGGAATTCTTCCTTATCTTCAGTCTGGACTCTTGAGCTGTTGACGCGCGGCCCGGCGCTAGCGCCAGCATGTAATGTAGTATTGTATTATTTCACTCCATGTTATGAAAAATGTTGTCCCAAGTACCTACGAACGTTAAACCTATTATTAATACCAACCTCGAGTTCTCTCGAGCTCTCGAGTAGTGGTACGTTCAAACCTTCACATGATACATTGCTTTCAAATATCCAGGAACTGAAGCGCATGTGAGGTTGTATGGTGCCGTGGCAATTGGACTGCGGCACGTCGGTAATGAGGTGATCAATTCGTAGTCATGAGATTTGTGCAATGATGCATGTAATGTAATCTACAAGTTGAAGGTCGCAATGCTAAGAGTGTGGAAGAATACATGTATAGAAGATGCAAGTGGTGTGATATAAATGAACAATAATGATGATGCCGAGTTGCAAATGCAATTGTAATGTTGATGCCGATGATGATCCAGGTAATATGACAACGAAATGAAACATGATAGTCAACAAAGATTTCAATAGACATTATATTCGTTCGTGAACGAGGGCTGGGGGATGGAATACGTTGCATCGTCCGGGTACTCGTGGCGACCTTCAAAGTACCCCGAGCCATATGCCTGCAGAAACTCCTCCAGTTCAGCTGGTAGGGAGTTGTTCAGATGGTTTCCGGAGACAGGCTGGTACTGAAAGTCCGCATCGAAGGCAGGAATACGCTGCTGATAGTTGACATCGGAGAACAGCTCTGGGTCGAACTGCGGCATGTGGAGAGTGGAGAGATCGAGGGGGACAGTTGAAGGCTGGGAGTGATTGGAAGTGGGGATAGGGAGCTGAGAGGGTTGTTCATAAACGGAGGCGAAGCTCTCGGCAGGGAATTCGGGGAAGAGTCGCTCCCAGGAGAGTTGCTCCCAGGAAAGTTCGGCGGGCTCGCCAGAGAATTTGGGAATATCAGAGTCGCTGGACTCAGCAGGCGAGAGCGCATTACAGGGGATGAGGCCTGCGAGTTCGGGAAATGTTAGGTCATTAACATCCAGCGATGCAGGAATATCTTCCTCAGGCCTCATAAACTGAGTAGATGGGTAAGGCGCGGCAGCGGACCGTCGAGCAGCTTTGCCCCCGAGGCTGCGACGCGCCTTGGGCTCGTAGCCGTGTAGGTGTTTGCGGTGACGCGTCAAGCTTGCTGGATCGGTGGTGGTAAACGCGCACCCAGGATGAGGGCACGTCTTCGAGCGTTCACGGGTGTGCGTCCTGATATGCGTCTGCACGTTGGACTTTTGGAGGGTCCTGTAATCGCAATCAGGGAATGGACATGCGTGCATACTGATCCAGATAGTAAACAGGTCAGGAACCACCTAATATAATAAGGTACGAGTACGTACAGAGCCTCCTTGTGTTCATCGTGCGTACGCATATGTCTAGGGAGATCTGCCTTGCGGCTTATAACCTTGTGGCAGACAGGGCAGTCAACAGGGGTCTGTAGAGAAAGTGTCATAAGTACAAGACGCATGATGTGAAGTAGGCTGGAAACGTACCGTGTTATGTCCTGCAGCAGGCATCTTGTGACAGTGTTTGAGAGGAGAGAAACGGTTATATGTGATCTGCGGGGTGGAATTAGATCCTTGAAGTGAATGAATAGCGCGTGCGTTGTGGCAAATCCGCACATCTTGCGCGCTTCTTTTAAAGCACCAGGGGTGCTATGGACATCGAGTACGATTGCTTTTCTGCGGCGCGCGTTTCTGCCTTTAAAGGCAAAAACCACGAAGCAATCGTGTGCGATGGTCTGAGCATGAGGGACGAGCCACTCGGTTAGCGAGGAAGGCAAAAAGAGTTGGAAGAAAGTTCGATTGCGTCTCAACACTTTTCATTTTTTGCCTTGTTAGGCAATTTCTGGTTACCTGCTCGATGTGGGGATGGCTCAGTACTCAGTGCTCAGGCCTGAAGGTCTTATGAATGGGAAGGTAGGGGCCTACAGACGCTTCCTAAAAGAGCTCCACCTCGAGGCACATCCATATGTATTGAGTTCCATTCCAGTACTAGTACTAGTCTTTAGGATAGCACTCGCGGTCACCGGCCGGTTGTCAATGAAGCTGTGAATGACTCGGAGGACGATGAAGAACAACAAGTCCAAGTTAGACGGTCACGCGTGGCGTATAGTGTATGCCCAGCGTCACGTGAGAGCATTCAAGTTGAACTCCAGCTGGGATCATCTTGATTCTGATTCTGCAAATTCAGCAGCAACGTCGTCGGGCGAGATACTCTCTGGACCTGCAAGAAGGTGACATATGCACCAGGAGGCTCGGTCGAGAGCTGAAGTACCCACACGAAGGATGCTTCAAAATCATGTGCAATCTTGACAGTAATGCCGACCTCTTCACGAGTGTGCAACTGTGAGCAAGTCGATAGCGGGTGGACTTCCCAATCTCCGCCGCTTTCATGGCGCCGTGGTGTTGAAGGTTTGCACAAATTTTTTCTAGTGTTTCGAATGCGTCGACCGGAGATTACACCGTCACGCAGATTGTGTTGTGCAGATGTACGCTCTATTTCACATGCCTGCCCTACAATTGAGAGTATCATCACAGGAAAGACCTTGAGTGGGTGAATGTCTGAATTGACTGGATGATTTTTCTGCCGCGAATTGTCCGTGGAGCACGGGACGGGCCTGCAGTATGCGTCTGAGCCGGCTTGGAGCCACCTTAGCATAATAGCATTGGATTTCGAAATGGAGTCCACGGTGGTCAGTGTTACGTCATATAGATGGCCAAATATAGTAAGTATTCATTCGAAATTCACTAAAGTCCAGCGGCTGGGTTTCTGACATCTCCGTCTACTCGGGTAACAGTTAAACGTTTGGTAGCTACTAATGCAATCGATCACGATTATAATCTATATAAATCAAGGGGGTCACACAATGGCGCACATCTTTCTCGATTTCTAGTTCACCGACGTGGTTCTATGGGCTGCACAGCAGCCTCGTGCCCTCCTGCAAGCACTGGACGGCGAGCGCCTACTCGTCCTTCAACTGCATTCCACAACCATCCAGCGAGCTTTCCATAGCAGAATAGTTTGAAACATTCATCCGTTCATCCCATCTTCATCACGCTTCGTCGTCTTTCCAGATAACTACCGCCCAGATTATTTCTAACCACACCTCGAACCCAGCTAGTACTTTCAATTGGTTCATTGCATCTCGCATATCACAACCTTCGTCAATGAGTGACGATCAATGTCAGTACTTCCATCTCTTATCTCTCGCATCCTCTCTGACCTCTTTGATAGTCCTTGAAGGAGCTTGGACGAAGCTGTCCGATGTCGCTGTCAAGGGTGCTCAATATAACTCCCGTGAACGTCAGCCCCACCCAAAATGTCTGCAAGGGACCCGGGTGGATCTCCTCAAATACATCCACGGATTCCTGGACGACACAGAGAAGAATCAGCTCGTTTGGCTGCATGGCACGGCTGGCGTCGGAAAGTCTGCTGTAGCATTCACGGTAGCTGAGAGGATGAGAGGTCTAAAAGTGACAGAAGATACCAACGTCGAAAAGCGGCTAGCGGGGACGTTCTTTTTCTCGCGCAAGCACAAGACACGTTGCACGGCCGGATATTTTTTCGTGACACTTGTCTACCAGCTTGCCAACAATTTCCCCAGCATCCGGAAGGACGTGAAGAGAGCTATCCGCGAAAATCCCGCTCTGCTAGACCCAGACACACCTCTCTGCGACCAGATGGAAGCTCTCTTTCTCAAACCCCTCCGGAAACTTCGACTCAGATTGCGCGGATGTCGGCCTTTGTCGTTTGTGGTCGATGCCCTTGATGAATGCACATCCGAACCAGAACTTAGCGATCTCATCCTTTCCCTTGCACAGGCACTCCATGACCCTGATCTGCCCGTGACCCACATTCTGCTCACAAGTCGCTCGGAATCGCATATCAGCAAAGTCATGCGGAACGAAGAGGTGCGCTTGTTGGTGCGCGAGATACCCGTGAGAACTTCTGGGGAGGGAGGCATCATCTCCTTAGACGGCGCGGACGTCGACAACGACATCTGTACTTTCTTGCGGCATTCCTTCAAAGAGCTGAAATGTCGCCATCCAGATTTCCCGCAGCCATCGGAGGTTGACCTTGCCAAGCTGGCGAGCCGGGCGGGCAGACGTTTCATCGTGGCGTCTACGATGATGAAGTTCATTATCGACGATGAAGACAGTGATCCCCATGTTCGGTTACAGCTGATGCTCGAGCTCACGAGCAAGCTGCTAGCAGGAACGGAGGTGTACAAGTTATACGATTGTATTTTGTCCACGTGTGCCGACCCCAAGCGGGCTTACATGCACTTGTCCATTGTCGCCGCCCTCGCAGACCCTCTTCCCATCTCGCAAATCTCAACACTCCTTGGCCCTGGTTTGGGAAGAGATGTGCAGACAACGCTGATACAGCTACGGTCTGTCATGGATATCCCTACAGACGGCACTCTCCCCGTGAATATCTATCACTCCTCCATTCGCGACTACGTTTCCGATCCCTCAAACTGCGACCTCCCTCAGGTATGCGATATCGCATCACCTCACTCCCTACTCGCACATTCCTCTCTCCGGTGGATGAACACGATTCCAGCAAGCACGGCTTTCTTGGATGCACTCTCAGAACTGAAGAAGCAAAACAAAGCTATGGAATCTGAGAATCCTCATAGGTTAAAAGACTCATTAGCGTTCCTTGTTCGGCCACCAGAGCCACTGTCAGCTGTCATCTATATGCTGTGGCTTCGAGGAGATTGCACTTCAGATTTACAACCTTGGTTGGGGACCGTGGACGGGGATGCCTGGCTGCAGACTCAGGGTGGACGAGACTGGGTGCAGACCCAGGGAGGACGAGTGTGGATGCGGACCCAGGGAGGGCTAGAAGTGGCTGCGGACCCGGGGAGGGCTAGAGTGGCTGCGGACCCAGGGAGGACGAGACTGGCTGCAGACCCAGGGAGTACGAGACTGGCTGCGGACCCAGGGAGGACGAGACTGGCTGCGGACCAAGGGAGGACGAGACTGGCTGCAGACCCAGGGAGGACGAGACTGGCTGCAGACCCATGGATGGGGAGACTTGGTGCAGACCTGGGGAGGACGAAACTGGCTGCAGACCCAGGACGGACGACAGTGGCTGCAGATACAGGAAGGACGACAGTGGCTGCCGACATATGAAGGACGACAGTGGCTGCAGACCCAAGAATGGGAAAGACGAGGGTGGCTGTCGACCCAGGGAGGACGAGGGTGGCTGTCGACCCAGGGAGGACGAGAGTGGCTGCTGACCCAGAGAGGACGAGAGAGGCTGCAGACCCAGGGAGAACGACAGTGGCTGTCGACTCAGGAAGGACGACAGTGGCTGTCGACTCAGGAAGGACGACAGTGGCTGTCGACTCAGGAAGGACGACAGTGGCTGTCGACCCAGGAAGGACGACAGTGGCTGTCGACCCAGGAAGGACGAGAGTGGCTGCAGACCAAGGAAGGACGAGAGTGGCTGCTGACCTGGGGAGGACGACAGTGGCTGCAGACCCAGGAAGGACGACAGTGGCTGTCGACCCAGGAAGGACGACAGTGGCTGTCGACCCAGGAAGGACGAGAGTGGCTGTCGACCCAGGAAGGACGAGAGTGGCTGCAGACTGGGGAGGACGAGAGTGGCTGCTGACCCAGGGAGGACGACAGTGGCTGCAGACCCAGAAGGACGACAGTGGCTGCAGACCAGGAAGGACGAAAGTGGCTGCAGACCCAGGAAGGACGAAAGTGGCTGCAGACCCAGGAAGGACGAGAGTGGCTGTCGACCCAGGAAGGACGAGAGTGCTGCAGACCCAGGAAGGACGAGAGTGGCTGCAGACCCAGGAAGGACGGACAGTGGCTGTCGACCCAGGAAGGACGACAGTGGCTGCAGACCAAGGAAGGACGAGAGTGGCTGTCGACCCAGGAAGGACGAGAGTGGCTGCAGACCCAGGAAGGACGAGAGTGGCTGCAGACTCCCGATGGTCAAGTGTGGCAGTCCACTCCTGCAGCCTCCGTCTGGGTGACAATGGAAGAATTTGTGAGGACATCGGAAGCAATCAGCGAGTACATCGTTATCAGCGATGTGCCGTTACTGCCAGCTTTTCAAGTTATCCAGCAATTCAAGAGCTTGCCAGATTTCTTGATGTTTCCAGTGTTCCTGGCATTAAGACACCAGGATCATTCCACCTCTGCATTACCACAAACTCTTCTTCTACCAGACAGGGAGATAATTCATGCTATGAATGCCTTTCAGAGGTTCGCAAACGAAGCACAGGAACGAAGTCGATCAGCTTCCGATGCTCTCAAGTACGCCTGTCACAACTGGGCCGTGCATCTCTCGCGTGCTCCCCGTCCATGGGATGACACGCTCAATCGTATATTCCAGGCTTTTTGGAATGAGCATATTATCCCCTGGCTGGAAATGGAGTGGTGTTTGAAGGGTCTGCGGTCTTGTCTTGTTGTCTTATCTGAAGGGCAGAAAATTGTGAAGGTGTGTATTTCAACGATTCAAGGCAGCAACAACTGATGTCGCCCTCATGTTCAGTCTATAACATGACGCCTTGAAATTTTGTTCTTATCTCCAGTCTGGACTCTTGAGCTGTTGACGCGCAGACCGGCGCTAGCGCCAGCAGTATCTTGCTGTGGAATGGATAGCATGATGTATTTCACTCCTTGTTATGAAAAATGTTGTCTCAAGTACCCACGAACGTTAGATATAGACCTCCATATTGTTGATACCAACTTCGAGTTCTCTCGAGCTCTCGAGTAGTGATACGTTCAAACCTTCACATAATACATTAATTTTAAATATTCGGGAACTGAAGCGTATGTGACAGTTGTATGGTGCCGTGGCAAACTTGGAAATTGGATTGCGGCATGTCGAGCATGTCGGTAATGAGGCGATCAATTCATAGTCATGAGATTCGTGTAATGATGCATGTAATGTAATTTACAAGTTGAAGGTTGCAATGCTAAGAGCGTGGAAGAATATATGTATAGAAGATGCAAGTGGTGTGATATAAATGAACAATAATGATAATGCCGAGTTGTAAATGCAATTGTAATGCTGATGCCGATGATGATAGATGATCCAGGTAATATGACAACGAAATGAAACATGATAGTCAACAAAGATTTCAATAGACATTATATTCGTTCGTGAACGAGGGCTGGGGGATGGAATACGTTGCATTGTCCGGGTACTCGTGGCGGCCTTCAAAGTACCCCGAGCCATATGCCTGCAGAAACTCCTCCAGTTCAGCTGGTAGGGAGTTGTTCAGATGGTTTCCGGAGACAGGCTGGTACTGAAAGTCCGCATCGAAGGCAGGAATACGCTGCTGATAGTTGACATCGGAGAACAGCTCTGGGTCGAACTGCGGCATGTGGAGAGTGGAGAGATCGAGGGGGACAGTTGAAGGCTGGGAGTGATTGGAAGTGGGGATAGGGAGCTGAGAGGGTTGTTCATAAACGGAGGCGAATCTCTCGGCAGGGAAATCGGGGAAGAGTCGCTCCCAGGAAAGTTCGGCGGGCTCGCCAGAGAATTTTGGGATATCAGAGTCGCTGGACTCAGCAGGTGAGAGCGCATTACAGGGAATGAGGCCTACGAGTTCGGGAAACGTCAGGTCATTTAGATCCAGCGATGCAGGAATATCTTCCTCAGGCCTCGTAAACTGAGTAGATGGGTAAGGCGCAGCAGCGGACCGTCGAGCAGCTTTGCCCCCGAGGCTGCGACGCGCCTTGGGCTCGTAGCCGTGTAGGTGTTTGCGGTGACGCGTCAAGCTTGCTGGATCGGTGGTGGTAAACGCGCACCCAGGATGAGGGCACGTCTTCGAGCGTTCACGGGTGTGCGTCCTGATATGCGTCTGCACGTTGGACTTTTGGAGGGTCCTGTAATCGCAATCAGGGAATGGACATGCGTGCATACTGATCCAGATAGTAAACAGGTCAGGAACCACCTAATATAATAAGGTACGAGTACGTACAGAGCCTCCTTGTGTTCATCGTGCGTACGCATGTGTCTAGGGAGATCTGCCTTGCGGCTTATAACCTTGTGGCAGACAGGGCAGTCAACAGGGGTCTGTAGAGAAAGTGTCATAAGTACAAGACGCATGATGTGAAGTAGGCTGGAAACGTACCGTGTTACGTCCTGCAGCAGGCATCTTGTGATAGTGTTCGAGAGGAGAGAAACGGTTATATGTGATCTGCGGGGTGGAATTAGATCCTTGAAGTGAATGAATAGCGCGTGCGTTGTGGCAAATCCACACATCTTGCGCGCTTCTTTTAAAGCACCAGGGGTGCTATGGACATCGAGTACGATTGCTTTTCTGCGGCGCGCGTTTCTGCCTTTAAAGGCAAAAACCACGAAGCAATCGTGTGCGATGGTCTGAGCATGAGGGACGAGCCACTCGGTTAGCGAGGAAGGCAAAAGAGTTGGAAGAAGGTTCGATTGCGTCTCAACACTTTTCATTTTTTGCCTTGTTAGGTAATTTCTGGTTACCTGCTCGATGTGGGGATGGCTCAGTACTCAGTGCTCAGGCCTCAGGCCTGAAGGCCTTATGAATGGGAAGGTAGGGGCCTACAGACGCTTCCTAAAAGAGCTCCACCTCGAGGCACATCCAAATGTATTGAAGAGTTCCATTCCAGTACTAGTCTCTAGGATAGCACTCGCGGTCACTGGCCGGTTGTCAATGAAACTGTGAATGACTCGGAGGACGATGAAGAACAACAAGACCAAGTTCAAGTCACGCACGGTGTATAGTGTGCCCAGCGTCACGTGAGAGCATTCAACTTGAACTTCAGTTGGGAATCGGGATCATCTTGATTCTGATTCCGCAAATTCAGCAGCAACGTCGTCGGGCGAGATACTCATTGGACCTGCAAGAAGGTCATCTGCATCACGAGGCTTGGTCGAGAGCTGAAGCACCCACACGAAAGATGCTTCAAAATACTGTGCAGTCTTGACAGTAATGCCGACCTCTTCATGAGTGTGCACGTGAGCCTGTCGACGGCGGGTGGACTTCCCAGTCTCCGCCGTTTTTATGGCGCTGTGGTGTCGAAGGTTGCACGAATTTTTCGAATGCGTCCACTGGAGATTGCACCGTCACGCAGATTGTGTTACGCAGATGTACGCTCTATTTCACATGCCTGCCCTACAATTGAGAGGATCATCACAGCAAATACCTTGAGTGGGTGAATTTTAGAATTGACTGGATGATTTTTCCACCATGAACATGGGGCCCCCGTCTGTTTGGCACCACAGTCGGGTTTCTATTGAATTCATATCTAAATTTTATCTCCGCGAGTCTCGGATACCCTGGAGTTCTGCACACTGTGAGGCCAGGTTCTGCCATCCCCTAAGTTCTGCCGTGGGCCAGACACGACCTGTTCTACCAGACCGACCCGGTTTGCAAAACTCCCGAGTTCTGCCAACAGCAACAACTCGACAGGATTTACATAAATGGTCGTTCCTGCTTTCCCAGATGCATTAGAGCAATTGCAACGTTGCCCCCTGTGTGACGGCATCGAGGGTGACGTGACTCACACTGGTCATTCTGACTCAAACGTTCTATATACACCCCATAAAGAGCTACTAGGACTTAGTTACTAGTGCTCCTCACAGTACTCATTTGCCCGCCAACTCATAATGTCTTTAAGGAGCTTTCAATCCGAAATTCAGGAAATCCACGCACGGGAGCTCGCCCGCCAACGTGGCCAAGGCTCTAGTGTAGCTCCCGCTCCGCGGAATATACATGCCAGGAAAATACAGATACTCGAGGAATCTAATATCGTCGGTGGACCACCTCCTTCCAGGGATGCTGGCGTCGAGGATGAGGTTGAAGCAGTCCTGGTACTCCACCTTCCATCACCATGTTGTGCATTCACTCAATTCTTCTCAGGCATTACTATCTATCCATGATTATGACCGAGCACGCACCTCGGTAGCACAACTCATCACTGGACGCAAAGGCGAATACATATTTCGCATTGGCTGTCGACCATCCCATGCATCACTCTTTGCCGGAGAGAGCGTGGACGATGCAACAGGATGGTCGGGGGTCCCGCGAACAGATGTCGAAGTTACTTCATTGCAATCATCAGTTAAGAGGGTTGTGGAAGAGCTAGGAGGGAAGGTGCGTGGTTTATTTACATACAGGCAACATGAATTTATATCCAATAGATATCTGTTCTTTTTGAAACTACTGACAGTCACTATCCACGTGCAACTCTACTACTACGATTACCTCCGCCCAGCATTGCATTAGTTCCAGAGGTCCGCTGTGCTGTCGTCGGTAACGTTGATTCGGGCAAGTCTACAACACTAGGAGTTCTAACACGCGGTATGATACACACATGCATGCACGCGCGTTTCGATTATCTATTTCTTCTCAGGTCCTCTGGATGACGGGAGAGGCCGAGCTCGTGTAGCACTGTTTCGCCATAAACACGAGATTGAGACCGGAAGAACATCTAGTGTAGGGATGGAAGTAAGTTGCACGTCTCCTACCAGCCTACACTACCCTACATATTTTCACCCCAGATCCTTGGTTTTTCGACTGCTGGAGTCCCTGTCCTTCCAGATATACCGCCGTCTGCTGACGCAGACGTGATTCGACGCGATAAACTGGGCTGGGACGAAATTTCAGCACAGTCAGCCAAGATAGTTTCTTTCAGCGGTAAGTCCATTCGACGTGACTGTGTTTCGTATATATACCTCCGTTTTGTAGACCTTGCGGGTCACGAGCGATATTTGAAAACTACTCTCTACGGGTTGACGTCCGGGGCGCCATCGTGTGTGATTCTGATGGTCGGTGCCAACGCCGGGCTTATTGGCATGTCGAAGGAGCATCTAGCAATAGCTCTGGCTTTAAGCGTGCCCGTTGTTGTCTGTATTACCAAGGTAAAAATTAACCCTATAATCATGCGGCTGAGCTGATTTTCACATAGATTGATATGACCCCACCCAATATTCTTAATGAGACTACGAAACAGGTTGTGAAGATTTTGAAGAGTCCTGGATGCAGGTGAATAATATCCTTTACTCCGCTTCGATTCCACATAACATGTCTTTGCAGGAAAACACCAGTTTTTGTGAACTCGATGGAAGTTGCGGTTGAATCGTCGCAGACATTTGCGCAACACAAGTAAGCCTATTCGTCTTCGATCGTGAATTTTTGGTGCTTATGGAACATAGACTATGTCCTATTTTCCGCGTCTCCAATGTCACTGGAGAAGGCCTTGACTATGTCAGTGTTATGCACTTTTTTTTTCTGATTTACGAGGATTCTGACTTGACTGAAGTTTCGCACGTTCTTGAATCTCCTTCCATCCAGCGAAGCGGACACCGAGACGTTCGCAGTCGATCAGCCACTTGAGGTAGCACCGGCCCCTGACACACATTCAAGCGTGCAACTGATATCTTTCCCTGCAGTATTCGGTCACTGATGTCTGGTCTGTCCCATACGTGGGGACAGTCGTCAATGGCATTCTCAACAGTGGAAGTGTCAAGACAGGTGACTCCGTTTTGTTTGGGCCAGACTCCAATGGTACATTTCCAGTCGACCGTTGTGAGGAGTATGCAACGAAAACGGTATTCTCGGTTTCTGTTAGCATTTTTTATGGGTACTGAACTTTCACAGAGCTGATGTTGCGACAGCTGAGGCTGGCCAATGCGTTGCTCTCGCTCTCAAGCGAGTGAAACGTGCGGCCGTCAGGAAGGGTATGGTCATAGTGCACAAGACCGATACTCCCCCGAAAGGTCAACATCGCATTTTTTGCTATTATTTTTGCGATGACTCATCGGAACTCACAGCAACACGCCAATTCGAAGGACAGGTCCTCATATTATAGTGAGCTCAAGTTTATCTCTTGCACGATGTAATGATTCGAGCAGAATTTTCAGTCATAATACTACCATGCAACAAAACTACCAGGTATGTTTAATAGCTTGCTGTTTTCGCAGCCCATGCTGATGTAGTGTGCGCATAGGCCATGCTTCATTGCGGAGTGAGTAGGATCTCCTGATGCCTACCGTAGTTCTCATCAATCTTAGGCTGTCCGCCAAACTGTTCGTATCATATCGATGGATAACCCTGAGGGGATCCTGCGGACTGGTGATCGAGCCACCGTTCAGTTTGAGTTCATTACACAGCCAGAGTTTGTCAAGGTCGGGATGAAGTTGTTGTTCCGTGAGGGTAAGACCAAGGTATGTTGATGACTGCTCCGTACTTGCCACTGCACCTCTGACTGTCAACACACGCAGGGACTCGGTGTTATCACCCGTCTGCTGTGACAGAGGGTAGCATGATCATGGTGCGGTGATCACTCGCTCCCTCGGAGGTCGTCTGCGGTCCTTCTCACTCACTAGCCACCCTCGTCGCACTCCGTTACAGTTAGTTGTATTCAATCTTTCTTCCAGTGTGGGGCCTGTTTGACTCCTCGAGTGTGGTATGAAGAATTGTATTTATACGTACCTGGATATTTTATTTGTAATTTGAAGCAATACATCTACAGCGTTCCATCTCTGTCAGTCACATAAAACGATCCTTCACTTTGATCTGCCTTTCAAGCAGGTGAGATTATAGACATCATGAAAACTATTTCGCAAGTACTGTAGATCTCTAAAGACACAGCATGGTGAGTGTTCGACTATGTAGTGAAGGTATCAATCCGAAGAGCTTGCCGAGGCTCGAGAGTACAGTGTTCGTCGACCCAGGCCTCGAGTAGCTTGGATACGAAGGTTCTTTCGTACAGCCGGCCTGCTCATCCCGTCTTCCACGTCAGACAACTCATCTTCGTCACTACCAGGCGGGGTAGATTGCAATTCGTCATCACCGTCACTTTCAGATGACACCTCCTTCCGGCGCGCGCTTCCCTTCACCCTTTTAGCAGAGGGCTTCTTAGCTCCTAAGCTCGCTTTCTTCTTCCTTTTCTGCGATTTCGGCGCTTTCGGATGTGCCTGGTAGTGCAAGAACTGCTCGAACCATTCCGTACGATACCCGACACATTTCATGACGGTGAAGTTGATCACGAGCCTACCATCGTTGAGTGCCTCCCGAAGACCGTCTTCTGTATGCTCAACGAGGCGAATTTCACCCCCCTTGTCTACAAGTTCTGCATTCGTTCTTTCGACCCAACTCTTTCCCCACTTGGTCTTCAGGGCTCCCGACACCCAACGTCGAATGACCAGAGGCTGGAGTAGGTCTAGCTGGTGGGGCGAAATTTCGCCCCACCGGGAGGTCTCATACGAACCAAGGTATACCCATTGATTTGGCTTGTCAGAAGCGATGAGGTCGATTGGCTCTGTAATGAGCGAACGGTCATTGAAATACTTCACCTCACAAAACACGACGCCATGACCGCCCGGAACGAGTGGGAGGTGTGGATTGTAGGAACGCTTCATGGCCAAGCTGTGAAGCTTTAACTTTAGTAGCAGTATATTAGGTAGAATCAAGAGTCGAGATACGCACTAAGGGTGTTTATCCGATTTTGTAGGACCTTGCCAGTTGTTCGACGTGGTTTGGTGACCGCTACCAAGAGCCTGGAGTAATAACAAGGGTTAGCCCGATTTACTAGATAGGGAAACCCCGAGCTCACGTCGCTGATCACGGGGCGCAGAAATCCGACGCGGAACCGCTCTTCGACGACAACCGGAGGTCCAAGACCAAGGTGCTCAAGATTCCAGATATCAAATTTGCCATCTTCACTCTTGACGAACGTAACTCGTTCAATCAGATCGGGTTCATTTTCCGACTTGATAACCACTTGGATTGTCGTATCGACTGGCTCTGCTTTCACGGCCAAACTCGATCTAGAGGCGTTGGAGTTTGAGGGCCGCGAAGGCGCTGCGTCTGGAGGATGTTCGGGCATCGGAAGGTTGGATGCGAAGCTGTCGGACATGTCTTGGTCAACGTCCTGATGCCCTGTAGCTTCAACGACAGTCCCATTTGGCTGCTCGCAAAGGTCAGTATCAAAACCAAAGCGGAAAAAATGGTCGCGTACAGCATCCGGCTTCAAGTTGTTGAGCTTGATCATATTGAAATTGAGATTTTTAACCTTTTCAAGATATGATGGGCTTTTCGTCACAGAGGGTATACACACAAACTGTCTGATCATCCAGTTGACGCAGGATATTCTTCAACTCGTCTTGAAGCCCTGCGATCTCAGCAGTCTGGAGGTGTTGCTCGTTCTTAAGTTGCTTATTTTCCTTGCGGAGCTTAGTTAACTCCTTGCCCTGTTCCGCGACGAGCTTGGTTTTGGCTGTGAGGTTTGCCTTGAGGGCAGCTACCTCCTGATTGAGGTGCGATGTTTCATTTGACTCCTGCTTCACTGGGCGAGCATTGGAATCAGAGTCGGAGTCGGAAAGTTCTATGATCTCGTTATGCATTCAGGTGATTACTGATGCCAGCTTGCACTGAGGTTTCCGAGGTGGCGGCGATGGAGAGGGGGGGCTAAGACAGAAGAGATAAAAAAAAAAACAACACAAATTCAGTCTAAACGGGTACTAGGCAGGGGCCAGGACCGTCTCGCCAGTATACTGTGTTTTGAAAATGGTACTTAGGAAACATTAATTATCAATGGCAAGGGCCCGGATTACGAGACGTCCTCGGAAGCAATATAGTGCTAGTACGATATTGCTTGGTAAATGTAGGGCCTAGGCGGGCTCACATTTGTAAACGTGTACATGAACACCGTAGTGGGACTATCCTAAGTACTGAGTACCAGTACTTAGTACGACTCGAGACTCATCTTCGCTGTTGTCGCTCTCAAGCATCTCATCCTCAAGGTAACTTGGCAGCCAATGCATTTCGGCTGGGCATCGCGTGGGCCTCAACGGTACTTGACGAGCACGAGACTGATCTCTTCATGGAAAGCAAGCCCAATTGTTTATTCATTCAGGCCTAGGTGCACGTCCACGAGTCTGTCGACCTTCGGGTGAGTTCTTGGACAATAAATTTTCTTGTCTTCAATGTGTAGTTTGATCTGGGTTTCCTTGGACTCGTGATATATGAAAGATGATGGCGAGCAGTAGAGTGGATACCATCATGAAACAGTCACTCTAGATTGCTTGGGTACTAGTATTTAAGTGCTGCGTTGCGGCTTGGACTGGCGGCCAGCCCGTCTATGAGGCAAGCCGTGGATAGACGTCGCAGCTACTATAGCCGGTTGAGTTTGGTCAGCATGCCAAACTTTGTGGAGCTATGACCTGCGGATGAGTCTCGTGCATGTCTTCGACAACATCGTACCAAGCAGTTCCGTCTGACGAAGGTAGTCCGCCCGCCAAACCCGCTTCTCGTTTTATATCTCGCAAGACTATTTTTCTTTCTGGATTAGTGTTCATCATCCTCGCGTTTGCATCGTATAAAGCGTTTTTCTCTATTCAACATCCGTCTCCTCAACCAGACTCCGGTACCAAAGCATTAGAATCTCAAACATCTTCATCCATACCGCCGGCACCGAGTGATACTCTAGAAATGCAAGGTCAAGGAAAGTACAGCGTTGGATAGTAAGTGTTGATCTCCTCCAAAACAACCTACTTCTGAGTGTTTTACCAGCTTCGTAAATTGGTGCGTCTTTTCATCTGTCATATACGGAAAATATTGACCGTCCGCCAACTATTATTCCTACTCGTAGGGGGATCTATGGTCGCAAGTTCCAGCCGTCGAACATCCCTGCCCAAGATTTGACGTAAGGCGCTGTCTTCCTTACATTTTCAAGCTCACTATCCATCCAGCCACATTCTCTATGCATTCGCTGATCTGAGACCTGACTCGGGCGAAGTTGTTCTCTCTGATGCATGGGCGGACAAAGATATCCACTACCCTGGCGATTCTTGGAATGACGTCGGAAACAACCTCTACGGGAATTTCAAGGCCATCTATAAATTGAAACAGCAAAATAGACACTTGAAGGTCCTTCTCTCAATCGGAGGTTGGACATATTCCCCCAAGTTCCATCCTATCGTCGTCAATCCTGCCCTTCGTGCCAACTTCGTGCGATCTGCAGTTCGTCTACTCGAGGATTACGGTCTTGATGGTCTCGATGTGGACTATGAATATCCATCCAATGAGTACCAAGCACGTGGCTACGCCGACCTCCTAAGGGAACTCAGAATAGCCTTAGATCAGCACGCTCAAATGAAGGGAATCTATCATAGATTCTTGTTAACAGTATGCCATCCAACTTTACCTACCCTGCTGAGCTTCCAATCTGAGATGTTTATTTTGCTAGATCGCTGCTCCTTGCGGACCCGACAAATATCAACAGTTACACGTACGTGAAATGGACCAGTACCCTCGATTTTTGGAATATGATGGCGTACGACTTCTGTATGTTCTGAAATGTTTGGTTGCATTACCAATTGACTTACATGGAAAAATATCACAGCTGGTTCATGGGATTCTGTTGCAAATCACCAAGCCAACATCTACGGTGGACCTATCAGCGCCTCACAGGCAATTGCGTGGTACACCGCGAACGGCGTCCCTCGCTCCAAGATGGTTCTCGGGATTCCGCTGTACGGTAGAAGCTTCATGAACACGTCCGGTCCCGGAGCACCGTTTTCCGGCATTGGACCAGGCAGCTGGGAGCAAGGTGTCTATGACTACCGTGCTCTTCCGCTCCCAGGCACATACGTGTTTCAAGACGACAAGGCCCTAGCGAGCTGGTCTCACGACTATCAGAAGCAAGAGATGGTGAGTTTTGACAACGAGCAGGTTGGCCATTGGAAGGGCGATTGGATCCGCCGTGAAGGTCTTCGAGGAAGCATGTTCTGGGAGTTAAGCGGAGACAAAGGAAGCGCACGAGAGGGAATGGAAGGTGGATGGGGAAAGGACCCAGTGCCCGGGAGGAGCTTGATTGCAACCGTCAAGAACGCTATGGGACCATTGGACCTGAGCCCTAACTGGCTGAGCTATGAGGGCAGTCAATTCGATAACCTGCGCAGCGGTACCATTTAGATTCATCGGTTACATCACACGACACAAGAGGACTCGGACGTCTTTTCCAGGACAATTACTGTAACATCACTTTTCCTTCAAGCATATTTCATCGACCTTGTATGATAGCATCCTGTAATGTCACGCTGTGTGACTTCTGTGACGACCGTGATGAGCACTGCTAAAAAATTTAGCGGGCTGTGGGCATCGCCAGACTGCTGCAGGTCGCCATCCCCCTTGGCTTTCAACTGTATTTCTCATTTCACGACCCATAGATTTTGGACAATAATTGGAGGCATCCTACACTGAGATTCGACTTCAATCTCACCTGTACATCAGTGCTCAAGTTCAAGTAGACCGGTCGACTACGATTTTTCTTCTAATCGCCCAATTTATCCTAGGACCTATATCCTGAGTTTTTCAAATGTCTCCCGCTGTAATGACCTCTTCTTTGGAGTCGGAATTCGCCTCGATCATCGACGCTTTGCGCACTGCACCATCCGGCCCAGGTTTATATCCCATGACTTTCTTGAGAGATAGAACTTATCATAATTTGTGTAGACGCCAAAGCAGCAGCTGATAAGCTCGCCCTTGCTGTTTCTAAAGCAGGTATAGAGAGCTTGGTGTGCGTCCATTTTCTCTGCGACATGATAAGATGTCAGCATCTAAAGTTTAACAGTGACCAAAATGTAATCACTATCCTTGAAAATTTCGCACTCAACAAGAAATCTGGATGGGAACGAGAATCTGGTGCTATTGCATTCCAGTCATTCCCCGCTGTTCTCGGTCCCCCCAGTGCACCTTTCCTTCTCCCGAGCCTTCACGTTCTCTTCGATTTGTTATCTGACAAGGGAGAGGTTGTTCGGACTGCTGCAACAGCTGCAACGAAGGCTATCCTCCAGCTCCTCCCCCCAGAAGCTACAAGAACCGTTTTCGGCATTTTAGAAGATATCCTAGAGAAAGGAAAATGGCAAACAAAAGTCGCAGCCCTAGATGCTCTCAAGAGTTTCGTGGCTCGTGCGAAGGACTCAGTAGCTGATGAACTTGGACATATCCTACCCAAGGTCGAAGTAGCAATGCACGACACAAAAAAGGAGGTGCGTTATGAATGTCCTTGCGCTATTTTACTCCGCCGACCGAATCCCTGCAGGTGGCTTCTGCTGCCGTCAAGTGTGCCACTTCTTTGTGCACGACACTCGCGAACCCCGATCTCGCTCCCCACATACCCGCTCTGGTTAAGTGTATGTCTAATCCTGATGCAGCACCGGCTTGCATAAAGGCGCTATCGTCAACGACTTTTGTTGCCGAAGTCACGGCACCAGCGTTGGCCGTTCTCGTACCATTACTCCTCCGTGCTCTTAATGATCGCAGCATGGAAGTGCAGCGGCGTACGGTTGTCGTCATTGATAACTTAGTCAAGCTGGTCAGGAACCCCGTAGTTGCCGCAAGATACCTTAGCCCTCTCGTAATGGGTGTGCAAAAGATTGCTGAGGGTGCCGCGTTTCCGGAGGTTGGCTATACTTTTTTGACTGCATGCCTTGCGAATCTCATTTGCTATTTACTAAGGTCCGTGCCTTCGGTGAAACGGCACTTAATACGTTGCTCAAGGCAGGTGCATCTACCTCGGGGACGCCGCCGACGCGGGATGTCAGCAAGGAGGTGGCTGACGTTGTTGCCGTCTTGCTGTCACTGCTTCCATCAGACCTTGTTATCCCCTCTGCGGCTGGCCCGAATGCTCCGCCATGTGCAAGCCACCCTCTTTTGTCCCAATCTTTACAATTCCAGGGGTCCATGGTTGCTGACCTTGTCTATAATCGGCGTTTCCAAGATCCGGAAGTATGGAAACGTTGTGTTGGTGTGTATATGACATTCTGGCTGGGACCAGAGGGATCTGCTAGCTTTGCTGAGTCGGCACGGGCACATTTCCGTGCGATTGATCAAGTGTGTGCTCTTGCTCTATTTTGCCAGGAAACTTTTCATCATCAGGAACCATCTAGGCACTAAACAAATCTGTGCACGACGATCAGAGTGGCGAGGGCGAGCTTCTGTGTGACTCATTGTTTTCACTCGCTTACGGTGCACTTTTACTGCTCTCGCACACAACACTCCGTTTGTTCCGCGGACGCCGTTATGGTATCCTCGGAACGAATGGATCAGGGAAGTCGACCCTTATGCGCCAGCTTCGGGACGGCAAAGTGGAAAATTTTCCTCCTCAAGATCAATTACGTTGTGTCATGGTAGAGCACTCCTTGCAGGGCGAGGACACGTCTTTGTCTGTGTTAGACCTCGTGGCGTCAGGTAAGTGCATCTATTCGTTATTATTATACTCAGTGACAGCAATTTATTTGCCGCAGACAAGGCTCTGGCACAAATTCCGCGTTCTAAAATACGAGATCAATTATTGGAGGTGGGATTCGATGATGCCCGGCAGTCAGACGTAGTCGGTGGGTTGTCCGGTGGTTGGAAGATGAAATTAGAGTTGGCCCGCGCAATGCTTTACAATGCCGACCTTCTTCTTTTGGATGAGGTGCGAGGTAGTTCGATGCCACTGTTCTAGCGTTAGCTCACTTGCAAGTACTTTTTGCCATGCAGCCCACTAACCATGTTCGTATCCGAGTTATCCCCATTTCCATTGCCTGACATTTTCCTGATAGTTGGACCGGGCTTCCGTTCAATGGCTTGAGAGTTATCTCATCGCTCACAAAAATGTCACTTGCCTAATCATCAGTCACGATTCTGGGTAAGTGCGTCTTACCTAATCCTAACATTCAATCACTGATTCTACTCCACATGACTAGGTTTTTAGATAATGTGACTACTGATATCATACATTACGAGTCCAAAAAGGTATGGCCCTTGTCGGCCGACATTGAAAGCCGACTGATCTATTCCCCTCTATCATAGCTCGTCTATTATCCGGGAAATCTCTCATCGTTTGTGGAAAAACACCCGGAGGCTAAATCATACTATACACTAGCGGCGACATCCGTTAAATTCTCATTTCCTCCGCCTGGCTCTTTGATGGGTGTTCGCAGTAACACTCGTGCCATTTTGAAAATGTCAAATTGCTACCTTCACGTACCCCGGTCGGCCACAACCTTCGCTAATAAACGTGTCTTGTGGTGAGTAATAATTCATGCTTCTATTTGTGATAAAGCCTCATTCGCTCCACTTCGCAAGCCTTATCACTCTCCAGGTGGGTTTGTGTACTCCACATGTCTGATTGAGCGTGTTTCATTGTCATTCAGCCGAGTTGGTGTAATCGGCCCTAATGGCGCAGGCAAATCGACTTTGATCAAACTTCTGACGGCAAGAATGATCATTTGATCGATGGTGTCCCCCCTTAATGACCTATTTACTTCCAGGGCGAGACCATTCCTCAAGAGGGAACTGTATACAAACATCCAGCCCTTCGTGTTGGTTACGTCTCACAGCACGCCACTCACCATATAGGTACACTCTTATCTCCCACTTCAGCATTTAATATACCAAACTTACATCGCTTCAGAACGCCACTTGGAGAAGACGCCCATCGGTTATATTCAGTGGCGTTTCCAGGACGGCCACGATCGTACGTCTTTAAACCTAAAACGTCCCTGCCAGACTCTCATTAATATAATTTGCTAATCATATCAGGTGAATTACTGGAAAAGGCCACTCGTGTTCTGACAGACGAAGAGAAGGAAATCCTCGATCAAGATTGGGTTGGCAGGAATGGCACCAAGCGCAAATTGGAGGTTAGTATTACTTTGCATTGTCGATCTGATCCATATCCTAAAATTATACAGCTTATTATGGGACGTCAAAAATTGAAAAAGACATTCCAATATGAGGTCAAGTGGCGTGGTCTCGACCACAAGTTCAACTCCTGGGTGCCTCGTGATGAGTTGATGGCCAAAGGTTTCGTAAAGTTGGTGCAGCAATTTGACGATCTAGAATCCTCCAGAGAAGGTGCAGGTACCCGTGACACGTCTGCCCAACTTGTACGCAAACACCTCGAAGACATTGGTCTCGATGGGGACATCGCGCAGTATAATGAAATATCGGGATTATCGGGAGGTTTGTAATCAATTGTTGCGTTTGTTCCATCCCACTAACCTCCGACGTTGTTAGGGCAAAAAATCAAGTTGGTCATTGCGGCCTGCCTCTGGAATAATCCCCAGGTTCATTAGATGCACTGGTTGTCATGATGATGTGCTGACGTTACTTTGTAGGTTTGCGTTCTTGACGAACCGAGTAATTTCTTAGATCGTGAAGCGCTGGGCGGCCTTGCAGTGGCCATCAAAGAATGGGGCGGCGCTGTGGTGAGTACTCCGAAACGAGCACGAATTCTGATCCACAGTTGACATGGAGCGAGCGCCTTAGGTTATCATCTCACACAATCACGAGTTCGTCTCGGCTTTGTGTCAGTTTTCCGATGTTGTATTTCACGTATATTTTTGATGCAGTCTTCTAGGTCCGGAAATATGGCAGATTGAAGCAGGGCGGATGACACATCAAGGAAAAGCCGCCGTTGTCGAGGATGCCTTTACCGACCTGAAGTCCCCGAAGGGCAGCGGTGCTAATACCCCAGCTCGCTCGCGAGTGCAGAGCCCGTCTGTTTCAGCTCATGGGACTCCTGCAGGGAGTGGGGATGAAGAAGCTGGCGCCACAAAGGTTGTCAAAAAGAAGAAGAAAGTGACACGCAACCAAGTGAAGGCCCAGGAGGAACGCCGGAGGTTGAGAAAGCTCGCGTGGCTCACTCACGGTGGTCCACGGCCTGAGGACACCGACAGTGACGTTGACCCTTGAGATCGAGAGGCCATGTGAATTTATCAGGGGCCATTTCATTCTGATCCGCGGATGCTTTTCGACAAGATCTCTTATAGATTACCTTCCTTGAGTCATCCTGTGAAGTAATAGATTTTCCGTTTCGTCGCGAATTCGTTCAGCAGAATTTTCAGAAGTTTCACTGCCACGTAGTGCAGGCGACAAAAAGCCGAGTCTGTAACCTCCTTGCAACGGCATACATGAGATAACCGCACTCACACAGGTCCACGCTAGCGATCGCATTTCAACGTGTCGAGTGCTGGCGGTCTGTGGCATTTCAATGATCGTTGTCAAACTATGCCAATCCGATCATCGGGACATGCGTTCGAGGAGAAAATGTGTTGATTCAGAATTAGTGAAAAGCCGACTAACTAATAATATTACATTAACGGATTCAGACATCCAGTGACAATCATTATCCGGCAGTGCCCGGAGGTGCCCGGTGACCCGGCGTAATATATGCTATGGGATGAAAATGAAATTCATAATTGCCAACTTGGAGCACATACATACTTATCTCTCGCCTTGACTTGTCCTGAAAGCGATTAAAATAGCGCCATAGCTTCAGCTTCAAGCTTCAGCCGCGGACCGTCAGAAGTTTTTTTTTTCTGTTCCAGAAGGACCCATGAGGGGCTCCTTGCCCGAGTAACACTTGATCGACAAAACGGATTCCTTCTCGCGCGGTTCTTAAACTGTTACTGCATAAATATGTCAAAGGGAGACCCTGACCGTGGAGCTGGAAACAAGTCCTGGGATCGACGCGGCGTGACGAAGGTGCTTGCTGGACGGCTGGCGCCGCTGCCGCTGATGCGGTGGTGAACTCGCGCAACAATCCACAGCAAGCGGCCACATGACATCTTATCGATGGCATTCGTGCCGATGTGTTGTGGCAGTCTTTGTTGTATCTCACGTATTATCAGTAGAATCGTAAACCGAAGAGGAACATACTCAAATGGCGTAATTCACGGCCTTCTAACCGCGGACATCCGTGACAAAATCGAGCAAGAACAAACGATGGAGTATTTCGGACGTGTCCGTGTGATCAGACTAAACCTGAGCGAGGGGATAAGAACATGATAAGTACATAAAAACTACGGCGACAGTGCATCAAGGAGGCAGGTACATGTGGACGGATTGGAAAAGGGCATCAGATTGCGTGAGGTGATATGGATATATAGAATTCAATATGAATGGGTATTAAGGGGCTGGCGAGTAAGTTAATACGGTGATAATGAATGATCGAGGTCCTAATGCAAAAGGATGACGACGCTTCTGTTGTGATGAAGAGAACGAATCTAGCTGAAATGAAGGCATGGTGTTTAGACAACCATCAAATATTCAGTAGCGACCAGGCTGCTGCCATTTGCGGGGATCTTCTTCGCGCCGATGGGGAATAGTTGACCGACTGTCCTGTGCCACAGACCGGACGTCCTGACTCGATCGCGGAATGTATGATGAATGTGTAACAGACGTGGGGCTGATGCCACCACCAAATGAAGTATGCGACACATCATCTGTCTGAGAGGACATGCTAAATGGTTGATGAGGAGTGGACACTGATGCCGATGACTGGCGGGTAGTCTGTCTCATTGATTGCCGTTTGTTTTGGAACCTATGGAAAGGCATGAACATCGATCCTGTGATTTGTGTAATACACCAACCAGATCTGAACGCTCCGGGCTGACATGTCTAGTTTCTTAGCGAGCTCTGCTCGTTCTTCAGTAGAAGGAAACGCAGTGCGAGCATAGGTCTCATTCAGGACTTTCAGCTGAGCTGCATCAGCTCTCTTACGCTTTTTCTTGATGGCAGGTTGCTCATTGTCCATCATTGGAGCAGGCTCTTGTGTTAGTGCAGAGTTGGTGATTGACCCTCGGGCATAGGGAGAAGGACCATGGGCCTCGACTTGGGTAGGCATGCCCCGCTCGGATGGGTACATGCCGATGGACATCTGCTGCGAGTGATACATCGATGGCAGTTGACTTGAATGATGACGTGGATCGGGGACGGGAGGATATGAGTATGAGTTTTGATTTGGGTAAGGAGCATACTCGGTAGGATAGGTTGCGGTCGGCGAGCGAATATGATCACCATAGTTGGAAACAAGCGGCGCGACTGCCCCGTAACTGCCCTGATATCTGTCGGGCATATTTAATGGAGGCAGCTTGCGGGAACCGTGGGAATCGGCCGGGATCGTCGGCGAACTGCGCGAGGGATAACTTGGGTATGGTTGGTTTTGAGGGTATCGGTCATAGTGTTCATAACTAGAGTGCTGTGGGGTAACTGTTACCGCTTGAAGTAAGATTGATGAGCGTGCGATCGGCGTAGATGATGTCAGACGTACTAGTAGGCCACTGACCATAGCTCGAGGAGCTATGATCACTTTTTCCAGGAGATGAACGTTGCTGGGAATATGAAGGATAGTTGGGAACTATACTTGAGTTGAGCATATTTGCATTTACACTAGATAGAAAAACAGACCTGAAGAGGGTGAGGTTGGAAACGCTGAAGAAAGAGGAGGGAGCACAGTTCGCCCACCCTGTCCCGTCTGAAAAAAACCACTATTTTGAGAATCCCCTCCAGGAGGGCTTTTGCGGGCCTTTGAAAGGTTTGAGAACAAACGATCGTCCCTCGGGTTTGTCATAGTAAGTTAAGCAGATAGGCAAAAGAGGAAGTGAAGGAAAATTATGGTTCAATGAAAAGAAGAAATCGATGTGGATATAAGTATGAAGGAACACGCGCTGAGCATGCCAATTGCCCGACGAGCGAGCAAGAAAAGGCCTGCGGCACGGGAAGGCTGTGTGAGATGGATGAATCGATCAGGGCCGTTGAATGAACGCGGTAAACATGAACACCGGCAAAGGTAACTGAACACGAGGCGTAGTTGTGCAAACTGGGCAAGGGGAGGTAGGATGAAGCGTGTTTTAAGTCTGCGGAATGAGGCTTTGTAGGTCGAGAGTAAGCTAGTTAGGTTTGGGCGTTAAGGGAATGAATGAATGAATTTAAGTTATACTAGTATCCCGAAGAGGGACTGTAAAGATCATCCGAACTCGAGATTCGTTGTTATTGTAAACCCAAGGAGACAATCTTCGCGGCCTTTCATTATTTTCCGCTTCCAAAAATCCAAACGAGGAGACGGACCGTAATACAGCTTAAGGGAAGCACAAACGCGTTGGAAAAGCTGTGTTCTTCTCTGTGCAACGCGGAAATTGCATTGTTGACATCAAATCCATCGAGATCGGTTTAAAAAGCCTCGTGGCCTTTTCTGGTGCGGACACCTTGCAACTTTGAGTAAGTGTTTTTCCAAACTCAAGAATAATTATATATTTCCCACAAACGGCTAGCTCCGAATACCGCACACCACTTAACGTTACTTACGGAGCAGAATAATTTCAATGCGCCGTACTCTGTCCAAGTCATCGCCAGGTTACGTTAAATGTAGAATGAAGGGGATGACAGCTCTATTCAAGTATATGAATTGCTCGAACCCTTTAATCTAAGATCGACCTACTTACTTACTTCGCGGGTAACCTACACTGAACCCATGTACAAAGTATACAAAGTATATATGAACATTGATCAAATATACATTTAATAACTAGGATTGACATCCGCGTGACAATGTCACAAATGATCCCATGATTACCGGAATTAGCTACAACACACAAGTGAGCTCTCGCTATCCAATAACATAGACATGGTAGCGTCATCTCGTCCATTGCCAAACCTCAAGAATTCTCATAAATACTACGATGAATGTCCTCTTACGTCCGATCTTGTTCCCCGGGTATCTTATTACCGGCCAGCAGCATGGCCTGCGGCAACCCCAACTTACGATGATTATGAGGAAACTCCACCTACAATCCTACCAGCGGGTACTTTTCTGCACAAAGGCTTCTATGATCTACTCGCCATGATCCCCACTCCCTCCCAATCCCGATTTCTCTGGGGTGGTGGTGGATCTAACCAAGTTCCACCCACAGACGGCGAGATTATTAGTGCAGGTCCACGTCATGAGGACATCAATCCAAAACCCCGTCACACGCCTGGATCTTCTCCCCTAAAGAAGGGTAGAAGAGTCAGTAAAGCCATGGTCTCCAGGCCCACGGGTTTCGTGTAGGTTATATTTTGGTATTCCGAGTCAGCGTTAACTACATCCCAACATGGGTATTCGTAGGCATCTTGTCCACGCTTCGGATGCCGGTCAGGCAGAAGCCCTTTTGACCCGCTGGGGTCCAGATGGTTTGGGAAAGCTCGGAGGTCAGCCATCAGCGCATTATCTACTTATGTTATCAGTATTCTGAGCTGGCGGTTTAGACCCACGTTGGGCAGATCCAATAAAGTCTCGAGTAAGGCAAACCAACCAAGCAAAGGCAGTTAACGAGGTTATCAATGCACTTAAACCGTCTCAAGATAGCGCTGGCCAGCCACCTCCCCTTAGAGTCATGAACGGTATGAGCACTACTACTACTTCGTCTACCATAACCACCGCTGCCCGTGAAAATGTCCACTTTTCACCCACGGATGGCCTGCCGGGGCGCCCAGGGAATTCTACCATAAAATGGGGCGGAGGGCTCAGGGCTCATCCAGAAGTCGGCGAATACGATGATGACCTGAGCCTTACCCTTCCTGGCCCTTCACCAAGACCAATTACACCATCGTTGACTACATTGGAGAAGGCGGTGTCCGCTCGGATCTACTTTGAGAACCTTTACTTTCCCCTTCTTCGGCAGCCACCTTCGCGAGAACAGCGAAGAATTGCCATGGAAAAGGATATGGTTATCATGCACTTTAGTGAAGATCAGAAAGAAGCCTTACGTGCTCAGTGGCGCCAAAACGAAACAGAATATCTTCGCGAACGCCGAAGCAAAGTCGATGCTACAGCGTTCATCAAACTAAAAACCATAGGCCATGGTTGGTGTTCCTTATGTTCCTGAAAGAGCATTCTCACAGAAAATGCTATCGATCAGGTGCGTTTGGGGTCGTGTCCCTGGTTAAAGAGCGAGTCACGGGACAATTGTTTGCTATGAAACAGGTTCTTGTCCATTTTAATCTACCCATATGGTACTATCGTGATATTAATTATTCATTTCACCAGCTAAGGAAGAGTGATATGCTTCGCAAAGGGCAAGAAGGCCACGTCCGTGCAGAACGTGATATCTTGAAATCTGCCTCGCTCGTCGCTTCGCCCGGTGGCGCGGAGTGGATCGTGAAGCTGCACTACAGTTTTCAGGACCGCGATAATTTGTACTTGGTCAGTAGCTCTATCCCCGATATCCGCCATCTTCCCAAGAATCAGACGAGCACATGAGTCACTGATTTCATTTCGATTTCATATCTCGACACATAATAATAGGTATTGGAATTTATGGGCGGTGGGGATCTCCTGAATCTTTTGATCGAGAGAGACATTTTTGAGGAAGACTTTGCTCGTTTCTATGTCGCTGAGGTTGGCATCTTCTTTTTCTCATACTACACTTTGTTGAACGGCAGGCACATTTACCCCAGATGATTTTAGCTATCGAAACTTGTCATAAACATGGTTTCATTCATCGTGACATTAAACCTGATGTGAGTCTCGAAAAAAATTCTGAGATTAAGGTCCGCTTTGGATTGATAACATAGTTATCCGTGCGTTTCTCAGAACTTCCTGTTTGACCCGCAAGGACACATTCGTCTAAGTGACTTTGGACTTGCGTGAGTAGCTTGAACATTAGCGGAGCTGACTCACTTCGCCGTCCCCATTTTTATATGTACTAAATATGTAACCGACTCCACAGGACTGACTTGCACTGGGCCCATGATACTTCCTGTCAGTGCGGAACAGCCTGAGTATACGGAACATAAAACTGATTCGGAGGCCGCAGATTACGAACAGCAGCGGCGTCAGTTGTTGCACAAGCATGGGATAGACCTTGAGGACAGCAACGGCATCAGCGATGGAACCAGAACCAAACGAATGGACCGCAAGGATGTCGAATTACTGATGGGCGACGGCAACGGCCAAAGTGGTATATTCACTTGGCGGGAAAAAAATCGCAGGAAGGTATGATCGGCTACCAATTAAAATTTATATTTCCGCCTTGTGCCTCACCCTGTCTATGTAGCTAGCATACTCTGTGTAAGCAATAACCTCGCAGGCTACGGCGTGATTCTAAACATCCTTCTTCGGATCCACAGCTGCGGGACAAATTCTTACAGTATGTGGTCACCTTTGTCTATGTTATTACTCCATGTTGCCATGCTTACGCTTTCATAGTGTCGCCAGAAGTCATCAGAGGTCACGGCTACTCGTTTTCCTGTGACTGGTGGAGCTTAGGCGTTATCATGTTTGAATGCCTGTATGGGTAAGCTTCGGGGCTTCGTATATCCGGCATAACGCGTGTTAAGGAATGTAATACCCAGATATCCCCCATTCGTTAGCAACTCCGTAAGCACACAAATTTTAGAACCCACTTTTCGCACCCCAGTTCATCTGTGGCTGACTGCGGGGGGCAGAGGCACGTCACCCGTCAGAAGATTCTGAACTGGAAGCAATCCCTCAAGTTCCCCTCTCGCCCTCGTGTCTCGGGTGAGGGGGTGAATCTGATGCAGCAGCTCCTTTGCGAGCCTGAGGATCGCCTTGGAAGTCAGGCTCCAGCATCCGTATCGCGCCCAGATTCCCTCGCCGTTCACGCACGACGCAGCGGCTTCATCTTGCCCGGGACTACGGTCGGCAGTGTTGATGGTGGAGATGCAATCAAGGTCTGTGTCACTGGAGCTTGCGTTCGCAGTCGCTGACGTCTAGACTTGAAGGCGCATCCCTGGTTCCAGGGAATAGATTGGGAAAATATACACCGCTACCCCTGCGCCATATCGCCCGGATTTGCAGAGTCCAGAAGATACACGACACTTTGACTCCGACATTCCACCGGTGGTGAGTGTTCCAAGGCATTTCGTCATACCAGGTGTTTCAATTTGTGCCTAGCCATTGGTTCCTGCACACGGAGCGCCAGCAGATGCGGCGAAAGACCCCCTACTCAGGGACAGGGTCCACGGGGAAGAGATTCTGAACGTCCGCAAGGCCCTCGCATTTGCGGGGTTCACGCACAAAAGCCCTCGAGCGATCAGTTACGCTCGTGCTGATCGTGCATTTGATGCACAAGCGGATATTCCCGAACCAGAACGGGGCGAACGAGGTCGTCCAACGGTTTCGCAGCGGACACGAGGCTGGCACAGGCCGGGCTATATCCCTTTAGTGTGATGCATGTCCAGGGACCCTGAGAGCTGAGAGAGGGGTGGCTGTGTGGCTGAGATGGTACCGCAACTTCGCCATGCGGCATCGTCGAGGATATGACGACAGTCTACGGACATGACGTGAAGACATGCATTTACTCCATAATGTGATTATTCACTGTACTTGATTGCCAGGATCTGCGGACATGACTCTAACATGCACTCATTTTACGATGCCACTATCACTATACTTGATGCCTATGCTATACCCTTGTTTCCTTGCTGTCCGCCGCCGCCGCCACCAGATCTGCTGCTTGCCGTTAACGGGTGGGGCAAGTCAATCATGTACTGCCACGAGTTGAACTCTCGAAGTAAATACATTATAAATGCCGGAAACCACTATTAATTAAAAGGGACTGGATACACCAGAGTATACTAGTAACAATGACTGTATGGAATAAATATGTTGGGTGACGAGTATAGTGCTCATCAGCGAGTGCATGCGATAAATGGAATAAATAAATGCTCATGAATTGCTATAAATATTTGCCACTCATCATGAACGACTGATGCAATGTCCGGTGAAAAATGCAACGAAGATCATGAGGCCCAAATAGGAGTGATTGCATCTGCCAGTATGCATCCGTGAGGACAACGCGTGTCGCTCTAACGCCCGGAACGTGAATGTGCGTCGTTTGACTCGTCGCTGTCCTCGTGATAGCGCCCTGAGGCACGGCATGCACGCGAGCATGCCGACGCATGTTGCTGAGCACGCTGAAAACTACGACCACAACCCCCTCAAAAGTACACGTACAGGCTATATGGGCAATTAGTTACATGATGATGAGAAAACGCTTTGAACGGGTACTCACGCTTTTCGCCTGGTGTGACTGTTCAGGTGGATCTTTGGTTGGCGGCTTCATTAGCCCAGGATATGCAGGTTATTGAAGTACACACCTGTAAACTACTGGGACGATTGAAACCCTTTCCGCAGTAGTCGCACTCGTATTTGAGTGATGAAGGCCCAGCATTGGTATGAGGACTGGAGTCCTCTAAACCTAGATGTGGTACTCTTGCGATTCTCTACGGTAATGCTGACTCGTACATCTGGGTAGCGTGGCATATAAGACGTTGATCCAGGGGGCTCCATCATGGATTGCCCAGAATACTGCTGCCCTTGAATAATCCAGATATGAGCTTGGCCCTGGGTGGCTGGTATAATCATAGGCTGGTCGTCCCTGGCCACTGTTAGAGGACGACCGAGAGAATTGGTTTTGTGGATGCTGAGATGATACAATGAATGCGGTGGATGCTCATGAGATGGATGAAGGTGCGTTGGGTGCGTTTCGTGTCGTGAACTACGGAAGAAATAGGGTGGTATGGTGTTGAAGGGTTTCTCTGGGAAAGTGATGATTATCAAGGTTTGATCTAGTCATTAGACGACAATGACGACTAACCTGTAAGCCTGGCCCTGATAGGGGCAATCTGACTGGCCCATATGGGGTGCAGAGTATGGGTCGTGACCTGCATTGGGACCCGCCCAGGAAGGAGGTATTACGGAAGGTCTTGGGGTACGAGATAATTCTGAAGGCTAAAGGTAAATAAAAGGTGCGGATTGTGTGGAGCTAGAGAAGTTTGACTAACCTGGGAAAAGTTCACGAACAGAAGGGAGGGTTGGCCGAGCCGCTTCTCGATGGGCATCACGCTCCGGGAATGAGCGGTTAGACATTTTATGGTATGGGATACAAGGGGGAAAGTATACGAGAGAACGAGTTGAGTTACAGTGGATGTCGGGGAATCTTATATTGTCGGATCGTCTCTAAACCACGGTAACGGTAGGATACCGTTGCAACGCCGATCGTGATGCGGCGGCTTCGGAAGAGGCTGGAAAGTACTTGCATGAAGAAACGGTGACCGGGTCGAATGACCATTATGCAGGACAGCACCTCGAGGGCAAACCTGACATCCAACGACATGGTTACCACTCGTTACCATATTTTAAGGTAGGCAACCGTGGTGATTGTCGCTTTAGAGCTGCTGCGCACTCATTCACAACACATTTGTGGGAGTCTCATGGACTCAAAAGAGCCGTTGGACGGTGCCAGGGTTGAGATAGAGCAACCGCAAATGTCACACACTAAGGGGCGCGAATGCCCGCGCATCATCCACGGGGGATGTGCTGTTAGTATATCTTGAATATATATGTACCGTCACTTGCCGCATCTCAGATCAACTACAACGGATCATTCTATTGGGCCCACCCGTGTCCTCTCTAAACACACCCCCTGCTGCTGAATGCCAACGATTGAATCCTCGTCGGTAACATCTCGGTAACGTTGGGATCTCAAAATGGCTACAAATCGTCAACTGCAATTTCAATATCTTTGCATCGGCGGACAGTGTGCCGCAACCAGTCTGGGCCGGGCATCCCTGAACATGATTCGCATCTCACTATGAAGCTCGCACGTTATTTATGAGCAGCCGTCGCTAATGTCGACAGTCTGGGTCAGGCAGCTTACCACAATTCGCCTCGCTCCTCCACATACACGATCAGTCGAATAACGTTTATGTTTATTCTCTCCCCTGTCACTTTTCGGCTTGGTATCTCTGCGCTTCCTCCGAAGTCTTTGTGTTTAGCGATAGTGCGTGCAACCCTTGAGAAAATTCTTCAGACAGGGCAGAGTATATCAGGCGATGGCGTTGCAACCGTGTTCTGTGAAGGAAATAAAGCAGATACACCCGAGATTGGATAGCACACGCACCTTGCCTTTGAAAGCATCTGAGATTACCTGCACGGCAAAATCTGCGCCCGGGTCGTCAATGGAACAGCGTCTTTGGGATAGTGGAGGATACTTACGTGTTTCTCTCCATTCCCGCCACCTTGAGAGCGCATTGCGGCGTGATGTCTATGCAACTGCGATTCGTTGGTAATGATTAGTTTAGTCGGTTGAAGCAAGGTCCACGAGCTGTGAATGATTGCTCAGGAGTCGAATCGACTTCCGCTGCTAGTTTGCTGCCTTACCTTTTCTCGCATGGCGATTTCCACCGGACCTAGAAGATGCCAATATTGTGTCTGACGCCATGGCACGAGAGAGATTCAAGCGCTGCCGCAGAGCAATGCGAAGGCTGCGTGTTACCCAGAGCATAAACCTGCTGGCTACCATGCTGAGATTGCAATCAGAGCTGCGCTGATGCTAACGGGCACTTACCACCAGACTCGGAGCAAGCCTTGGCAAAGAGGCAGAACGATAAAAATGCGCAGTGTTCAAATTGGCAATTGTTGGTCCTTGTTGGTCAGCAAGCTAGTCCGTGAATGTGTGAAATGTCACGGCTCCGCCACTTGACTTATCCCGCATCCGTGGTAGTATAAGGCTATAAGCACGCCAGACCAGTCGCGAGCCTACCCTACAAACACGTACAGCCAAAGTGATTGAACCCTCACGATGATCTGAGGCCCATTCCTGGTCATCACGAAATCGCGTTGGCCATCAAGCGCCATTGCTAATTGCTACTCTTTCGCATAATGGCGAACACGTACACTGCGGTACACACGGTCAGTCAGCATTTAGTTAGCATAACTGTTCAACGATATACTATTATCACAGCCATTGAACAGCTGGCCGCATCAGGGAACCGATGAGTCGAAGTGACGACCAGATTCCCCATTAGCTTCCTCAGGAAAGACATCATACCTTATGGATAGGTACGTATGTATTAATACTACGCAAGCTAATGGCGACCGGTCCCTAAAGATGATCGAACCCGACTCGAACAGTGATGGTGATCAAGAAACAGGGACAGTCGCATCCGACAAGCCACCGATGCATCAAGTCTAGCAGAACTGACAGTGCATGTCATGAAGTTTCTTAAGACGTGATTGGACATGCATGAACCGCCGCATTCGTTTGGACTATATCATTTGATAGGGACCAGGGCGTCCTTGCGACAGAAATGATACGGTATTCATCTTGCCACGTAGCGTTCGTTTCGAAGGCTGTGACTCTGCCTTACATAGCGCTGACGCAATCCATCATGATAGCCCGCTGTGGACATAATCTTGTGCTGTCTGTTCCGTTCCCGTCGTCCAACATCATTAGTAGGAGGAGGGCTCTGTCGAAGACAAAAATTCCCGTTACCGAAAAGATGTACAAAGTTATGCTAATTTTTCCACAGCTTGATGAGTCGGATTTCACCGACTGATACGCGCTCACATCGTCGGCTGAAAAAATTGAAGCACTGGACTCTTTGTTGTGGTGAGGGTGTCGGCTGGCCGAGGAACGAGGCCGAGCTCAGCGTTGGGGTATGCCAATTGGGATGAAGATAACGTACGGTAGTCTGGATGGTGCATGAATCGGATCGCAAGTAACTGGCTCGTATCTTGAACAAAACGACGAGAAAAACAATTGAACACGGTGTCGGGGAGTTGGGGTGCAAGCGCCATTACGATTGTTTAATGTCCCTTGAAATTGGAAAGTCACGTTATCGGCTATATGTCATTCATCATGATGTCAAACGTATTCACTTCACTACGAACGAATATCTCGCTCAGTGATCCACCTCGCCATGTTTGTCACGCTCCTCCTCGCATCAAGACCCTCAAGAATGTGAGATGACACGCAATCAACGTGGTCTAGTCGAAACATGCTTCGAGGAGGGTCAATACGAATCTGGCATCGCAGTGTTCGAAACAGCTAAGGTCCGAAAACTTTAAGCCACCCGTGTAAGGTTCGTCTGGGTTCTCTTTTCTCGAGGAGCATTGAAAGTAGTTCTTAGGTCTCTTGTACGTCAGCTCTTCTATATCGCATTGTACCCCCCGCCGCCATCCCTTGATCATGTGGAAGAGCGCGATCTCAATCCCGCTTCGCCATCAAAAGGCTCCCCTGCAAAACAAAAGCATCAGGCACCAAAAATGACCTTTGCTCCTTCAGTCAATGCATCAGAAGCCGCGCAACGCTTGTTATTATCCTTCGTTAGAACAAACACACCTACATCTCTTTTCCAGGCTTTGCCACGACCGCGCAGGAGGCAACGAATTGCCATTCGAAGGTGATGATCATGACTCTGTTGTAGCAAAGGAAGTCCCTGTGCATTAAGGACGCGAAGCACTGCTGGGTAATACTCAAGGAGGGTTTCGTACCGCGAATTAAAAACCCTCAGCCGTCCCTACTATCAGGGAAGAAGAAACGCGGAAAACTCATCACTGACACTGAAGAGTATGTAGAGGAGAATCGCAGCAATTCAGTTCTCGCTCCTGTTGCAGAGTACGCCTGGCTAGTCTTGCAGTGGCTGGTTGAGCTTTTTCAGCGGGACGAATCTTTGGCATCTGGAGATGGTTCAGGTTGGAGGCCATCCCTTCGTTGTAACCATTTGACTAAGATAATGTGCAGTGAAGCATTCGCCATTATTGTTGTTGCAGATTCCCCCGCCGAGAAGCAGCACTGGTCTTCGATGGGAAGCTGATGCACCCCTAGACAATCGTGTTCTATTGTGTTTCGCAAAGGTCAACCGCAGAGACGACAACTGGGTTTTGATCTGATGGCTTTGGTGAATTATGCTGTTCTTATTACAAGCTATTCACCTGACATTCTCTGTAGCTCATCGGCATTTGTCTAACGGCAGAATTCGACTTCAACATGTTTCTGGAGCAAGTCACCTCACGACTACACTCAGCCTCCCCGGAGATCATCCAGACTTTCACGTCTGGCTTTCGTCTGTCGCATTCAGCGCAACTGTTCAAAACTGGCGCTCTGCCGCAAATTCCTTTCTGATGAATCGGGTGGGAGAAACCCATCCAGCCGTCGCCCCAAGCCACAAGCGCGAGCTGTGAGAGCGGCGCGAGGCATTGCCCCTGTGAGAGAGGAGAACCTGTCGTCCTCCAGTGCAAATGACTCGTCGGCCATCCTTTTCTGCGAGTAAAATTTCTACGCCTTCCACTGGCGACATCGTCCACCTTCTTACAGGGTCTAACGGACGTACTTCTCCTGCAATTCTAACTGTGAAGAAGGAGTTTCTGATTTCGTACGCCTACCTGCAGGCAGATCGCGGAACAACGGGACGTGGAATGGCAGCAAATAACAACAGATGGGCGTCTCGAAGACCAAGTCAATTCGGTGTTCGGTGGGGAGAGTTATGCTCAGCAAGACAGGGATGCCCTAATTAGTCTTGTGAGAGTCTGGGCCATGAATTAATGCGAGTAAGGCATAATTGATTTAAGGCAATGTCTTGTGGGATTTCCTCCACGGAGCGTGTTATTCGTTGAGTTCCTCCTGCTGCATGACGATGTGAAATTACTCACCCAAGCCAGTAACAAGATTATTCACACTCCCCATGGCAATAGTCAGTGCTAGGTATGCGTCCATATTCTAGAAAGTCAACATACCCTGCGGTCGGCGGCCTCAGACTGATGAGACGGATGCAATACTCTTGGTTTCTGTTCTAATCTTGAGAAGCTTACATACAGTCCTCTGTCAAACAATTTTCTCATGGGCTATCATTTACCTGCACTTGAAGGTTTGACTTACTTTGGAATCATTAAATGGGGTTGGGATCTGCGCAACCAAATTTCTGCTTGGGTATTATGTAGATCTTAGGCAATGAGTACTTACGACCCATGGACGTGGAACATAGTAACGTATTCATGCGAGGTATTTCGACGCGTTCTGACAACATTAAGATAAAGCGTAAGCGTATTGTATGCGAGGTATCTGTACTGAGTATTGCGTGAATGACATGATAACCTGAAAGGGTGTGGCTATGTAGTTAACGAGTATATCAGTACTAGACGTGAAGTTTCACGCGACGTCGAAGTTCCGATCCGAAGATTGGGTCATAGCCTGAGTTCAAGAGATAGTATGAAAAGTCCGACGATGCCAGTCCAGTGGACACCCAAATTCTAGACCTACTTCCAAGAGATCTCCACGTTATGAGGTGGCAAATTGGGGAGATAGGGATAATATCAATGTAGCGGAGGAACCATTCGCGCAGGGCAGGAACAGCCAGTACGTAAGACGTCAATACGCGCACTATCACCGCGAGTAGACACGGGTGCATTCAGATTTGCGCGATGTCGAAAGTTGTGTTCCGAATCAGAAAAACGGTTGGACCAAATGCGAATACATTGTCCCTGCAAAGGGTCGCAAACCGACCGTGACAGCTGTGGTAGTCACGGATTGCAAGGGATGTCAGCAGTCAAGGTTTGCGAATACCCAGAGGAGGCTCATTAACGCGGAGATAGTGGGGTAATCCCTTCCGAATCAGGTTAGCCAATATTTGGGGCTAGGGAGGTGAAAGTTCTTTGGGCGTAAGGTTCTGACAATGTAGTGGACGTACATGCAGGGACAGTGATTAAACAAAGCGGGTGTGCCAGATCTTCGACAAAACTCTGAGTCACACTTATCATTGATAGCAGACAGAAATATTGTGAGCAACAATATCTCCTAGCGATCGCACCTCAATGTTTTCTTGTAAGCGCGACATGCGTGCTAGCCGGTCCACATTATGGTCGCCGATACCTCTCAGGTTTAGGTATTGACGTACGTGTACTACGGAGTGAAATATGAAGAACATCGAGGAAGAGGAGAATTCACCAGCCGTGGCAACACAAAACATGGTAGTCCGGACATGAACAGACTAGCCACTCAAGTATCAAGCGGCTAGAATGGGCTTTATTAGTACAATTCGCCTTTGCTCTTCTTGGGGGGAAGAAGCTTTAATTCAGAGGGGAGCGTCAATTTGTTTCCATGAGGACGGAGCGTAAGTCATCATTAGATACTGACATGCTGGAGTCAGTACCAGCGGATTAAAATGAGATGTAGATGCGACTAAGTGGTGCACGTCAAAACCTCCAAGTGGTCCTCTGGTATGGCTTCGCTGCTGCAAACGCATACCACATATAGGGACGTGACAAGGACCTGTCAATATTTCAATGGTTGTTGAGTAGATTGATTATCACCTACGTAAACGTTAGTAAACTTTGTCAAATGCCTGGCCCAGGGCCTTACGAGACACGGAATGCCGCTTGCATACAAAGTTCACAATGTTCAAGGTTGCAACGTTCAACTTTGGAGTAGGGATAACCAATGGAGAACCACTTGAGAAACCTGCTAGAAATACTCGTGCGACACATATAGCTATAGTCCTCCGGTCGACCGGTCAGATCTCAGACTCAATCCAAATCGTCGGTTGTGTTGGGCGATCTATCTTATTACGACACATCACACAAACTAAATACAAGCATATTTCACCAACAAATACGCCCGAAACTCTGGGAAATTTGGTAACAAATTGTTGTTTCAAGCACTGCAGGATGTAGCATGTTGACGGGCGAGCCACCTTTCGACTGAATTGCGTGTTGGAAATGGTCAGCGAATAGTATATTGAGAATAAGTAATTAGAAGCATATGCTGGCATAGTGTCAAGGTTTAAATTCTTTCTCCTGGATTCTGATTTATATTTTATTGTTCCAATGACGGAACTGTATTACTGTATGCTGTCTGGGATTTGCTCCGTGTTTACCCTATCGTATGATTTATGTGCATGAACGTATGTAAAGCTGATGCGTAGTGCGAAGTCTCTGCAAACGGGAATACCCAAAAGCCTGGCCAAAATGAAAGTTAACCTAAACCCTTAGGTTTGGAGTCAACCATCCGACTCCTCTGTTCCTCCGGCGACCTCCTCTGGCTCTACATCGACTAAATCACCATCATCGACGTCCCCCCGCAGTAGGCCTGGATTTCCCCTGTTGGTCATTTCCATATCTGAGCCAGAAAATCTGTAGTACTGGCTTGCTCCGGTAATTTATCTTCTCGGGTCTTAATAAATCGCGGAAACCTTAGACTAAGGCCTCTCGATGAGGAGCCGAGGCCCAATGCTGCTAGAGATACGGGGCTCAAAGTGACACTGAAAAAATAGGGTGAGTAAATATCCGTCTGTAATACTGACGGCTTGTAGCAGACTTACTCTGCCCCTCGTATCTCCCACACCTCATGGGGCCTGAAGTAAACTTCGGGCCTGAAGCCTGGAAAAACAATCAGCCAAGAACCTTAGTGCTCAAAAATAATGTCGGCACCTCCTGTATTAGTTTCCCAGAGGGGTTGCCTCGAGCATTATCGGACCCCTCTGAATAATGCGCAACCATCTCCTGATACGAAAGGTGCGATAAGTAAGTAGCCTGTGAAGACGTGCTGTACGACAAACTTTGTAAAATGAGTCAGAAAATCCTGCGGCAAATGATAGTTCAACATATCATTATGAATTACAATGTATATCACTTACCGGACATACACTTGCAAACGGCAACGAGGCAGTCATTCCTGGGATCTCGAATAGCAAGCAAAACTGGACTCCACCACCCTGCTTTCCTTCCGTTCCCATGCCACGCTCCAATAGGAACCATATCGAGGGTATCCCCGAGGCCAACAACGTAGTCCTTTTTCAGCTTCAACCAAGCAGATGTTCGTTTATCTGTCCAAATTCACTAAAAGCACAGCATAAAGGAACGGCTCAATACACACCAGGTTCGTACGTCGCGGGTAAAGGTTTCCGCTTTCCGTTTCCTTTCTGCGCTCCGTCTTCTTGCATAGCGTCACTACTTAACAGCTAGGTAAGCATTAGTAATGCTGACCAGCCAATCAGAGTTCAAACATCGTCTCACCTTGATCATGAGACCCTCGGTGCGGCTCTCTATAGCTTTCTGCCAAAAACTCCTCAATAGCGTCTTTGCCAGCCTCGCTCTCACAGCTTTCAACGTGGTCAAGACGACCTGCTCCCTTGTCACTTGTTGAGAAAGGTGGAAAGCGAGACTTCAGCAGAGAGCGCCTCTCTCGAAAGGGCTGTGCAAGCAAGACCTGCCGAGGGACGTAAATAACCATCGGATGACATTGTCGGCACACAATCAGGCGCACGTACCTCACCATCTAGATACATTAGATCGAAGGCATACACGCAAACAGAAACTTTAATATCGTTCATTTCCACGTCCTTCCTTGCCCTGTTCGAGAGCTCTTGGAATGACTTCAGGCCGCCGTCGGATGGATCTATAGCAACAATCTCAGAGTCGATAATAAAAGATTGCAGCTGCGGCTGCTTTTTGAAAATGGATTTAACAAGATGAACGATGTCGGGATACTAGTTTTTGCCGATAAGATAGGAGCTCCCGTGTCTACGAAAGTGTACAGCTCACTTTGGTGGTCATATCTTCTAGATGACGGGAGAAAATTCGAATGGAAGGATTGTCGTTATTCACTCCTCGTACCCCATGAATCTGAGCGCGTTGACCATCATACTTGAATTCTGCCACAAAGGGGAGATCCCCCAAACGGTCGTATATTTCATCCAATGATCGAGTGGGAGACCCAGAGTCGGATGCAAGGGAATTCCTATCAATGATTTATCAGGTTGTTCATGGGGTAGGGGAGCGAAACGCGCACCGACGGTCAAAGGGACATGTAGGTCAAGATTATCCAATCCGCCGTTGAAGAGACCAGCTACGATGTGTTCATAATTCGGATGTTGAACGAACACTTTTTTAACCAACGCTTCAGCCCGGATGAATTTTTCGTGAAGTTTTTCGCGGGCAGCATCAGGAACTTTCTTCCCTTCAGCTGCGAGGGGTTGAACCAAGGAGATTAATTTCGAGGTAGCATGGTATGGCGAATGATCGTGATCAAGACCTCCCAGACTAGTTTGCGATGTCAAAACCAACGCTCTTGCCAGTGCAGTCAGGATGGAGGTCCTGACTGCTCCGACGCGTAGATTCTGCGATAAGGTACGGACAAGGTAACGCGACTCTTCTCCTTTAGCTGCTACAAGGAGTTTCTCGACGATGGCTTGCTTCTGTTTGGCTGCGCCTTGTCCCTTAGAGTTGGCAATTTTCAATAAGCATTCGTACACAGCCACGATGATTAGTGGAGAATGAGGCACCAAGGTGCGAACATTTGACTTTGCTTCAAATGCAACATCACCAGGGTCGCCGAATGAATTGTAGAGTCGCCTAAGCGCAGAGGAGGTCAGGCCGGAGATATGTTGAATTGCCTTGGATATAACCGAGGAGCCAATGCCCAGCTCGACCGGAGAGTACGGAGGAGACAAGCAATTAGAAAGGAGATATAGCGATGGCAGTAGGGATGGCCTATGCCAATTGAGTAAAGTCCTTAGCGTGTTGGTAAGAGTGTTGAGAATGATTGTCCTGGATCGTGTTCCTGATAGCGTGACGAGGGCATGAACGAGGAATGAATATGGCGCCGGCTCATTGGCTGGCCAAGGACTTTCCTGGATATCATAGACAAAAGGGGTCGATTCCTAGTGGCTGATAATTTGGCAAGGCAGCGATATCATTTTTCATGGGAAGGCGCCTTGAAGGCGTCTTAGAACTACTAGGTCGGACAACCCCTGATGAGCCACCAACATCGCCTACTTGTGGAGCTGCGGCAGGAAGACCATTGTCAGATCTACAATCTCTGAACGTAGGTTCAGAATCCGAAGTCAGGTCAATGATATCTGGTGTAGCAATCTTCTTTGCGTTCAGTTGTTTCGGTACTGGTCCTGTGACATTATTCGCTCCCTTCTCTGCCCCAGAATTGGCCGGAGGAGTAAGCCTTGGAGAAGACCCAAAAAAAGTCTTCAATGATGACTGATCTGAGGCGAATTTTACTCGCTTAGGCTGAGACGTTGATGGCGATGCTTGGGCGCGTTTAGACATTGCGGCTGTAGCTTGAATGCTTTGACATTCGATTGACATCCGACAAGCAATTTCCGACATATTTGTTCAAATGTGATTACTGTTATGTACCCTTATGTACCAAGTATTCCCACCTCGTGCTCCTGTCAAATTTCAATCCTCCCTGCATTCTGTGATGGGCGGCAGGTCTTCCTGCATCGCCTACCCATGTCATTAAACGCGATCATCGGTCTTTCTTTCTGAGCAGTAATAAGGACAGTTTACATCTTTCAAATGTTTTATCAGATATTAAGCATGTCAACAATAAATGTCAAGAGGTACGTACAAACATTTTAGGGTCAAAACAATCAATGATGCCCACATAGTTGACCCTGCACAGTCCGACCTCTTCGCGCCACCATGTCGCCATCCGTGCGTTAAATTCGGAGGGTCTTTGTGGTTGGGAGATGAAAGACCATATTGGCAAATTATTACATCTGCTTTCAAACGGGTGCCTGGATATTATCTCTCTTAACACAGACAAACCTGCAGGTGAGAGTCTCAAGACGATGTTCATTGTGCAAATATAGTGCTATGAAACTTAGAATGTTGGGTCCGTGAACACGCGGAGTTGAAAACCCAAGCTTCCGGGTCTTGCACTTATCTTGAATTCATGGCATTGATTCATTGAAGCCTCGAGAGTACGGAGCATTAAAATCACGTGAATGAAAGTCACCTCGCACAACACGGTCCGATCACTTAGGAGCTGGGAACATCGTCGAGATTAGAACAGGGCTATGCTATGACATTCCTTAACATCTGATGAATAGTACTCAAATCAGCGAATCCGAAAACGCGGTGCATTGACCAGACCAGTCTGGGCGGGAGCAGACCCGGATCTCTCATGAGTCGCCGGTTTCGATGAGCAAATAAGGTTGAGGTCATTCAGGAGGTCCTTGAATTGCTGCTATTACAACCCTGGCTGTGGGTGACCCCACAGCTCCATGGATCAGACAGCGTACCTGATTAAATCCTGCAGATTCTGCAACAGAAATTCTTCGCAAATGAAGCTTGGAAAAACCGGGTGATTCTAAGTTTGGTTAGACAGGGATCATTCAGACTCATCTCTAGAGGGTCTGGTTGCTAGCCTGAGAGCCATTTCAGGACAGTAACCTTACCGTCAGGCACGTAAAGAGCGTCAATCTTGTTTGGACAGACGTAGCAAGATCTGTGAGGACCACAATTACGCCGTTAGATCTCTGTCACCGACGGAGACGCGGCTATGTTACCGTACACTCACAAATTTGGGCGGCTCCGAAAATGCATATGAACCCTGTGCTTGTCTTGACATTTACCCCACATCGAATCCTGCTCAGTCAAGCCACGAACATCATGAGTGACCGCCACAACTACCCATTCCACCACAATCAGCCACCACGTCACCCTAATCAGCCGCCGCGGGGCAGCCAATGGCTACCCAACAGGTCAGCAGCAGCAGGTCCCTCACCAATCATCTTCCTATCAACAAGTTCAGCGTGGTTTCCCGGCGGCCCCGAGCAACTATATGTCCACGCACCCTGCTTCATCTTCACCATATGCAATGCCTACCATGCCACCATCAAGCACGCACTACACAACAAACAATCGTGCCGCTGCACCATCACAGCCCTACCCCCCAAATGTTGCTGTCAGTCCATACAATCAACAACAACAGCAACAACAACAGATGTATCCACCACAAGAGTACCCCATGCGCCAGCCGGCTCATTCGCCGAATCAGATGTACTCTCCAGCGGGACCTTCGCGCAGCCATACAACACCGAACGTCACGCAGCCATACGTCATTGATGGGCAAATAGCACCAACAGCGCAATACCCAACATCCCCTGCAGTGCAATACCCAGCATCCCCTACACGACCATTCTCCTGCGACATGTGTGCCCTGTCGTTTAATCGGCAACATGATTTGAAGCGACACAGAGACACACACTCGGGAGAGAAACCGTTTTTGTGCAACGGAGGCTGTGGAAAGACATTCACAAGGAAAGATGCACTGAAAAGGCACCAGGTACCATTGAATTTGTCCCCCTGGAAGATCATGATCTCATTCATTTGATCAGCTTGTGAAGCATTGTGGATATGACGAAGATGCAAATTGAAATGGCGTTGTTTTGGCCTCTATGTTAGTAACTTGCTTTGTGCCGTGTTGCAAAGCTAACTTGATAATATAGAATCATCAATCGCTCGATTGCAATTTACTCCACATACTAATATCATATTGGACATTGATGCTGGAAATTTGTACCAGAAGGAATGATTGGCATAGTGAAACTGCAATGTAACACGTTAACATATTTATGTGTTTGTTAAATGAAAGTTACCGTTTACAGCATGGTCAGATATCGTAGCAGCGGTTGCAATTTCACAATTAAGGCTTCTCCTGGTCCTGTTTAGGGAAACGCACGGGTACGGGTAACACCGCGGTTCTATGCTGACGGGTTTGGAGGGGTACGGGTACGGAGTAGGATAGTCGTACCCTTGAGCATACCGTGGCCATTCACCGCGGGTTGACGGTGTTTGGGCGGGTATAATATACCAAATCGGGAACCAGGCGCGCGACAGCCATTGAACACCGTGTTTGATTCTCTGTTTTTCCTTCCTCTGAGAGCTTGAGGATCACAAGTGAATGCTATACTGATTTCTGTCATGTCTTTTGTACCCCCGTGAATCATTCTAGCAATTTATTGAGCTGACACTACGTTGCAGAGAAGCTCGAGTCACTACCATAAAGCCAAGGCAAAAACTCGAGACCAGTAAGTCCACTGAGTCGTCTCCCCATGAAAACTAAGCTCACAAAGAAGGCATCTGATGCTTCGTCTACCCAGTCACACTCATCATCTAAGTCTATCTCGTCGTCCATCTCCGAGAAGGCCAGGTCACTCAAAAAGGCTGTTGCAAAGGGTGCTAAGGCTCTGGCCCGCCCCTTGAAGAAGGTCAAGCAGTCATTTGTGTCTCGGTCTTCTCGATCGAGCCCCACAGACACCGTTGATCTTACGCGATCAAGTACTGATTCACTTGCCACTGACGATAACAAATCAACGGCAGGTGCATTCGAGCTTGATCCCGATCCTTCTGCAGATCTTGGTATGTTTCTTTCCATTGATTTTTGCAAATATCTGATTATACAATGATACAGAGGCTCTCAAGAAGACTTGGCGGTCACCTATCTATAGTTTCTTTTCATCCGAAGTTGTGGTCCAACACCACAATGGCCGCTTGTGTCATTTTACTCGCAACCGACTCGCACCATCAACAATTCGTGCCTTTCTCTGCCTCGGAGCGTGGGGCAGAAGTGATCTTCTGGTGATGGAGGACCTTTTAGCCGCTGTCAGGACTCAAAAACGGAAGCGAAATGAAGTCGAAGCAGAGGAGAATGACAAGGAAAAGTAGTACTATTTTATTTCATTTTTGTTAATACTTAATACACTCTTCTTGGTAATGTACCCGCGGTGTTCAGAGACACCGCGGTGTTTTCCATAAACCGCGACATTGACGGGTCGGTGTGTACCCGTACCCGTGAAGGGTACGGTGTTGGCGGGTGAGGGTGCGGTGTCAACTTTCCGACCCTCGGTGTTACCCGTGCGGTACCCTAGTCCTGTTTGTCCTCAGATTCAATGATCCTCTCTAATATCCACGCATCGCGTGGCATAATCTTCTTGTAGTAGTCCTCTTTGATGCCCACTTCTTTGAAGCCGTGTCTCTCATAGAACCTCTTGGCGTCAGTGTTCGAAACTTGCACGTGAAGGTATATACGTCTGATTTTGGGTTTGGAGTGAGAGGCAGCAGCCTTAATAACGCGTTTCAGGGCCTGAGAGCCAAGCTGTTTGGAGCGATATGGCTGGAAGGGTCTGCACATTTGCCACGACTGACAGCGGGATAACTTACTGCCAGGACGCCCATAGTCATGAGATACAGATCTTTGTTCTCTAATCTGCAGCAGATGTTGCCCACAGGGACATCGTTATAATAGACTTAAAGAAGTTAGGCTAGTCTGTAAACGCTTGCAAGAATAAGACGGACTGAGTTGGCAGAAGTCTTCGACCTCGGGAGCTATGATATCCTGGTAGAACTTGTCGCTGTACTTGATGGGAAACAAGACCGAATTGAGTTTCTTGACTGTCCCAAGGTTTCTATGAGTCAAGTACGCAAAAGTGACACGTGAAGGCGAAGATGAAGCGGGTGGATTTGACATGAAGACGGCAGATTATTTTGGTAGGGCCTACTCGGAAGAAGGCAAGTTGTTCGGAACCAAAGTAACTCATCCAACACTCGTGGGAACATCCCTCATTAGGATTCATCCATAACCTTAAAGCAGTCCACCTATCTCAAACAAGGTTATACTTAACTCAAGTTTGTCTAGTAATACCCTTGTGGTCCCCCCATAACACGTTTCCGAGCTGAGAGTCACGCAAGCATTCTGGGTGTATATACAAATTGCCGATGAGCTAGCATGAGCCGATTATTGTCTCACTTGCTTGACACCGGACATTTACGAATACGCCAAGGCTCACCAGGGTCTCATGGTCTTGGACCCTCGAAATAAGCAGGACAGACTTCTGGATCTTGATTCAAGTTCATTATGTACGTACGTACGAATTATTAACTAAATATTTTGAACTGATTTGACATCCCATTATCTGCGCCCACTATATCTGAACGCACTTATGTTTTTTGCAATACCTTCATCTTGAGGCAAGTGCAACGTTGTCATGGGATTGGATCAGCTGTGTATTCTTGCCAGATTAGAGAAGCGCAGCCAAAAGAGTGCACGGTCAGATACAGTATTTCTCCGTTTGGCTGTGACTCGTACAAATTATAGCTCCATGACCCTCGGGGATTACTGAAACCCCATAGCGCTGTATCCTTTCGTCCTGTCATTATGTCGATTTCAAGTTCCCTTTCTGTTCCGTCATTCTGTCTATCCAACCAATTGATTGTAGCCATCAATCTCTCTGGTTTCGCTCTCATGCCTTACGTCCACTGAGTCCAGACATAACTTATATTATAAAACAGGCACATTGCCGCCGGCTTATCAGCAGCATGTACACCGCTCATTATAGGATGACATGCTCCGAAAATCAGGGCTAGAACCTTGCATCCATGCGCGGCCCGCATCACTTTATAATCCATCTCGCCATGAATTTTCCTTGCTGATCGCAGGAATTTTCATGACGGAGGCCTTTTTTTCAAGTCAGCGATATCCGCACATTTTGCTTTGTGGCGCCTGGTCACTAGCTCCCATTGTTGAGCATTTGTCTTCGTTGGCGCTAACACACTGCCTCATCCAGACCCTGATGACAGGTGATTTTACTTATCTCTGAACGCTGGAGATAACTGGGAGCACTAGTCCGTCACTGATAACGCAGTTGTTCGGACGATTTTCTTCTGGTCCAGTTGTGCGGTTCTTTGCACGGACGGGCCAACATGTGTCCTTCTGTTGCCAAATGAATTCGGTACCCTCTTACCAAGTGCAGATCAAAGAGCCTTTTAGGTATGTTTTTTCAAACGGGTACTATTCTGATAGCGAAAATTGTTCACGCAGCCTATCGCAATTTTCAAAGATATAGAATGACGTTTCTATCGCACGCAACATCGGCATTTGTCAGTCTCCATAATGCAGCAGATGCCGGGAATGGTATGGTGTGATCATGAGCGCGAAATTCAGTTTATGGCTACAATGTGGATCGCCGATCGAGTATGGGCTGGGAATGGTCACCCATCGACTCAGGATCATGCTTGCCTTCTTTCGTTGACGTTTCAATATAATACACACTGGCGACTACCTCTCAATAGTTCTGCGCTATAGAAGCAAGAGTCCCTGGAAGCCATGAGATGATCAATATCCTTGAAATTGCACGGTGCGTATTCCGATCGCGTATGTGAGATACAGTAGTGGTACAGATGCAAGATTTATTTGTGGACAGAAGGTAAATATCTTTTATATAAGAAACCTCATGCTAAGGGGGACTTGATCAATGCGACAGTAACATGGATCAGCGAAGATCTACGGGAGAGTCGGGTACGTGTGCACGAAGTTTTCGAGGAGAGCGATGTAGTTGATCAATATATACGTCATCATAGCTGCGAAAAATGCATGTGCCTCGGTCATGATCCGTCAGGGTGGCCCATACGCAATGCCACATCTGGTCTTCGAAGAAGCGGAATGCAACTCCGGTATGATTCTGGTCCCACCGTTGTTCCCTCTCTCTCGACTCGAATGCCTTGTCTGTCAAGGTTATGAGAGCGCAATTTTTGATTGTCCACTCTACATGCGCTTGCCCTGTGGTGAGAAGCTGCTCTAGAGACGAGTCCATTTCAAGTTCTTTTGGAAGACCTCTTCCAGGTACATTGTTGAGGATTTGTCGGCACGAGCGGAGGTGAATAGACACACCTATGAACAGGGTCATAACCATCAACAAGAATTTGAAATGTAGTGTTGTCCGAGAAGTCCAGGGTTAAAGTAGGATGTTTTGAAGAACGACTGAGTTTCGTTAGTACCTTGCCGACTAGAAGGCTTGGGTCAACTCCGAGGCTTTGTAGCCGTAGGGGCACTGGACGACGGCGGGATTTCGAGGGAGATGGTAGGGGGGGAAGTGCACAAGGCTGTGCCTTGGTTTGGAGATGATGCCAACATTGTTACTGATGATGATACAATTTTTTTTCAAAAAGATGTTGCAAGGTCTTATATACTGTCGTCGCTGTGGACGATGACAATGGCACATATGTGGCCACATGTGATGTGTCCACAAGCGATTGATCGATCACACCACAACAAGCGTAAGCGGGGATAAAAAAGATGAAAAAGATGACACTGACGAGATTCGAACTCGCGAGGTTTCCCATCACGGATTGGTTCTTGACCTAAACGTGACGCCGTAACCACTTGGCTACAGTGCCATGTTTATGCTTTGTTTCCTATGCACCATATCATGTTGGATAAGATTAAACAGTTGCCATGGGGCATTTTGTTAAAACTCTCACTGACTACGCTTTGTTAGCGCGTCCGACGTTTGTCGTCAGTCAGCAATGCATCAGACGCATTCTCGTCCTATCGGACCACGCACCCTTCCCCGGTCACAATCGCCACTACCACCGCTCATCCTACCAGAGACTCGTCCATTGGTAATTCGCCAAAGAACCCATGATCAGCCAGCTTTACACCCTTCATCTGTTTCATCATCTCCCCCCCCATTGGGTTCTTCTCCAGGTCCATCGCGTCCCCAGATTCCTGGAGCTCTTGCTCCAGGCCCCAGGCCCAACCAAAGACCCAAGCTTCATCTGCCAATCGCACTTGATGGTGCTACCAGCAGTGCAGGTTATTATGAAGGTCCTGCAATCATTCCACCTGGATTGGATGGCGAGAACCCAGGCGGCGCAACAGTTCGGCCTTTCTTGACTTTACAAACACCACGTCCTCCTGAGCCTATCGACGGTAGCGATAACAGCATTGCTCAGCTAATTGCTGAATTTGACAAGACTACCATCGAGTCCTATACCTATACACCTACAGAAGAGACTTCGACCAATTATAGCTCTAATAAATGGTCGGACGGTGTTTTAGAAGTCCTTTCACGACTTGGCGAAGGTCAGGGTGGAGCTGTCCATAAAGTCAGAGATCGGCGTAACAACTTCATCTTGGCCCGCAAGACAATTACCACTCGTGAGGCGCCTTTAAAACAGCTCGAACGCGAGTTGTCAATCTCTGCAACGTCCAAACACCACAACATAATCCGTTTTCATGGCGCCTATATGTCACCATCGTCTAGTGAAGTCAAAGTCATGATGGAATATTGCGCTGGCCGTAGCTTGGAAGCCGTCGGAAAGCGAATCAAAGAGAAGAACGCGCGCATCAGCGAAAAAGTCGCTGGGCGTATAGCCGAAGGGGTGATTACTGAAGCTTCTTTGATTTTAGCCATACTCATTTGTTCACCAGGTTTTGCAAGGCCTGAGCTATCTTCATTCGCTCAAAACCATCCATCGGGACATCAAACCATCCAATATCCTGCTAACTGGTGAAGGTGTTGTTCGTCTTTGTGATTTTGGTGTCTCCGGAGAGCTTGTTCGCTCTATGGCCGGAACCTTCACTGGCACTAGTTTCTACATGGCTGTACGTATGTTACTTGATCATGTATCCATCATCACTGATGATCACTATAGCCGGAACGCATCAGCGGAAAGGAATATAGCATTCGAGCTGACGTGTGGTCCACTGGAATCACCCTCTTGGAACTTGTACAGAATCGATACCCATTTCCCGAAGACCTTACTTCCATCGAACTCATTGTCTATATCACCCAGGGACAGGTAGGCACTTAGAGCGTGTTGTTGAATCCTGCTTACGTCAGAACAACTCTCCAGCCACCTCAATTGACCGATGAAGAAAGTGATAACATTGTATGGAGTGATGAGATGAAAGATTTTATTCGACAGACGTAAGCTCTTGCCCAGTCCCCTTTTGCGTATCGTCGTATCAACGTTCACGGCAGCTTGATTATTGACCATCAAATTCGCCCTACACCGGGAGGAATGTTGTCTCATCCTTGGATCACCAATGTCATGAGGCGAGAAGTGCCTATGGCTCGCTGGATCAGTCAAGTGTGGGACTGGCCTAAACAAACTAGAGAGGCGTAAGATTGTTTGACCTAGGTGCCGATGGCTACTAACACTGATATTCAAGCAATTCGAGACCGCCTTCAAGCCGCGGTGCTGTTGACAGAACACCATAGATTCCTTGTTTTCACTCAAAATACTTCGTCGTCATCCTGATATATCTTGTTTCTTCATCGCATCCCCTTTGTCACTGCCTATTTTGTATACACCACTTACACCGCTCTCTGTACATCTTTCCATCATACGGCTACTATACCATCGCACAGCACAGAAAGGAACGGAGTCAGATTACATGCTTGATTGATGTTGTATATCTGTGTTATTAACTCATGTGCACATTGTAGCTTGTTTTTTTGCAGTTGAACATGCGGCATACCCAACCTTGTCTCCTTAAGCACGCCCCTTTACTTTCGACACACCCCTTTACTCTCGTGGTTGGTACCATGTGCATCTGTCGGGGTGCGCTGGTTGCAAACGCTTGTGCATTTATGTGTGCGCTCGCTCGCAGTTTACTTCCTGTTTCTTTATTTCTCTTCAGTTGTCTCAGATGCCTATGTCGCTGGATCAGTTCAACTATTCTAGACACAAAATAGACATACACACAACATTTTCACACATACACAATCGCGTACCGTTGCCGAGACGTGTGAATTTTAGCGGGACTTCCTGTTTTGGCAATACCGCGCGACGACACAACGCTTGAGCCTTGAGCTCGCTGTCGAGGACAGCGAGCTCAAATACTCGCCCAATTCTTCTCCCTTCTCCCTAATTCTTTTTGTAGTACATAAATTTATGATAAATGCGTTACTTGTGGCACATCAATCATACTATATTGAGCATAATTCTTCAATATTCACTGCTTCCTGTCATGGATTCATACTGGGCACTCTGAAGGGCTTGTTATGGACTTGAATGATGATGTATTCTTGTATAAATATATCAGAACTTCTACAGAGACATAAATATCCAATTAGAATCCAAAAAAGAGGTCAGGGTGGGGGAGGAGGAGGGGAAGGAGGGCCTGGGGAAGGAGGGTTGTCCAAGTAAGCATAGTTAACTAGTTACTAGTAACACATTTATCATAAATTTATGTACTACAAAAAGAATTAGGGAGAAGGGAGAAGAATTGGGCGAGTATTTGAGCTCGCTGTCCTCGACAGCGAGCTCAAGGCTCAAGCGTTGTGTCGTCGCGCGGTATTGCCAAAACAGGAAGTCCCGCTAAAATTCACACGTCTCGGCAACGGTACGCGATTGTGTATGTGTGAAAATGTTGTGTGTGTATGTCTATTTTGTGTCTAGAATAGTTGAACTGATCCAGCGCCATAGTGCCGGCCTACTGTATGAGACCTTCACATTCATTTGTAGTTCTAGGTGGGTACATCGCTGTGTATTGTCTCTTAATTCAAACTCTAATCATCCCGGTCTTGTGTGTGGTACCAATTTATACTCAAAACGAGCCGACGCCAGACCTGGCAGATCGCCATTGGCGAGGGACTCCGACGGCCAGCGAAATGCAGTATGACGTTTGGCTTCATTTGGGTGTCAGCGAGGTGGGTCTTTTTCATTCGCAGGATTATGCTATTGAAGGCGCGATTCAGATCAGGCTTATCTTGAATGATTCAGCCGACCTGTTCTGCCTCGTCACCAATCCCCAGAGCTGTTCCCAATCTGTGGAAAATCTATTCCGTCTTTCGTATCTCTTTTGCGACCGGTTCTGCGAGCGCCATTGTTTCTGCTGATTTGTTTCAATGTCTTGGACTCATTTGTAACCTCATGCCGTTCGTTCCGACATCTGCCCGAAGGCACTCATTGACGCGCTCGTCATCATCAAGACAGCCAGATAAATGTGATGGGTACCCAGCTCCCTGTCCGTTTCACCTTTCGTTCGAAGAAGGACGGAGTCCTCAGATCCTGAAGTTAATGTTCGCTGCCGTTGCGGCTTACCATAATCAACCAAAGCACGCCTGTTGGCATTCGACCAGAAGTGTATGCCTTCGCCAGCGCATTTATCCTATTGTCTGAGCTGCAAACTTCGGGACTCACAAAAACGAGCCAAGTTGATACAACTACCGGTGATTCACTTGATCCGACCCGGTGAGTGTGATTGTGAAAGCTGTTCGTCGTACGAACTGATATTTTGCAGGCGAGGAAGGGTAGTCTGTGAGACACAAAATCCGATTCCTCAAAGCGAATGTCACGCTCGTCTTGAAGGCGCAATAGAAGAAGGCGATCTGGAATGCACAGACCCAAATATCAGGTACTGGTCAGATTATAGTGGCATTTTCCTTAGTCGAGATTCTATACAGGGCATTCCTGACGCACTGTAAAGTACCGAGGCTGGGTGGGGTGTTGGGCCAGATCTCTTTCGGCGATATAATGAGGTACTTGCTCTTTCTCCCCGTCTTGTGGTATCTATAATACTTCTCCAGGATACAGAGCTCATCTAAGGGGCGTTTGGTCTGCTCGTCGAGAACTGCGATAGCTTCCAGGTAGGCCCTTTTTCACACCATTTCCAGCCGTCTGCTGAATTGTCCCCCACTGCAGGGATTGCAGATGATGCACGATACACCCAACTTTGGGTGTTTCTCGCATACTTTCCTGACTTCCTTCTGCAACGAGTTTCTCAAAGCTTCTACACTAAACTTTAGTTTCATTTCGGGCGCAGAATCATGCATGTCATGAGTGAATGTGCTTTCACGTAGACGGCACATAAACATTTGAAAATAGTTTCTCGACACCAAGAGAATTATCAATCATTGCAAAGCCTCCATCAGTTCTCGAATTTCAAGATATTAAACCATCCTGATGGTCTACGTTGAAAAGTAAGCTATCGCAGAAACTTGCCTATGATGTTCATCTCCTGCAAAACTCTACATACGTTTTCATAACGGAACATTGCAGAAAAAACAGTTAGTATCATACATCCGCAGTCATCTCGTCGCTGGTAGAAACTGCTGCATTGCCACTGAGGTATACTATTCTCTTTGCCAGGCGACGCTGCGACGAGCATACCATCGACTGGTACCCACACAGACTTACATGAAGTCAGTCGGGAGAACATCGCCATGATCGCTGGCTATTTGAACTTGCGGAAATGTTCTCGATTGGGACAACTGGGAGGCATGGTCTCCCTCAGGCTACCTTTTCCTGTGACAGAGGTAACGTTCACCGATCTGTACTGCAACTTCTCCACTGGTTTGTCAAATATGGTGAGGATCATGTTGACGCCTTGA